ACGCAAAGTGCGCGAAGTAACTGGGTATCGGTTGTCTCCGTTTAACATCGCAGTGCTATCGACGAGAAGACTGAGTAACTGCTTTGGAAACGCAGGTTTCTGTACCTGTGGAAGGAATCTGGCTTCGGAAATAAACACAGTTTGCGGAAAGCTCGTGTTACGCTTTCATTTGCTGCTGCTCTCGTCCCGTACAAGGAACGTAGCGTCCTCGTTAAGCCTTATTGGGCTCGATTTGCTCGATTCGGGGCCGCCATATTGAGATGCAAGCGACGGAGGAACTTTGCTCCCCTGCTTCAGGGACGAAGGTTTCTCCCTTTCTAAAGGAACATAGGTTACAAGACCGTTCCTCCCGTAAGGGAGGACTATACGTACCCTTTTTTCTAAGAGTGTACTAGGAGGGGGCACGTTGCAATTTTGGTGAAGCCTAGTCATAATAAAGTTTAAACGGTTTTGTGCCCAGCGTGACTGCAGATCTCTCTGGCGATTGGTGCGCGTGACATGTCACGTTCGATATGGATGGTTGATTATAGGAAGATTCCTTGCAGGCTTGCGCGCGCTCTGTCCGGTAGGTTTTACCAAATTGAAGGCTATGCTCTGGTGTATTCTAGTGCACAATAGCTAGACGAAGACTAGCTACGGTCACGTGACGTGCTCACGTTGGCCTGAGAAGTGAGGAGAGTAAGGATACAAATGAGAAAGAGGCGAGGCGTCAAGGGAGCATGGCTTGTGGAGGCTACGCGGCCGACGTCATGCCCTCTCCTACCCTTCTATCCTTCTTGACGGGGATAGATTCTCCCAAGGAGGTTATAACAAGGAGGTTATAAGTACTAGGAGGGGGCACGTTGCAATATTGGTGAAGCCTAGTGATAAAAAGTTTAAACGATGTTGCGGCCAACGTGACCGTAAATTTCTCTGGCAATTGGTGCGCGTGACATGTCACGTGTGAGATGGATGGTTGATTGTAGAAGGATTCCTTGCAGGCTTGCGCGCGCTCCGTCCGGTAGGTTTTATCAGATCGAAGGCTAGACGAAGGCTGGCTACGGTCACGTGATATGGTCACGTTGGCCTGATAAGTGAGGAGGGTAAGGAGGAAAATGAGAAAGAGGCGAGGCGTCAAGGGAGCATGGCTTGTGGAGGCTACGCGGCAGACGTCACACCCTCTCCTACCCTTCTATTCTCCTTGGAGGCTCCAGGAGTTCACGGGCGCCTGCTCGTTGACGCTGGTCAGTGCGCTAAATTTTTATTTTTGTCTAGAGATGCGAAATCATATTAAAGGTCGCGGTGATATTGATGCGCGGTAGGAAAATGAGCATGCTGATATTTAGAAGTTGCATAAACCTCAACTTGCGAAGATTTGTGCTGGGCGAGCGCGTTTTAGGCACCGGCGTCACTGTTTGAGGCAAAATATTTTTGAGAGTGATGAAGATATTGTGTTTGAGCTTTGCCTGACCAGCAGGGCTCTAAAAAGTGACCCGCGCACGGTGACCATCAACTCCGGAAGAGCAGCATTCACAGTATTGCCGTATTTGTATCACGGCCTCGCAACTCGCTGCTCACCATGTCGGTTTTAGCGCGTTGCAACACGTGATCGAACTGCTCTATGGTTATTGATAGGAACTTTATTACCGCAGGCTAAAGTGCGGTGTAGCATTGCAACCGGAAGCTCGCGCGGCGCCTTTGAAACACAATTTTCAGCGCGCGCCAGGAGCGTCGCCTTGCTCACGGTACACTACGGTAACCTGCGGTAACGCTATACTAAAACTGCCTATTAACACGATTTTCGTGTTTAGGGGTTCTATGTATTGCTCCATCCAAAATAAATATTTTAGTATACCGTAATTTTTTTGTATTGTGTTACTTCCAGCGCTACGGCCCCTCTCGCCAAAACTGCTCCTTGTAAGCTCTCGTCACAAACGGCTGGCTAACACAGACGCGCTTAAAATGCTTCGAGCATTTATTCATTTGATTTGTAGTTAGCTGAAAGAAAGTACGCGTATTCTTTCGTTTGAAAGTGCTGGGAATGAACCCGTACGAAAGTGTCGGATGCAGGCCGGAATGAAAAATGCCGGTTCCGCCTAGACCCAAAATTGGGGCACCAGTTTGTATCCAGCCTGGAACCGCGCATTTCCAGCCCCAATTTTAAACCCAAGCGGTGCACCACCGGAATTCCCGCTGCGCTCACCACTGGACTCTACAAAAGAATTTCGTGCTATGCCCTTAGCCGTTAGAACCGAGAGATCGTCGCGATTTCAGACCCAGGCGGATTGGGTCTGAAATCGCGACGATCTAGGCAAATTAAAATTACAAAAACAAACAAAAAATAACCTCCCTCATGACGTCCTTGGTTGCTTGAGTGGCCGTGAACTAGAAAAGGGGTAGTGAGCCAAGCGAGCGCTCACGGCTGCAGCACTCCGTGTCGACGGCTCGAGAGGGCGCCACAAAAGCATGTTCTGAATAGGCTGTACGCAGCGGGCAGCCAGGGCGACTCTCATTGCATTTGCTGCGCGATTAAAAACTAATTCGGCATGACACTTCATTGGCCACAAACGACAGCAAACACGGCAAACACGGGGTAAAGATCAGTTCAGAATGGGAGCCACTTCGCGCTGCCATACCACGAAACGGCCGAACCGCAAGACAAAGCTTCTCGCCAAAGGCCTTCGGAACGCTCGGAGCCGGTCGGATCCTCCTGTTGATACGACCGCAGCGCCGCCGCGTACATCCGGGACCTTTCCGTGACGGTGCCTGATCCCACTACTCCTTTCAAGCGTGCGCCGCCTTTTCCACCGCTTGGTGGCGGTTCTGTCGACGGGTCATTTCTTGTTTCCGTACTTTATAAACTGCATTCGTTTCTTTTCTGATCTAAAATACTGAACAGAAACTTTTTTTAGAAATAATTGAAACGGTTCGCGCCACTTATATTTTGCATTTCCCAGGACCAAAGACGTCACATTTTGCGCGCTTTCGGTACCGCGGATCGCCCTCGTCGGTGGAGGAGGTTTCCGCGTCGTCCTGTTAAAATATGACGCACCGATATTTAGTTGCACTCTCCGTGCCCGCTGGCTTGCCCGAACCCCAAGAGACGTGGAAACCGCAAAAAAAGTAGACGCTTAAATATGATTGCAGGGCCCCTTTAAAATGCGAACCAATTCCCTATGTGCACTGCTCGACATACCGTTGCGCGACCATATTGCTCCTACTTAGGGCAAAGAATAGACTTTTCGTAGACCGTACGCAAGAGCTCTACATTACTAGCGGGAGCGTTCGCCGTCACGTTGAGCACATATTGAGCTGGCGGCCATACACGAGACCAGAAATCCGCAGCGTATGCGATATACGAAAAGTCCCTATATTGAAACAACTCCGGGAGCCAGCCACTGCTTCTTCACGCCAGTTATTTTGAGAAATTGTTCATTTACTAATTTACAAAAAAAAAAAAAAAAAAAAAAAAAACAACTTGGAGCTAATAAGAGACCAGCACTCATAAAACCCATTGGAACCAATGGGAATACACGGAGTCGCTTTCATTGAAGTGTTTACCACACACGCGAGAAGTTCTCAAATTTCGCTTTCCTATTTTCGATTTGATTAGACATTCCTTTCTAAGTTTTATTTGTCCGAATAAAATCATAATAAAAAAATAGACACCCTATTTGCCGTGCTGTGGTGCGGTAAAGCGCTGGGTATTCTATTTTCATCATCCAGCTTTTTCACTAAAAGAAGACAACAGCACACCATAATAACCAGCGCTTCAACCCCTCAGCGCCGAAATTGTTTGTTATCACGACTACTCGAGTCATCGTTTTAAGTTTTGGCAAAACGTCCTACTACAAATATCACTTTACCAAATAAACACAACGCGTGGAACAGGCTTTGCCGCGTGTTACCCAAACAGCGCAGAGCTGACGAGCCGAGGGATCCAAGATCTGCGCGGTCTGTCCGTCGGGTGCTCTTTGCAAATCGTTTAATTTGTTTTAAAATTTCTTTTAGTGTATTTTTTAGCGAGATATTGGTGTGTCCGATGTGATACTATTCCTTTGAACACGCATAACCAAAAATAAGCTCCGAAATTTCGTTGTAGTACCCCTTCAAAGCGTCGTTCACTCAAGTGAGTGCCTCCCCTCTGTTAGAGGCGGGGTTTGAGCCAGACGTCCAGAGGCTTCCTCGCCCTAAGGGTTCGGTAAAGGTGGGAGACTTGGTAACGTAACGGACGGTTTAGTTATACAGTTGCAATACAGTCGTCAAAATCAGTGAGAGAACAACCAGGCAGAAAACCAGGGCAGCAGCAAAACTGCCGCCAATGAAGACGCAGCAAAAGTTTGGGCGACTGTTAGGCCACGAATCTCTGCCTTTTCCTGGGCTCATCAATACACACACACACACGTCCCGTTGACGTCACGGATGCTTCGACACTCGTTTCCGCACTCTCACATGCCCAACTTAAAAAAAAAAAAGAAAAAAAAAATTCTTCGCCGAATGACAATGAACGAGTGGAAAACGTGTCTTCAGCACGCTGCCGCCAGCCTCTGCAACGCTAACAGAAACGCGATCTCGCCTCATGCAAGATGACCGTCCGGTGGCTTCACTCGCGGATCAGTAGTTGCGTTCGATTTACCTCAAAAACGTTGGATTTTCCTGCACCCCCGGCATCGCCGCAGAAAAGTGTTGGGCAGTGTACTTGCGGTCGTTTCTCAATAAACATACCGAAGTACACTGCCCTACACTTTTTTTTTGCACCGGCGCAGAAGGTGCAGGTAAATCGAACGCAACTGGTGTGCAATCTTTTGTGACGTCATTTATTGCCACTTCGGAACGTTCAGAACTACCTCATTAATTCAGAACCACTTTCGATGCATGTGATATATGATGTCAAGGAGGTTATTGCAGTGGGTTATTGCGTGAGAGAAACTGTAAGACGCATTTCAGGTACTGTCGCTAGGTGACGCAAGACGCCGTCCCATTAAAAGTTTAGTTTCAGTTATTTATTTATCCATCCACCTAGTTAACAAAGTAGGCTAAAAGATTTATTGTAACAGAAAAAAAACTTACCGGAAAAAATTTACCTTAAAAATAAACAATAAAAACACAAAAACTGTAAATATACTTTTTTATTTATAGCGCGGGATATAATCAATAGAGAAAGGATATTCACATCGATAGCGACAACTTTCGCGCGCTTTTGGTGCGTCATGTGCTTCGTTGTCAGTTGTCATAATTTGGTAATTTAACGGAACGATAGGGGCATATTTGCGCTGTGTTTTGCCGTTCGAAGAAGTTTAATAGATTTCATGAACTTCAGTGTGATATTGGGTGAGTTTTGCGTCGTTGGGCGTCATATCACCATCAGCGCATCATCTTTATGTTACAGTTTGAGCGAGTGATATGGTCGCCACATTCGTCACTTGACAATTCGAAAGTTGTGTCCTTGCAAATCAGCATTAGAAGCTAAGTAACAACGCCTTACGTGGATAAATATATGGCGTAGGTTTAAATCTTGTCTTCTGAACTGCGATGTGGGGATGACGAGTTGCTGCTAACTGAAATTTCAGTACCTAAAAGGAGTCGACGGCTGTCGGCATAATCGGGCAAATGGCAACTGCGACGATTTCTAAGCAAATGACCGTCGGTTATTGTGTTTTGTCGCTTTTGCCTTATTCGTGTCTATCGCCAAAGAATTGTTACTTAGCCGCATACAAATAACAGCCCTCGCAAGTTTTTTTGTTTTTTTTTAATTTATAAAGTGATTGGACAAAGCTTTTATGCTAAATTAAATGAAAAAGCTGTACACCCAGCTCTTTCTTATAACTCCCTTCTTTCTTGTACTGTGTTCCAGGTGCTGAGATTCTTTTGCAGTCAAGTTTTGCATTTCTACAAGAAGAATGAAAGAATTTGTTGAAGGTTGGGATGTAGTGCAGACCTTAGGTGAAGGAGCATATGGAGAGTGAGTGGAAGACTACACATATAGCTGATTTCTGTTTCCTCATGCTCCCTAACAGTGCATGAATAGTTGCTTCCAACTGCAATACTGGGTCAACTTTGTTGACTGATCTGCCTTGTGATTGCAGAGTCAAGCTCTTGGTAAACAGGGTTACCCAGGAAGCTGTGGCGATGAAAGTGCTCAACAGAAGCGATCTTCCGGAAGCCGCTGATAATTTCAGGAAAGAGGTAATCTTCTGGACCAATGGGATTAATGTGGGCACTTGTATACACTCGCTGCTAGGCTGTTTCGCAGCAGTGGCCGCTTCTGCCCAGCTGAGGAGTGTGTGTCATGCCTGATTTCCCCCAGATCTGTGTTCATCGTCTACTGGAGCACGAGAATATCATCAAGTACTATGGCCACCGGAGAGAAGGCCCTCTTCAGTTTATATTCCTGGAGTATGCGTCCGGCGGAGAACTTTTTGACCGAATAGGCAAGTTTGTTCAGAAGAGTTCTTGTTGGGGTTTCATAACACATTACATTGTTTTTCTCGATAAGTGCTTTAGTGGCCTAGCAGCTTTGCGTCCCTCTCCTTGTCTGCCCTTCGTGCTCTTTATTGTTCATAATGCTTATCTAACTAGCCCACCTTGGTATTTCAGTGCAGGTTTAACAAAGCCCAGGGTTGTGTTAAATATTTTGAGAGTGTTTATTACACTTTGAATATGTCGTGGAGGGCCCGGGAGGTTTTTGGTTGGCTATGTGAAATCGTACGGTTGCAAACCATCCACCTCCAGGTTAAGGACAGACTGAATTTTTTGTACGACCCTAAGTGGCACACATTTTCAGGAATCGTTTACAAATTCGACAAATTCCAACACAATCTAGAGCAGTAGGCAGGGTAATTCAGTTTTGCTCATCGGAGAAAGTTTGGCTGCTTGCCTTTATGTTTATGGGGGCTGAGCGGTGCCTGACTCGTTCTGGTGTGGGTGGCCTATCTGCTTTCCACATAAGGGTAGACTTATAATAAGCGGCGTAGGCAGCTGCCTAGGGTGGCCCAATTTGGGGGCGGCAGATTTCCGAGGGTGTCCTTGGTGCCGTCTTATGTAGGCAACCTCGGGGGTGAATTTAAGTTGGGGGGGGGGGGGGGGAAGAAGGGAAGGAGAAACTGAATTTACCCTAACTACCTCTGAAATGGGGTGGATGCATGATTTTTTGTCTTAGAAAAAATGGGTCTCTTCGTCTCCGAGGCAAGAAGTGTGCAAGCATTTTAAGTTATCGATCCAGTACAATTCTAACATGTCCTAGAAGTCTACACAATTGAGGTTAACATTTCTTTCTTGCGAATGTCTAAATGTGAAACCACTGCTCGCACTGCATCGAGTGGATAAGTTGTGTTTCTCTCTTGCCCTTGAAATTATCCAGTCACCTTAAACACTTCGACTAGCTTACATACTTTTTATTTCAGATGTCACAGTTATGCTCTATTTCACCTTATGATGTACCGCAGGCAGGGCTGTACCCAGAAAAAAAATTTCGGGGGGGGTTTTCGGGGTCAACGGCGGCCATTTTGAAAGTGTCTATTGTCTTATTTTCGCCTATGAATCATGTGCATCGGTGGCATATAATGGAGAGTTGCAGCAAACTGGAGAACTGGTCCCGGTTTGGTACCCGGTAGCCGACCGGCGCCACTGCGCGTGCGCAGAGGTGGAGATTAAAATCGGCTGGCTGCAAGTGCACCGACCAGGGCCGTACCCAGAAAAAAATTTCGGGGGGGGTCAGAACCCCCTATCCCCCCCCCCTGGTTACGGCCCTGACCGCAGGAAAGGTTACAAACGCGAGTTCCTTGCTCTGAGGCACATCTCGGTGGTACAGGCCCTCGTGCATTGAGGGCAGCGGCCAACGCTATGAGCTCGCGCTTCTAGCCTTCGCTGCGGTACAACATAAGGTGAAATGGAGTGTAGTACCGTCATGTTTTGTTAATATGGACGGCTCCGTTCCTCGGAAAAATCGTCCATAATAACAAATCGGGGTCAAAACACATCAACAAGCGTAGCAACAACAGTTGGAGAAGAGGAAAAGGAGAAAGTCCTTCATATCCTGACCCTCTATTATGTGTCCTAAAAATTAATGAGGCAAAATTGCATGGCAAGAGATTGGTCGCCGAAAATTTCGTCCTAATGTGGGGTGTCCCTATGAACATGATTCACAATAATGAAACATGACTGTATTGTCCCTAGTGTGACATATATGTATCTTTTAATACTTTGCATGAATCTTTAAGTGCTCATGATGGCATGTTGTGTGTACTTCCAAAATAAGTGCACCCAGACCCTTTCTTAGGAATATGGTGTTTCTAAAAATGCCTTAGGGGTTCTGCAAGGACTTTTTTTAATTTGCACCAAACCTGAGCACACTGAACATAGTAACTTAGTGAAATTTTTCTTTTCTCAAATTTCGCTTTATTCTAAAAGTTCTAGGCAAATTAAAGTTACAAAAACAAGCAAACAATAACCTCCTTCATGACATTCTTGGTTGCTTGAGTGGCCGTGAACTAGAGGAGGGGTAGTGAGATCAGTGAGCGCTCACGGCTGCCGCACTCCGTGTCGACGGCTTGAGAGGGTGCCACTAAAGCATGTTCTGGATAGGCTGTATGAAGCAAGCAGCCAGGGCAGCTCACATTGCATATGCTGCTCGATTAAACACTAATTTGGCATGACACTTCATTGGCCACAAACGACAGCAAACACGGGGTAAAGGTCAGTTCAGAACGGGAGCCACGTCGCGCTGCCACACCGCCAAAGGGCCAAACCGCAAGCCAAAGCTGCTCACCGAAGGCCTTCGGAACGCTCAGAACCGGTCGGATCCTCGACTGCGGCGCCGCCGCGTTCATCCGGGACCTTTCTACGCTTGCCGTTCGTCGGTGCCTGATCCCACTACACCTTTCTAGTATGCGCCGCCTTTTCCACCGCTTGGTGGTAGGTATGTTGATGGGTCATTTCTTGTTCTCATACTTTCTAAACTGTATTTGTTTCTTTTCTGATCTAAAATAGTGAACAAAATCTAGTCTTATAAGTAATTAAAACGGTTTGCGCCACTTATATTTTGTATTTCGACTAAAAAAAAAGTTTTAGTGGCTGTGACCAAGCCCAGGACCAAAGATATCACATATTGCGTGCTTTCGGCACCGTGGGTCGCCCCCGTAGGGGGAGGAGGTTAAAATATGACGCACTGATACTCTCTCCGTGTCCACTGGCTTGCCCGAACCCCGAGAGATGTGGAAACCACAAAAAAGGTAGACTCTTAAATATCATTGCAGGGCCCCTTTAAAACTTCAGTAAATAAATATAAAACTAAAATAAAAATGTTTTTTTTTTTTTTTTTGCAGAACCTGATTATGGCATGGACCAGGCTGATGCTCAGAAGTTTTTTAAGCAAATCATCTCTGGAGTGGTAAGCCATGTTAATTATTCTGTTGAGCTAGTATTTGCATTTTAAGTTTTGAAATATTCCTTTAATTACCTCTTTACTCATCCTTCATAGGAGTACCTTCATTCCAAAGGGGTCGCCCACCGAGATCTGAAACCTGAGAACATACTTCTTGATGCAAATGGTTTGTACTTGAATCTTCAGTACCTCTCATTGTGTTTTGACCATTTTAGTTTAGAGCGCAGCTCTTGGGCGCCTGTTTCCGGGTCGAGTGGCATCGGCGTAACTGCGCGTGTTGCATTATGGGACATTTCTCCGCTAAAGTTGGCGGGTTAGGAACCCGCACAGCGTGCTTATTTGTCTCGAGTTCAGTCGTTGCTCAAAGCGCTCCAAGAACTTTTTGACCCTGGCTCGCGATGTCTTGCATCGATGTGCTCTCATTCTTTTTTTTCTTCTTTGTTTAGCTTGTACCTCGCCTGCTGGCCTGGCAAGCACGTGCCGCTAAACTTTTTTTTTTTTTTTTTTGTTGTTGGACAGTTTTATTTTGCATACAATTTTGGGAATTATTCGGAGACTGAGCAGAGCGGAGTGGCATGGTTTCAATTGAACAGCCATCTCTGCTCGCGCGACAATTTCACATTGCACTGCAGTAGTTACGTGTTTCATCAGTTGGAGCCTGCTTCCATTTATTATATTACTAGTCAACCTAATGATGTGATATTTACTATTAAGGTGGTCATTTTCAAATAAATTTTATTATGTGCAGTTTGGTCCGATATATTTGTATCATTTAACTGAAGCATTGCAAAATATGTCATTGGCATTTCAGTTACATGTTGAAAGACTCCCAGGTGGTCTATCTTGACAATAATTCATTGATTGCGGCGAGCAACGTGTCCTTCGTTTGTCCACCATTTGAAATGAATATCTTTTTTTTTTTTCTAAGAATATCTGCTCCAAAAGCCACTTTTGCTGCTCCGAAACACTGTTTTAGCTGCTCAAAAAGCGAGTTTTACTGCTCCAGAATTTTTTTTTGGCTGCTCCAGAAGGTGCTCCAAAACAGCCTAGGCCAATCACGTCACTGCAGTGTCCAAAAATGTACTTCGATGTTGCTGTCATTTCCCCCCCATTGCATGCACACTCTTTGAGATGTGTCGACGGAGCATGTTAATAAATGACTGCTCCGGTTGATGCAACAACCAAAACCTTTCTGTAGACAACATCAGGATCTCGGACTTTGGTCTGGCCACTGTATTCCGCTACAAGGGGGAGGAGAGGCCCCTGGTGAAGAAATGTGGCACGCTGCCCTACATTGCCCCTGAGGTTCTTGTCAAGAGCTACCACGCTGAGCCAGCAGACGTCTGGAGCTGTGGGGTCATCCTGGTTGCTCTTCTGGCAGGCGGTAAGTGTGCTGCTTCGCTTTTCATTCTTTCCTCTGACAGAGGGGCACTATCAGTGTACAGCTTCTATATGGCAAACAGACTGCTGTGGCTATGGAAGGGTGCCGTATGGCTCGCTTTTTTCTCGAGTCTTCCCGAAGGCTTGACCACATGTGTTGAAACTGTGTTTGCTGTGCTCGATACTGGTGGTAACACGGAAGCATGCAGGACGTTCTGTGCATGTCTGTAAACGTATTTAATTGGTGCTGTAGGCTCCCATGTCGTGCGAGTACGCAGCAAGTACTATACTCTCGCGATAACTTGGCAAACTGTGGAGGCTAGGGACCCGCGACGAGGCACATGACCCGACGTCACGGGAACATTTGTGTCACCACGCTTAATGCGAGGCGTGAGGCCCAAAGGAACCGGCTGTCGTCTGCTCCGAAACCAACCAACACTTCGGATGAACGCCCACTGCAGCAACAAATCCGTCCGCTACGCTGGCAAGCACTTCAGGAACAGTTCATGAGACAACTATACGCTCAATTTAGCTGCGAATATGTGACGGGTGCCCATGCCAGGGCACAGTGCAATGTTCTGAGCGGAAACGGCTGATTACACGGCTGTGGTTGCCAGCGATCGCCAACGGCCACGGCACTACAAGGCAGAAAAAGTCTAGCAATTACGTTTGTGACGTCACTTGTTTTGGTTTAAATGTAGGTAATTTAAACTCGTAAATTTGTGATTATTTATTCTTTATTCTTCATATCTTCTTGTTATAGATGGAATCGTGCGAGTTCAATTGCCGTTAAAAGAAAAAGAAGCCTAGAACTTTTTTTGTCGTGGAGGGCTCTGTTGCTGTGGCGGTAACGAGGCCCCGGTGACCTCGACCATGGAGTGTTGTCACGTGCCTTGCTTCGGTGCCCTTATTGGGTCGGGGGGGCCGCAGCCTCCACAGTTCGCCAGGTTATCGTAAAACAAAGTATAGTTGGTTTTCGTTTCATCAACTTTCTCGCTTCGTCCGTGTCCAGTTGCGCTGTTTTAGTAGCTGCTTTTCTTTAGACCTTGCCCTGCCCCACCCCGTACCGCAGGGTCTCCCTAATTTTGTGTTCTGGTACTTGGCAGGGTCTATGATAGTTGTATGTTGCAGGATCTTTACTGACTTTTTTGTGAGAAGCTTAGGCTTGTTGGCTGCATCAAGTCTCTAAAGGCATGTAGCCACTGGAACAGGACTTTGAATCGTGTTGCCGAATAGTAGCAACAGTGTGCCGTTTCAGGATTTTTTTTGTGTGTAATTCATGTGGGTGCATTGGCCACATTCCTGCTGCAAAGCTGGGGGGCTCTTGAGAGTTTTGTATTCATATTTTCACATGGCTAAGAAAGTGATTTTTTTCCTTTCATAACTAAGAACTCCCCTGGGACAAGCCTGCAACTTCATGTGAACAGTACAAAGGTTGGAAAGAGTGCAAAATAACTGTCTCCCCATGGACAAAGCTAGACAACATGGCCCTCTGTGAGTATGAGTGTGTCTGGGGAAATTGTTTTATGTGCTGAGATAACGCAATGAAGGAGGATGTTCTTTCCAAATAATTTTAACTACTACTATGTGTTAACGCAGTTAGTGCAAGGGTGTGGGCAAGCTGGTTAAGAACTGACATTTTTTAACATTGGAGTGGGGAAACAGAAGGTGTGTGACACATGCTCATGTCAGTAACCAGTTTGCATGTATGAACATGTTTCTACTTTTCAGCTCTAGTCCGTAAGATACTGACACCTAACCCGACCAAAAGATATACCATAGAACAAATCAAAGGCCACCAGTGGACACGGAAGATGTTCGAAGCCAAAAGTAAGAAAACAGTTTCATTTTTTGTAAGTTTTTTTGTTTTCTTTGATTAACTAATATTTTAATTTGTATTTTGTCTGGTATGTTTTTCAGATACCAGTTCCAAGTGGCTAAGCAGTACTTCGGACTCACTGTCACGAAAGAAGAGCTGCTTCGACATTGGCCAGACAGGAGACATTGCCAGGTCAGTCATCCAGAGTGTTCATTTTGCTGTCCTTTCTGAATGTTACGTTTGGTTATATCTCGACCTACAAATAATCGGGGGATTTCTTGAAGCTGCCGTCCTGTCTAAAGTTCAATTGCCGAGTACCATATGCAGTTTAGTGATACTTCAAACCTTTTGTGCTATCCAGCAGTTTTAGCAAATTGTCTAGTGAAACTTCTAGGAAATGTTAGGTAGCATTTTAAAGGGCCTAGCCACTTCATGTGAACCAGACCTTTACTATATTCTATTCGAGTTACTACTATTTGCCAGGCTCTCCATGATGACTCGCCTTGTCTCACGCTGACTCTTGGTCTGCTTTATATATGCTGAACTCTGTTCTTTCCGAACCTAGACAGTGACTTCTAAATTTTTATGTTTGGAGTGCATCCTTTGTTCAGAGGAGGAATGTTTACTCAGCAAGGAGACATATTGTAACATTGCCATTCAAAGTTCTGGCACTTAGTTTGGCTACTGATTTGTGCAGCTGCAATGTTATGTGGTGCAACTTGGTGTTGCACTTTTGAGAAGATTTTAGTGACTGCAGTGATATGTCAATACAGTCAAACACATTTATAACGAACAGCACGAAACGCTACGATCAGTTCGATATAGCAAGTAACTCGATATAGCAAAAACCATTTACAACGAACTTCCACGATACGTTCGTTGTAAGGTGAGAGCTTCTTCTTTCTCATCTCTTCGCTTCCACCTTGTAACAACGCGCTAGAAAATTTTTTTTTTATTTTGCATGCATGCAGGTTTTTTTTTAGCTTCTCTTTTCTTCTGAATCGCTTCTCTTCGTAGTTTTGGTTGGTTTTAGGATGAAACCTTTTTTTTGCTGTGCGTGCGTGCAGAGTGTATTTTGCAGCTTTCTCCCCTTCTGAATCGCTTCTCTTTGCTCAATTTTGTTTGTAACTTGATCTTTTGCAATTTTCTTTCTTTCCTTTTTTTTTTGGGGGGGGGGGGGTGGGGGAGGGACAGGCTAGAAGACGATTGTTTGCGCGGTTTTGACAACCTTTTCGAAGGGAAATAGTTCGATATAGCCAATATGTTGTTCATTATAACAAGTACTTTTTACATGCTTTTTTATTTAAATTTTTCCTGAGTTCGATATTGACAATAATTCGCTGTACATGGGTTTGTTGTAAACGGGTTTCACTGTAGCTCCAGGGTGGGAGCTATGCAGAGCGCAAGTTCGTCTGCTTGCACAAGGGTTGCGAGGATGTCAGAACGCAAAGCTCTTATTGGGTGATTGAAAAAAAGTGAAAGCCGTTTACAACTCCCTGTAACGCCGAATTAGAGCGAAGCTCTTGAGGAGGAGGGAAGGGTACTGGGGGGGGTCAAGTGACCTTGGGTGGGGGTCACGTGACCTAGGGGGGTCACGTGACGATGCCGATGACGTCATCAGTAACGATGACGATGCGGATGCCGGTGACGTCATCAGTGATGATGACAATGACGATGCGGATGCCGGTGACGTCATCAGTGATGATGCGGATGCCGGTGACGTCATCAGTGACGTCACTGATGACGTCATCAGCGAGGATGACGATGCGGATGCCGGTGACGTCATCAGTGACGTCACTGATGACGTCACCAGCGACGATGACGATGCGGATGCCGGTGACGTCATCAGTGACGTCACTGATAACGTCATCAGCGAAGATGACGATGCGGATGCCGGTCATCAGTGATGATGACAATGACGATGCGGATGCCGGTGACGTTATCAGTGACGTCACTGATGACGTCATCGGGGGTCACGTGACTTTGGGTGTCATGTGACCTTGGGGGTCACGTGACCCTGGGGAAGGGGTCACGTGACCTTGGGGAGTAACGTGACCCCCGATGACCCTTGGGGAAGGGTCACGTGACCTTGGGATGACCTTGGGGGTCAAGTGACCTTGGGATGACCTTGGTTACGGCGACGCCGCTCAAGCCGGGAACGGGCCCCTAAGAGCTGCGCTCTAAAAAATAGTGGGTAGATCTCAAGGCATCTAGCATTCAGGTCTACCCAGCACTCTTCAATCAAAGCCAATCGAAGCTCGGCATCGTCCTGATGTCACCACTACCCCTGTGCAAAAAGCAGACGACTTGCTCTCCGCATAGAAGCATTCTTATAGGTCTGATAGGGCCCCTTGTGTTAGTGGGGCACCCAAAGGAGTCTGGAACGGTCTCTTTGCGTTACTCAAGTTCATTTCGAGACTTAACATGTCTGCACATTTTTCTGGCACCTAGGTGAACAAAGCGAGGGTCCTTTAGGTGTCTCTAGCTACTCGGAGAGATCTGTAAGTGGGTGCCCTTAAGCGCAAAACACATATACGACGAAACTGTCCGATTTGACGTCCGACCACGCAATACGAGTCGGAGGCGAGGGTTTTTAACACTCCGGTGCTACGAAAACCCTCGCTCCCCAAGGTCATTCCGGCAGTCCACACGTCGGATCGGACGGTTTCGTCGTACATGTGTTTCGCGCTTTAAAGCATATTTATTGGCAACTCCACCATGACTGTTTGTCAACCTGTTCTAACTGTTCCGTGTCTGGGTGCCCAGTTGGGGTGAATTCTTGGTACGACAACTAATACACAGTTTTACCTGCTTTGACAGTTTTACACCTTCGCCACTTGGTACAGTTAGGTGTTTGAGTCAAAATGTTGGGGGTTGTAAAAAGAGGTTGGCGAGAGCTCTGCCGGAGTCGCCAGACGGAACACCCCCGGCCGGCAGTCCATGTTTTTGGGGTTTATTCTTCGCCGAATTTGGGGGAAGGGGGAAGGAGGTTTTGGGATTTTGTTTTTTCTCACCGATTCAATGGTTTTGACGTCGGACCACAAAATGTGTGTTTATAGGGGCTTATCTTGAAAAAAGCAGGACGGAGGCACGAGATTCCCCACCCTTCGAAAAACATGCGCATGACCGTAGTACTTGGAAAGTGGTGCGGTACTAAGGAGAGAAGGACGCTGGACAGTGGGTGCGGTTCTCGAAGAAAGCAGCATCCTCGCCGACAGTTCATCGTAATGACTCCAATGGACTGTCGGCGAACTCGATTTTGGCGATAAAAGCTTCGACCTACGTATTTATTCTGCTTAGGTTCGGAACATGATGTTCCTAATCTATGCAAAATAAATACGTAGATCGAAGCTTTTTTCCGCCAAACTCAAGTTTTTCTTATTTGAGGACGGCTCCAGTTTGGGGTTTTACGCTTTTCCCCTATTTTGATTGGGGGGGGGGCACTTTTTGGGATTTATGGGTATTTATCGAGAACACGGAACCCTAGTTATGGGCATGCTGACAGGTATGTTTTGGGTTGGCCTGGGCGTGCGGTGCCTCACTGTGCAGTGGTGTTGTCCCAAGGGACAATGCTCCGACTCGCGTGTCCAGTTCGCAGCCTGACCTGATGCACAGAGGGGACGGGGACGGCCCCACGCCTGCGGCCAACTCAGAGGTGCTGGCCCACGGCATTAGCTTCTCCCAGCCGGCTCATCTCGAAGACATGCTGCTCAGCACCCAGACGCAAGGAACGCAGAGCTCCTCGCAGGTTAGTGGGCGCTGCGGCTGCATTTCCTTATATTTTCCCCTTTTTTTCGCGCATCATTTTTTCTTTCTCGGCTTGAGAGATTTTTGACAATGTTATAAATGACCATTTCTCATGAGTAGTACGTATGTTGGATCTCGCAAGTACTGAAAAAATCTTCTCTCAAGTGAAATACAATTTGAGGGCCGCCTCATAGATGGCGCCGGCTTACTGGCGTGTTCTCTCGTCTTAAGAGATCGCGAGAACTCTGACGTAAGCAAATGCGAGCGCGTGAACAGGCCTTAAGACTCGAGTATGAGGCCCGAAAGTGTACTTTAGGCGATTTCCCTCTTTCGTGTCCTCTGTGAGGGGTTCAAATCGCGAGTTCAAATTTTACCGCAAAAGACAAAGGGAGTGCCCACCCCTTTTTTATTGAAAACTGGGTTAATCTAGACATAGGCGCTTGTCCGGTCAGCGTATAATTAGCAGAATTCTCAACCTCCGAAAATGTTAATAGTGCGTGCTAGAACGAAGTGGGCTGGTCCGCAGTATTTTACGCTAATTGTGTGTTGGACTTGCCTGTGGTTGTCCTCCTGAAATTGCCATCAGACTTCTGCGCTTATTGATGGGCTGTCCCCATTGTTTGCGTAGCTTCCGACTCAAAATGATGACTTTGAAGGGCAAAGGTTTAAGTCGGGCAAGAATAGGACAAGAAAGTAGCGGACTTGGTGAACAACATATACAAAATTTCGGACAAATGTTTTGTTAAAAATTTTTTCTTTGAATTCACTAATCTCAAAATCTCAAAGGGGCGCTAACAGCTGTCGTTTCAATAAAAGAAAAGTATAATGAAAACAACTAAAACCTGCGGAGTGGAAAAAGAAAATGCAGCAGAAATCTCCGTGCAGCTTAGTTCTATCTTTATATTTGTGTTGTGGTGTCCTTCTTTTTTCAGTTAAAATGTTTTGCACAGGCACTGGTACATTAATTTTTCATTTATTGATATTATGAAAAATTAAATTGCAATGTTTAATTTAGTTGTGTTTTTCATTTGAACAATGGCAATAAATGAAAATGAATGAAATCGCAATGTTTAATTTAGTTGTGTTTTTCCTTTGAACAACAGCCCAACAGTAAGTAATGTATCCTTTTAGTTTGTCTAGAAGCAAAGGCACATAATGAACAGCTAACCGCTCACACTACAGATTAGTTGTTTGCACTCGGCAACTTTGTAGTGAACTTTTGCTCTTTATACGTGCAGTAAACCATTGGAAAGGTATCTTTTGGTGTTGCAAGAGCTGCTCTGCTCTTTATTCTTTCAGGAGCTCATGCCTTTTTGAGTCAATCTCTAGGAATTGGGAGCGACCGGAGCTTGCCTCAAGCAGTGTTACTTGTATGCAACGATCGGCTTGTTTGTGCATTTTTCAGAGTCCTCTTCAGAAGCTGGTCAAGAGAATGACCAGGTTCTTCGTGACCACCGATGCCAACGAAACAGTTCAAGAACTCAGATCTCTGTTCGAAAAGCTGGGCTACGTCTGGAAGACAAATTCCCCCGGACAGGTAAAAGCGCCTTACCCATTTTAATGTGAAATTGTGTGAGGTTCAAATCGTGAGAGTTCGAATTTTACCGCAAAAGACAAAGGGGGAATGCCCGCCCCACTTTCACTGAAAACTGGGTTCATCTAGACGTAGGCGCTTGTCCAATCAACGTGTAATTAGCAGAATTCTCAACCTTTGAAAATGTTAATAGTGCGTGCTAGAACGAAGTGGGCCGGTCTGCAGTATTTTACGCTAATTGTGTGTTGGACTTGCCTGTGGTTACCCTCCTGAAATTGCCATCAGACTTCTGCGCTTAATGATGGGCTTTCCCCATTGTTTGCGTAGCTTCCGACACAAAATGATGACTTTGAAGGGCAAAGGTTTAAGTCGGGCAAGAATAGGACAAGAAGGTAGCGGACTTGGTGAACAACATATACAAAATTTCGGACAAATGTTTTGTTAAAAATATTTTCTTTAATTCACTAATCTCGAAATCTCAAACAGCTAACAGCTGTCGTTTCAATAAAAGAAAAGTATAATGAAAACAATTAAAACCTGCGGAGTGGGAAAAAAAGATTGCAGCAGAAATCTCCGTGCAGCTTAGTTCTATCTTTATATTTGTGTTGTGGTGTCCCTCTCTTTTCTTCTTATAATATTTTAAGCCAGAGCAATTTGACCACCCTTCCCTGAGCAAACTGAGAGTACAGTTTGGGACAGCTTTCTGTAGCAGTGAAAAGTGGAATGTGCTCGTGGATAGCTTCACTCTGCACTCATGATGCATAAGCGCACAAAGCTACATTGGTTGCAGAAAGTATTTCTCGAGTATAGCAGGCATTGCTTATTAACTTCATCAGCTAAAAATGTCTTCTCCTTTCTTTTTTTGCTCAGTGTGTGAGGCCGGGTTCTGAAACTTTGTTCCTAAAAGTTCAGGCATTCCTTTGAATACACTCTTATCGGTGCCCAAAGCTTGGGCATGATGTAAGTGGACCATACGACAGTGTTTTTATTTGAGTCAACTAAAGCTCGGAACAAGTTCTTTCACTTTCGGTCACATCAACTTTCGTTTAGACCACGACTTGTAATAGACCTTTCGCCAAATTAACCAAGCATAAAGGAGAATGTTCAGAGCATAGGTACACATGCTGCAGATACTCGCCTTCCCTATAAAATAAAATTTGAAGTAAATAACCCCAATAAAGTGTCCGTGAAACGCGCGTGCCAAGTGCTGTTTGTTTTAGATTTTTTGCTTTGAAACAGTCGGAGCTGAAGATGGCAGCATGCCCAGCGCGTGTACCCACGTTTCCAGCATTCTTTTTGATGCTTGGGTAATTCAGCAAAAGGTCTATTGGTGCCTGTGTGTCTTCCTTGTGTCCGTTGCTTTTTGCTCCTTGCACCATGCTTCCTTTCGTTTACATACCTGGTTTCGCAAAAAAAAAAAGCGTCGGCTATTCTCTAAATTTCTCGAAGTCCGAGAAATTAGTCGAGGGTCTAATGAACATCCTCTAGACCAAGAACCTTGAAAAAGTGTGTGCTAGAAGACCAAAGCAAAGTGGTTAGTTGGGCCAGCTAGTTATTCAGTGTTTGCAAAAAGCACCATAAACACACAAACAAGGTACACGACACAAGGTGCACTCGCAACTAAAATGTATGTGTGTGTCAAAAAATATGTATAAGAGCACGAGTATTTAAAACAGGGTTTGCACTGAAGTAACGACTAGGCACTTCTGTAGTCGGCGACTGGTTAAAAACCTAGTAGATGCTCTGCCCCGAGTGCTTGCTTTGCCTTTCACAACCTTTCAATGCACATTAGCCAGAGCCTGGCCGAAGGCAAACAGCTCGTGCTGGGGGCAGATCATCTACTCGGGTCAACCTGTTGATGGCTGTAAATGGCTTATGTTATACACATTTTTTTCGGTATACTTCAGTTGCGAGTGTGCCTTGCACCTGCACCATTTTTGCTTGCTTCTGCCCCTTTTCTTTGCAGCATCTTTTTCTCCGCCATCTTGTTTGTGGACCTTCAAGAATATGGCTAGGCTTCAGTAAATTAGCACCATTGTAGTGTGCAGGATATATAATCGGTGTCAGGTCAACAACCCAGGGAGAGGGAAAAGAAGGCTGGGGAGAAGGAAGCAGATGAGATGGAATGCTGGAGGAGGAAACATCTCCCTCTCCAGCATTCTGCTTGCTTCCTCCCCTGCCCTTTCTCTTGACCTGGGTTCTTGACCTGTCATTGACTATAGTTAGCTAGGCACTGCTAAATGAGCGAGCTTTTGTGCTTGATGCGCTGCTTCCTAATGCTGCAGATCACTGTCACCACCCAAGACAAGCGCAAGGCCCAGCTGGTGTTCAAGGCAAACCTGATTGAGATGGATGCCAGGATCCTGGTGGACTTCAGACTCTCTCGCGTAAGTGGAGCCAGCTACAGTTCGTTTTTGCCGAGCAACCCGGTACCGTCCATTGCCCCTTCTTTGTTCAACATGTTCCCACATGCCTGCTGTCTCTATCCGTAAATTGTGCTAGCCAACGTTTAAAAAACTCTACCGAGCACTGCGCCACCATACTACCACACTGAAAATGGCAATGAAGAGCTCACACAAAAGCTTCATTGATGACAAGATTACCTACCTTCACTGCCTAGAATGGCAATGTGCAACTAATGATGCAGTGAAGCGACCAGAACTAAAAAAAGTAAGCCTGCCTTGGTTAGCATCATGCACAACTGCCTAAATGTGGCCCCGTACTGCAACTATGTCCATGCTTCTTTCAACATGGTTTCTGGCCCCAGTATGTAACACCCACAGACAATCTGAGCTGAAACACCCAACCTGTTTTTTTTCCCTATATCTGCGGTCCCCACAAGCTCTATTATCTCTCAATATGTCAAATAATCCAAAGTATGAAACCCTAACTTCATATTTCATTCCTAGTTTGGAGCACAGCTCTTTTAAAAACTGGCAGGTATGCCAGAAAAACACAAAGGACTGTTTTAGCTCATATTGTTCGCGATAGTAGATATTTTTTACAATAACATGATGGACAAATCTGATGTCAGGGTGCGCACAGGTCCTGGAAACCCTTGAAAACCCTTGAATTTAAAAATTGGGTTTTCAAGGCCCTTGAAAATCCTGGATTTTTTGCTAGATTTTAAAAACCCTTGAATTTGAAAATTTGGTTTGCAGGGCCCTTGAAAGCCCTTGATTTTTTTGGCTAGGCCTTGAAAATCTGTGAATGGCTATTTATAAAAACAAATTCGGGTATGTATTGTTTATTCTTATTATGCTTATCGTTTTTGTTTCGTTTTGGTCTAAGTTATCTTTATTTGTTTAGATTTAGCCGATATTCATTGGATGGTTGGCCACATTGGAGCAGACCCGAATCCAATCTCATCCGGGCACTGTTTCCGCCATTGCCCCATGTTTTGTCGACGGTCGTAGCAAAATGCCCGGCAAAAGCAAGTTTCAAGGTGCGTGGCTCTGCAGTGATGAATATAAGGACTGGGTGGTGCCAGATTCGACAAATCAGCATCGTGCAAGATGCAAGCCGTGCGGAAAAGCTTTCTATATCGCGGCCATGGGCGAATCGGCATTGAAGAGCCATATGAAGAGCGCTAAACATGCCGGCATCATGAAGATCGCAGCCAACAGCTCGGTGCACAATTACCTGGCTCTGGGCATGAGTGAACGATCCACTGTCCCGCCTCCATCGGGGTTGCCAAACATAAACGCTGCTTGCAAGACGCACAAGTTGGTGACAAATGCCGAAGTGTTCTGGACTCTGAAGGTCGTCACATCCCACGACAGATGTGTTCAAGGCCAGATGAGTGCCTTCCTGGTTTTAGAAAAGTGTTGGACGTCCTCATCACCGCAGGGCGAATGACTGATCACCAACGAGACACGGTACTGGCACAGTACACCGAGTTCTTGCAGGAAAAGAAACATCACCTGCGACTCTTTGAAAAGAGCATGAACAGGATAGATGAGTATTTCTCTGAGCTCATGAAGTTTAATCCATCGTATACAGAGCTCTGGAAAGTAGTTAAACTCTTGCTTGTCCTAAACCATGGACAGGCAACTGTGGAGGGAGGGTTTAGTGTAAACCGCCAGGTTTCGGTAGAGAATCTGAAGGACCTTTCCTACGTCTCTCAATGGATTGTATGCGATGCAGTGGTAAAGGCAAGTGGTGTCCTCAACATCCCACTTACGAAATAACTGAGGACTGCTGTGTCAGCTGCGAGACAGCAGTACAGTGCATATTGGGAAGCAGAAAAAATGAAGCAGCGTGAAGATGCGAAGCAGGCAAAAAAGCGCTGCATTGATGAAGAGATAGACACCATGAAAGTAAAAAAGAGGAAACTTGAAGCGACTATGGCTGATCTCACAGCCTCAGCAGATGCCTATGCAGAAAAAGCAAATGACCTCACATACATTGTAAAATCAAATAGTCTTAGGAAAACTGCAAAAAGCAAGGCCGAGGAGCTGCTTAGCATCAGCCAACAAATACAGGAAAAGCTGCAGGAGCTCCCCTGAAGTTACCACAAGTGGTTTTGGAAACAATTTTTATTTTGGCTTAGTGCAATGCAAACAAGTTTGCAAGAAATATTTTTTTCTTTTTGTTTAGTGCAATAAAAATTATACCTACGATCTTTTGACATGAGTGCTTTGATGAAATCTGTCATGTGTGGCACCGAGTTAGGTCCTTGAAAATACTCCCACAGGGCCTTGAAATTCCTTGAATATCCTTGAATATCTTTCTTTGAATCCTGTACGAACCCTGGATGTAGATGCAACTTGTGAAAACTCAGAAGCAGCTTCCAAAGCACGACTCATGTGCTCCCTTGCATGCCGGTACATAGCCATAAAAGGCCCAGGTGGTAGTATCCAGGGTGAGTGGTATAAGAACGGTGCTCCATCTTTTTCCAGGGCGACGGCCTAGAGTTCAAGAAGCACTTCGTGACCATCAGGAACCGCCTCTCCGAGCACATTGCCAAGGGTCCCGTGAGTTGGCCCATCGCCGTGGCCACCAACAGTGTACCATGAGTCCTTGAGTACCCGACCGTCCAAGGAACTGACTGCATTTACGACTGTACATTTGAGTGTAGTATATTTTTATAGGTCTTTATTAGCCGGTATCATACTAAGGAGCACAAACTGTGTGCCTTTTTTTGTGTTGACCTTGTTTTGTGATGTTCCTATAGTTAACAAAGAAGTCGGCAATCTTTTCCTTCTTGATTTCTCTCGCGAATGTGGCATCTGTGATGATTTGCTTTTAAAATAGTATGGCAATCTCTACTTGGAGGAGTCATTGGAAAGGTGCTATACAAGCAGCATTCATACTTTTATATTGTGCAGCTCATTCTTCAATGCATGATACTGTGTTACAGAGTGCCATCTGTACAAAAAGCAAATAAAAGTTTAAACACATAAAAATAGTATCTTTATTTACCAGGGTTCTCAGGAACACTACAGCAAACAAGTTTTTCTTTCTCAACCACTCAGTTTTTACATGTCAACAAAGCTGCACCAGCTGTTTGTTCAACTGACTTCTTCCTTGCATCTGATGGCTGCTGTGGAAAAAAAGAGAATGCAGTCTTAAATCACAATACTGAAAACTGAATCGAGTGTCAGTGTATGAGCTTAGGACACGGTGAAGGGATGAGGACAGTCTTCAGTATGAAATTGCATGCTGTTTAGAACAAGTATGTATACACCCATTTTCCAAAAGCCACTATCAAACCTTGTTCCTTCAAGAAATTCAACACAGAATTTGATCAATTTCAGCTTGCAAACTTTGAACTAGGTACATCTAGGATTCAAAGGTTAACACAATAATATGACGGCTAGAACTGGTGCCCAATTTATTGACGGAACCATGTAGGGATAAATTTAACAATTTGCTATTACCATCAGACTCATGAAGGGGCAATATGCAGGTTGAACCAACGCCACCTATACTTTCAATGCTCATTGTATCTACCTATCGTCCGACCATGTCTTTTTTTTTTTTCTCTACAGAGTTGGGGAAACTGTGCTACGCACAGCACGCCTGTTCTAAGCTGGCTGGCATTCTGGAGGGGGAGCAACGGGCATCAAAGACAGAATAGGTGTTAGCTAAACTAAAAGACTGTTGGGTGCATTCGCAGCTATTTCACTTCTCTCCAAAACGTGACCCATGCTGCAAGCGAGAGAGGCCTCACACGCGCCGTGCTGGCAAGAATACAAAATGTTTGCACACGACGACTTTGGTCGATACCCCATGCTTGCACAGCAGGGGCTCCTTGGCTCACCCCTAAATGCGTCCGAGGTCCTTGAGCTTTGCGAGCAGCTCGTCCACAGACTCCACCTTGGTCCCGGCCTCCCTGGTTGGGGGGTCCTCCACGCTCACGATTTCAATGCGGGGGCTGATGTCCACCCCAAGGTCCTTGGGGGTCTTCTTCTCCAGGGGCTTCTTCTTGGCTTTCTACAGGGCAGGGCCAACCAGCATGGTACAGTGAGTGGGGGACACGTTTGTTGTGCGAGGTTCCAAGAGCCGTCTACAGTTTGTTTCATTCTGTTACAAGCAAAGCCAAAGCTATTAGCACAGTCTCTAATGAAGCTGGCATTGCACAAGTGTGCATGCTTGGCAGGAATGCTGAAAGCCTGGAATTTGCTCTCGTAGCTTCTGCTACGCTTGCACAAAGAGTGATACAGGGTATGGTACTTTCGGGAATCCCACGAAACAGTATGCCAAAAAATGAAAGATGTTTACAAATCTCAGTTATGTGAAATTAGAGCACAGTTCTTGAGGAGGAGGAGGAGGAGGGGAGGGTATGCCCCTCCTCCTCCTCCCGTCCTCTGCTCCTCATTCACCTTTCTTCCTCCTCTTCCTTCCTCCTCCTGTCGTTTCCCCGCTAAGGTTGACCCCACGTGACCTCGACAGCAATTCAATTCCCCGCTACTTTTAGCGGGAAAATTGATGTCGTGACCTCAACATCAATTCAGTTTTCCTGCTAAATTTAGCGGGGAAACTGAATTGGTGTTGAGGTCACGTGATGTCAATTTTCCCTCTAAATTTAGCGGAGAAACTGAATTTGTTCATAGGTGACATGACCCCAAGTCATGTCACGCCATTTTCCCCTCTAAATTTAGAGGGAAACTAAATTGGTGGAAAGGTTATGTGACGTCAATTTTCCCGCTAAATTTAGAGTGGAATTGAATGGCTGGTGAGGTCACGTGACGTCAATTTTCCCGCTAAATCTAGCAGAGAAACTGAGTTTGTTCATTGGTGACGTGACACCAAGTCATGCGACGTCATTTTCCCGCTAAATTTAGCTGGGAAACTGAATTGGTGTTGAGGTCATGTGACATCAATTTTCCCGTGGAATTTAGCGTGCTTACGCTGGCGTTGCGAAACCCGAAAACGGGCACCTAAAAGCTGCGCTCGGAAAGGAGAGCTTTCGACGCTCCACTCGTGCTATTCTTGGCAAAGAACTAAATTTTGCAACCATCATAATACACCTTTTTAGAAATAACTGGTGCCACCTGGCAGAATATGGGATTTGAGGATTAAACAATGCGTGGAGAGAGAAGAAGCATCTTATAACGAAGCGGGGGCAAAGTGACAACCCCAATAAACCATTTGCTATATCCCCCAAGCGCCCTGGCCTGCGCTTGAGGAATCCAGGGAACAATGTTCCTTCAGCTCCCTAGTGATCAGTAGTTTCGACTAAATCCATGGTTGCACAGTTTTGAGTGTAATTCCGAGTCACCCTAAACTGGCGTCATATAGTGCCCAAAGACCTGTCATATCGCTTTTAAGATTTTGTCAGTGTCAGCATTTTCGATACTGTGCACGCTGTCCACCCTTCAACCTGGCTGAGCTACAGAACTCTTATATTATTGTCATTCTCATACAACTTCAAAGACGCTGATATTAAAGGGGCACTGACACCCCAAAGGTCGTATTTATTTTTATTGTCTAAAACGATGCAAGTTGCAGTCATAGACACGCAGAAAAAACCGCATCGCGAAAAAAAAATTTCCCGCGCGCGCCTTTTTATTTTGGGCGTTTGATTTTCCCGCCTCTCGCCTCCTCGCTTCTTTTGATCGGTGACGTCAAAAATCAGGAAATTTAGAAGCTTTGTAGGCGACATCTCTAGAACATTTAATTACGGCAATCCTAAAACATGTTTTTTAACGCAATTGCGAACGCACTACGGCCCTTCTTTTTGAAATACCAAAAATCGGGAGTTCGTTGTGGTGTCGTCTCCTGGATTTGTATCCTCCAACAGAAAACAGGCGACACCGCTCAAAACCGGTCCGCGCCGCCGCTCACTCCTTTCCTCCTCGCTTTGGGTCGCCATGGCAACAGCAGGGAGTGGTGACAGGAAAGGGGACTCTCAGGTCTCCTCAATTTTTGACGTCAAGGCACCGGCGCCGATCGCGCGGGAACTTCGAATTCGGCATTTGGAAATTGTTTTTTTACTTCACGAATACTGAATTCCCAAATCTCAAATTTTGTGGGTAATGTCCCGGCATCGTTTTCAATCGTTTCGGATAATAAAAAAAAATATGATTTTGATGTGTCAGTGCCCCTTTAAGTTAGAAACGCTAAAAATGCTATAAACAGCCTCGCTGACTCCGAGCTAAATCCTGGCTTTTGTTGTCGCAAATTCTCAGCTTTTTAAGCAATTCCTGCTAAAACAACAATCGCGAGAATGATAATATTGAATACACAGAAGGAATAAAACACATGAAGGACGAACACAGACACACACAGTTCTTTCAATGAGCAACGAACATTTATGAAATGCCCATGACACTAAGACCGTGAACTTCAAAGAATTGAAAGAAAGAGCACAAAAAATCAAACGACAATAAAATGCTCAAATTTAAAATAAAAATAATTGCTCAAAAAATTTTAAAATACCAAATTAAAACGATAGGACATTTATGTAAATTAATCCCTGAATAAAGGGGAAAAGGAAGAAGAAAAGAAAGGAAATTAGCCCCTGACAATGGAAAAAAAGAGTAAAAGAAGGCAAAAGTTATTAATTGATCAAAACTGGCTTTTCGATAACTCTGGCGCGAGGAACTCCAGCTTTTTTGACGAACACCAGAGGAGGCTCAGAAACATTGTTTGCGGCATATTCGATCTTAAACACCTCAATGATTTCTCGCCCACACTTATCTCTGTGTGTTTCAAGGACAGTGGTGTTTTCAAAGTTTGGGGTGCAATCGTGGCAGGTGTGGGCATGCACAACTATGGGGTGAAATGAGTCCGATGATGCCTGTCTCCCCAAACTCCATCACCTCGAGACCATAACGAAATTGGCGCGACTAATTCAGAACCATTTTGAAGAATCAAACGGACCGAAATGGCGTTGGCCATGGCGACCGAGATCAATCGGCCAATCACCTTGAGAGGTTTGGTCTGTACTTATCTGTATCCGGCTAGCAGGGGTATCGGTGGCCTTGTGGGCTAGTGCACACCAGCTCAGAGCACGTGAAGCGAAAGCTCGCACTGCAGAACCCAAGGATCCTGGGTTCAATCCCCACCTCTGCCAGTTTCGATCTGAATGAGCATCGTACCGGCAAACGGTCGTGTGTCACTTCTGCATGGTGCACGTTAAAGACCCCAGGCTAGTGGTTGTACTGCACTAGCTAAATTGCTCATCTACAGCAGAGACAAGTTACCCGTCGAAGCAGACTAACTTCAGGCTGCAGAAACATACACCAATTTTTTCTTGTCCGGCTAGCATGCAGGGAAGGCAATGGCGCTACTTTCCAGGATCCGGTGACTTTAGGGGGCGTAAGCCGCCGCACGATTAAAAGGGTTCAGCCGTATCCATCCATCCCTCTATCATCGCATCACGCCACTTGTCCCGTCGTAACGCGCCACCCGCGACGTAGCATCGTGCCACCTGACCCAATGCCACCTAGAAAACGAGGCGTGCGCCATTTCCTCCCCAAATGTCGTCACTAGCGGGTCCACGCAGCACCAACTAGCACCAACTAGCGTGTTGCAGCGTCTCGGAATGAGCATGATACTAGCACGCGGTGACGCCAGGACGGACGCATCTGTGTTTTTTGGCGACTCATCGAGCTTCGGAGTGTTTGCGGCATGGGGTGGATTGGAGATCCACTAACGACGACGTTATCGTGAGACTTTGCCGTCAAGACTCTGCGGTGCGCGAACGGGACACCATGCCCAATGACTTTGCCGCAACCTGTTGCGGCTATCGCTGCAACTGTGCCAGGCATCCACACAGGACTGCTCACTTCCCTTCATCAACCACCAGCACATACAGATGATATACGCTCGGGTGATGATAGTTGTCGAAGTGGCCACACTGAATTTCGGAAAGGGTCTATCGAGGATACAAAGCACTTTGCGAGACCACTGGCAAAGAAAAAGGGTTGCTTTGACGAAGTCGGAAAGGGAGACCCACCATGATGTTTGGGAGGGTGGCATATCGAGGCTCATTCAGCCTCAAGTCCGCACTTAGGACGGTTGGCAGCTTGACCTTGACGTGCTCCAGGCCACCATCCACTTCCCGTGTCACCTTCAGGCTGTCCCCATCTTTCTCCACCTTGGACGCAAATGTGCCCTGGGAAGTAATGATAGACGTACGAAAGCGTGCAATAAATGAATGTGTGTTCCTAGAATTTTCCGTTTCCTCGCCATGCCCTAGTGCCCCATCTAAATTATTCCTCTAATTGTTCCGGCTTCTCCCTATGGGTAGACGGCCTGCAATGATGGTGCCCCCTTCATTCGTTAAGACCACGGTCCAAAGTGCAGTGGCTAGGAATCAAATGATCCGAGAGGTGATCACTGATCAATCCCATTGCTTGAAGTCGATTATCTACTACAAAAAGTTTAACATTAACACTGAGCACAAGGACAAAAAGAAAAGAGTGTGACTTCATGGAGGTTTCGAATAACAAAGTGCAATTTCTTCAAGCAGAGTAGACCATACCTGTGACCAGTCCAGCACTCCAGCGGTCATCTGGGCTGTCTGATTGCTGTCGTCATCGATTGCCTGTAACACAGGTGCAAACAACTGTGGCAGTTTGCAGATGGAGGCTTTGGTGATTGCACTGAGCAACAATAGATTTTGTTTCTTTGACTTTATTTTGGCCTTTTTTTTTCTGCAGACAACTTCACTTTAAAGAAGCTGTGCAACGATTTCAACGTTGAAAGAATTGGCATCTTCTACTTTTGACATTGTTCATCTTGTCACAAAGGACAGAAAACACACTTCCTTCCTTTGAAATGTTGCGATTCCGCCGCGTAATTGCGAGGCAAAAATTAGAATATTCTCCGACCTGCAGCCGCTAGCAGCGGCCATGAGAAACACGCCACATGACGTCAAAGGGGGTCTTGTAGAAAGATAGCAAGTTGTGCAAATTACCTGCTCGATAAAAAGTAACTTTTCTATAAATCTTGTCGTTCCAACATAAATATAAATACGTCCAAAACCTGGTATCACCGACAAAACTTTTATCATGCGAAGTTTTAGTGGCGCCATTTACCCTAGGTCCACAAAACTGTCAGCTCTATCTGCTACCGCGAACAGCCGCCAGAAGCCGGAGGGGGAGGGGGACAGAGCCGGACGGGTATGGCTGGACCCGGATGAGACTTTCTTCCTTTTACCATATTCTTCGCGCTGCGCCAGCACGTGGTCACGAGGTCGCAAGCGGATGAGTTCTCGCTGCTCATTGATCGCTCTAGAGAGAGCGCTTCACCGGAACCTTGCACGACCCCCATTGACGTCACAGCGCACGTGACTCGGAAGATGGTGAAGGAGTTGATTGGTGCTGAAAACCTCAATCTTTGTCCATTTTTAGAATAAAAACTAGGACATGCAGGCAAAAGCGGTTTTTTGTTCTTTACTTCAGAAAAGTTGAGACACCAACTCCCAAATTATTTAAGCAAAGCACTGAAACTGTTGCACAGCTCCTTTAAAGGGCCACTTAAAATAAAAATGTTTTTTTTAAACAGTCTGGGGCTTGACACGCGTGTCAAAAAATAAATTTTATGGTAATTTTTTTTTTTTTTTTTTTAATATTATTGACGGCGAAAGACGCGATTGAGTCGAATGTTACCTCCTTTCCCCCTGTTTTCTCACTCGGCGTTTCGGGCACCTAAAGGAAAGGTGGATCGGCCTGGCCATCACGTTGAGGTGGAAAGAGTGTATGACAATCCCTAAAGTCACGTCATGAACTTCGCGTGCAGAATTTAAAATAAATCTCGCGCTGTCAACATTGCTGCAAAATTTTTTTTTTTCCCATATAATTTATTTTTGTTATTAACCAAATTGCTTAAAAAAAATTTTTTTTCTTCTTTTTAGCATCTTTTTTTTAAAGGAGTACTCCAGCAAATTTTTGAACTACCCCAACTAACTACACTTTCTTAATCCCTGGCCTTTACCCTTTCCGGTACAGTATTTAGTATGGCGAAATTCAGAATAGTTTTTGAGAAACTGACAAATGAAAATGATGCCAAAACCAACATTCAAATATAGCCGCGCCGTGATGTCAGTGGCAGGCAGGCATGCAGGTCGAATAAGCAGTCTAAAACATGAGCTATGCCGAACATCTGTTTTGTGCTGTTGCGTGGGTGCTGGAGCGCTCTTCCAATGCTTTCATTTGACACCATGAAGCTGCTTGCAATCAGTTGGGAACTAATTCTACACTCCAAAGAGTGAACCCCTGCCTTCCGCTGGTGTCACTTTTTCATTGTTGACAGCAAAGACTTTCAGTTTGAAAAACAGGGTGAGAACCAAAATTGTAAATTTTATAACTTCGCAAGCAAATATTACTTCCACTTAATATTTTGGTTACTAATTCAGTGTTGGTGTATTTAGCCAGCTTTCAAGCAAATCGGGGACCACCAAGAAAGGGTTTCAAGGCTTGCATTCTTAAGAAAGACAAGAAAATTTGTACACCATTTTGGAGCAACCTTATGCAGACCTACATGTATGCTTTTAAAATGTTGCACACAATAATGGAGTTCATAAACAAAACATGATAACAGCTCCCTATACAGTTACTTCGACATGAACAGTGGAATACAAGCATCCAGTCAGTAAGCTCAATTTCTGTACCCAGAACAGGCTATGGACTAAAGTACTTTAGCCATGTTTAGAAACTTTAGTCATACCTAACGTGCACACAACAGAACTAAGCACTTAATCGGCATTTGCACAAACTTTTTCCAAATGACTACTATACTCCGTTTCACGATAACTTGGCAAATTGTTGAGGCTGCAGCCCCCGCAACCCAATGAGAGCGTCAAAGCAAGGCACGTGACAACAACACCCTATGGTCGAGGTGTCCTATGGAGCTGTCGAGGCCACAGACGCCTCGTTACCGGCACAGCAACAGCGCCGTCCATGACGAAAAGTAATTCTACGCTTCTTTTTCTTTTAGAAGTGTTGCGGTCAGGGGCGGATTTAGAGGGGGGGTCCGGATGTCCTGACCCCCCTCTTGATCTCTGCTTGTGTAAATTTTAGGGCGTAAAACGAAGGAGAGGGGAGGGGGTTCCTAAACATATGGTATGCTGACCAACACCTGACCCCCCCCCCCCACAGGAAATTCCTACATCCGCCCCTGGTTGCGGTCAAACTCTTTTGACTGCAACACTACACGACACGGAAGAAAGACGAAGACATGTTACTTTTCAACAATACTTAATACAGATCAACTCCTTTCCGAGAACATTATTTTTGAACGATGTTTCAACGCTTGCAGCCGCGTAATTGACCACTTCCAATCAAAACATTGCCCTCGCAATAGAAACCGCCACAGATTCGCGGGTAAATTGAGTGTATGACTGTCTTATGAAATGTTCTCGAACAGCTCGCTACTCTAGTTGGCGGCAAAGTTGCGGCGGTGGGCGTTATGAATCCGAAGTTGGTTGGTTTCACAGCAGATGACTCTTGGCCGGCAGACGACAGCCAGTTCCTCCAGCCTCGCATTTGGCGCAGTGACAAAACATTCCAGTGACGTGGTGTCATGCACCTCACTCCTATGCTCCTATTAGGTCGCAGGGGCTGTAGCCTCCACAGTTTGCCAAGTTATCTCGAAACGGAGTATAGTTTGCTACAACAAAAACGAGCATAGCACATATAATAGACTGAGGATGAGTACAGCACAAGAATAGGCAGTAAAGCCTGGTGCTATTCGATCCTGAAGAGGAACAAAGTCTGACAAAGGTTAAAAGTGGGCTCCAGTTGAGCGCATGCATACCCAAAATGGAACAAAACTGCCTAAGGCGTTCTCAGCACTGTCGTCAGTCCACACCAGGGCCAAGCACACTTAGTGGGCCTTTTGAGCTACCATGGAATATACCACATTTTAGAGTGTAAACTGTGTACCTCCAATAATAGCACACAAAAATATAGGTATGACAGGCACTGGTGCACACAGACTAACATAATCTCATTAACAAGACACAGGCTAGAGATCTGATTAAGTTGGAATTTTAAGGCCCGACTAGTCTTTACCCAAAGCGACGCCAAACTCAACTGCGCCTTTTAAATGTAGGCTGGAGCACGACAGTGTTTCCAAGTTCTACCTTCGTCTTGCATAACACGACTTGCAATGAGCGAGGATTTCTGTTCTCTTGGAATTTATAGATATTTCTACAAAATGTTGACTGTTTTGCACTCAGAAACTGTGTTTTTGGAATGACCATGTGGATAATGGAAGGCTGGATCAATAATCAAAACTTCACTTTCACTCAAAAAAAGAATGAAAAAATGAAGCATTTAACTATGTGTGACAGTTTACTTGAAGGCTAAATGAATTCTTGATTGAAGGCATTTTTCTAAATGAAAAGAATCTAAGAGTTTATTTGGTGCCATTTTATAATGCCTGTTAAGAGAATGATGCTCAAACTGTGCACAATTTATTACCATATTTTCTGGACTATACATGTTTCAAAGTTGAAATTTTACTTGGTGCAGACCAGGGATGGGCAGTATTTCAAATACAAGTATTTGAAATACGTATTTTAAAGGGATACTTCAACGAAATTTGAAATATTCCCGTCGTGTTCAAAAATAGGTTGAATATGATCCACAATATCCGTAAATGACAATCGCACGTTTGTATTTTGAGCCTGGTGGCTGTATTTTTCGTTATAAACGGCCCACTCTGGCAAGCGCTCGGAGAAGGCCCAGCGGAGACCACGTGACATCCAACGCAATCGTGACGTAGGTCGTCTCAAGACGAGCAAAGCTACGGCGAGGCTGACGTCGAGAGGATGGCCTAGTCGTTCCAGCCACCGAAGCGGTTGCTTTTGTACAAATTTTGAGTGACGGGTTAATCTTGTATAATCTTGTAGGGGGACAATAGCGACTTCTGTGACACACAAAAGGCATTCTCGGGAAGAGGCGAGTTCCTCCTGCCCCTCTTCTCTCGTCGTGGCCGGAGGCGAGACAACCTCCGTCACTAGCTTCCAAGGTTGCTAGACGGGCATTACAAGCGAGGCGTTAGCGACATCCACCAGGTGCTCTTTGCTAATCGTTTAATTCGTTTTAAAATTCCTTTTCGTGACTTTTTTAACAAGATATTGGTATGTTCGATTTGATGGTGCTTTTTTGAACACATATAGACCAAAAAATGAGCGCCGAAATTTCGTTGTAGTATCCCTTTAAATACTTTGTGTATTTTGCATTTGTATTTAATTACAAATGGGGTAATATATTTGACGTGTGTATTTAAATACTAAAACGTGGGTATTTCAAATACAATTGTAATTAAATACAATTGTGCGGGCGAAAATACATCCCTCAAATTTAATGTCACTGTCCAGAGCAAGGAGAAATCTACGTTCTGCACCGAATGCAGCGACTCTCAATCAAGCACAAGCGTTTAGTGACTTTGTGATTACGGTGCTAGCCCAGGGCAAGATTAGTGACGAAATCGACGTTCACAGGCAGACTGGCTAAATAAGTGCTAGTGACAACTTGTGATGCTTTCCAGCCTGATTTCCATCCATATTTTTGCCTGGAACATTCTAAATATACGGGTCGTCTGGATTTTCGTAACTGGTGCAAGTTGCAACAATAAAACATTCTCTAGCCAGTGCTTCGTCGTTTCAGTTCTTTGTTGGTCTATACCGAAATGTAGTCGACAATAAAAGCTGCTTCAAGCTCTGTACTTTTTTTACCTATTACGTCCAAGCTGATTACATTTTTTTGTGATTATATTTCTATTACGTTACTAGAGCCTCGCACACTAACTCCCGAGTGTGCGATGCAAAATTAAAATGAGACACCCAGAAACCCGTTGCAGGTGCCCTGAAGTCAGTGACGCAAATAGACTTCTTCCAAAACCGACGCGCCCCATCGCGGTGAAATACTACGCAGTGCACTCTGGGAACTAGTTGGCCACTCAGTTTCGGTTTCGAGTGAGCAGGTTCATCTCATGCTCTCACGCCGCGACCGAACGCGCTGATTGCGATTTCGATTATCTGACTTATTACGAATGCACAATACACTCATTCTCGAGCGATACAAAACGAAGACCGGGACACTTTCCTTGGTTCCCGAAACACTGGATATTGTGCGTGCGTATGCAAACGTAGTAAGACGTGGCTTAGTCACCTCACCCCACGAGTGCATCTTTGAGCTCAATGTCAGTAATCCCGTCTAGTACCAGTGAACTACAACTGAAATTTGGTCACCTTGAGCCCTACACATATTTTGTTTGCCAAACGTCCACTTCTTGTTACTTCATTGGGCGAAAAGCAAGCCGCATCTTCAGAGGATTATCAAAGTTGAGCCCAGCGTTGGCGCATAAACTTTTAAAACGCAATAACGTCGACCTCACTACTGCACAAAAGTTATTATGATGTCTTCCTTGTGTCATCACATATCTCACACTCAAATTTTATGCTGATAGAAGATTAAGTTTTCGCAAACACTGAGATCGGCTTGCTACGACGGAGGCCTAACAAGCGCCCTTACTCCTCGGTAAGCCTTTTTGGACGAGCTTTTTCTGACGCCCAAGATCTGTGCCTGAACGGTGAGTCTGAAATTATCTCGGCATACTCAGTCAGGAAGAAAGCAAACAGATAACAAATATTATAGCCATTAGCAACCGTCAAATGCGCTTTGAATAATTTCGTTCGTTTGGCGCACCGCATAGGGGTTCATGCCCGTCCGGAGCTTTTGCGGCAAACGGTGAGCGATTCTTCACACATGTGCTCGACTTTTGCTTTCTTAAAACGGTTTGTATGTGCGAATATGCCTATATGGTTGGCAGGATAACTTTATGCGCATAAGCGATGTTGAATATTAGTGGAATGCAAGCGGGTAGAAACTTCACTTCGTGCAGTGCTGCGGGGCAGTACAGATACTAGAGGAAAAGTGTGTTCAAATGGACCTTTTCAATGGCGCCTCCGAGGCGTATTAAGGAAAACAGTAATCGCAAAAAGTTATATTTCGTCTATGGACGCACGAAACAAACTGATCAACAATACTAATGTAAAGGCTCGAGCTCGATGTATGCATACTTATTGGTTGTGCTAAAGCTTCGAAGTCTGGCCATTTAGGTTAGTTTAGAGACCACAAATGACGCTCTCGGGACGAGAAAGCATGAAATAACGGCCGTTGTGTCACCACTTGTCGACGTGTCGATCGAAACCGAAACCATGCCACTCTCCTCCCTGGCCAACTAGTTCCCAGAGTGCAACGCGCGCCGTGTTGCATGCACGGCTTTATGGAAGTAGTCTAAAGTATTTGGAGGAGACCAAATACATTTGGTTGTATTTGTATCTTGTAGTTAAATGCTTTTTTGGAAATGTAATTAGATTTGTAATTAAATACATTTTTGATGAAGTATTTTGTATTTGTATTTCGATACATATTTGCATGTATTTTGCCCATCCCTGGTGTGGACTATCTACAGTTGGGGATTATACAAGGTTTTCTAGTTTTCTAGATCGGTCTCTTTGACAAGACATGAAGGATTTTATAAATTACAGAGTATATCAATTGTGATTTATGGTATGATGCAAGCTTCTTTGTGAGCTAATACAGCAGGCATTTGTCAAGGTGTGCTGTGTATGATACTTTTTATGTTTGGATTAGGCACTAAGTGCGGACTTTGTGCCACGTGCGGACTATGCGCCGGATGTTAACTATCTATGCAAAACCTTCTATTTTTGACCCCAAGTTTGCTTCTGCGGACTATACACCGGGTGTCTATATAGCAGGGTATCCGTATTAATGCGGAACACATTAATGACACATGACCGTGTTTCATTAATGTCTACAGTCCACAAGCGCTCGGTCTCCTTTACGATTGGCCTGGCTGCTTTCGAAGTGGCGGCCTTTCTCACCTGCTTCCCCACAAGGAGTATGTCCACCTTGTTGTCCTGTGCCAGCTTGGCCAGCAGCTTGGAGACATGCAGGGGCTGCAGGGTCTCATAGTCCTTGCCCTCCACCTCCACATGGATGGCCTTGTCTGCACCCATGGCAAGGGCTGTCCTCAGAGTCTCCTGCGAGAGAAAACATTGCTGCACATGGAGCAATGGCACTGGCCCGACACCTTCTGTAGCGGAACAAAGGGTTCAATGAATACCAAACTCCCCAAGATGTGAGCATGTACTGCCCTCATTTATATCCTAGCAGGAAACATTACAGAAAAAGAGCATGTAATTGATACTGCTCTACCATACTTGCTGTAAATGTGCATGCAGGAGGGACAGAGCAACGAAGTAGGAAAGGCAGAAGCATGACAGAGAAGTCAGAAAAGCAGTTTGGGTCACTTCTAATGATCAGTTATCTGGGAAACACACTCTCTGAAAAGGAAAAAATTACTTTCTCTACATAACACTTCTTTCATGTCACAGCATGATTGCCCTGACGTTACGACCGCCTTTATGGTATTGAGGTCCTGCTTCAGCCTCTGGAGTGAAGGCTGGAAGGTTTAAACCCCTGAGTAACCCTACCCCAAAGAGCATTTAGTATGCTGCTCAAGCCTCAGTTACTTTGCGGCATAAGACATTTCCTTTCCTTGGCCTTACCTGGCAAGCAGCAGGGCCGCAGGAGACGGCAATGATCTCGCTGGCGATCTTCTTCTCCTTCATGCGCACCGCTTCCTCGACGGCAATTTCATCGAAGGGGTTGAGACTGTGCTTGACTCCGTCTGTCACGACACCGGTCTTGTCTGGCTTCACACGGATCTGTCATAATAGTTGCAAGCTAGAACTATGCTTCTAGTAGGTGAAACCATCCCAGATTAGTGCAACACATGGTATGCACTTGGTGTCCCTTCATTACCGGTGGCTATTCCCACTTGTTTAGGATGAGCCTGATATCAGATCAATTTTACACTTGAAGATTAAAATCACCAAGGCATGTACTACACACAATATGAGCCTGGTGCCCATGCATTTTGCAGAAGATTATGCACAATTAGTCCAAACATGACATCAGCAGTTTGTTGCACTTTACTCATGCAACTTGGCATCAGACATTGCACCTTAACACATAGGTCAAAGTCACATATGAGTGGACACATTCTACCACACTGGTAGTGTCCATGACAGCTTTCAAGTTGCAAGTTCTCCAGGCATAGCAGCGTGGAGAAGAATCGTGCCAGCAGCGTACTCTCATATGCTGGCTGAGCCCCTACCTTCTGCAACTCCCTTTCGCTACTGTTTGCAGGGTATGCAGTTGCAGTGTCTTTATAATACAAGGCACCAATGTCAGTATCCGACGTGCATTGTTGCTGTAAGAGATGAATTTCACGGACAACCTTCCATGAAATTACAAATGGAGGTCCATGGGTGGGTGTGGGGAATAATTTACACGTCTGCTAATCCTACCCAAATTAGCAGAAAAGAGTGATGCCTGCGTGTTTTGCCACTCAAATAAGTATGTCACACTCAGGCATCAGGCACAGCCACACTTGGTTTGGTCAGGATGTGTAGGACTATGTGTAGCGTAGTGAAATAGAAATTTGTCCCTTGCACATAAGCAGGCCCACCTACATTACAGGTGTAGCCCACTTTGTGCCAGTAGCAATTGCCGGCTTCCAGCACAATGGGGGTGCTGTTCCTTTTGGATTTGGAGTATCTGTAGTACCCAAACAGTATCTGTAGCACTACATAAAATGTTTAAGCCAATTTAATCATGAGTTACTCCTTATCCCTCTTCCGATTTAACCGTCATTCCTTTCACTTTCTCTTACTTAGGCTCTACTTCTTGAACACCTTTATTTCATCGTCCACTTCAAATCCCATGGCCCCGAGGTTATCCACCTCTTCGTGTGAAGCACTAGGCTGTCGAGCCCCTTACACTCTATAACATGGTCTGGCATTTCAATTCCCTCCCAGCATATAACACATGTTGAGTTTGTCTCGTGGCATTTGACCCTGCACATCCTAGTTCTCACAACTCCTGCTCCAGCCTCAAATAATAAGGCACATCATCTAACATTATCAAACACTTGTTGATTTTAATCTCAGTTTTCTTTGCCCTGTACATTTGTAAAGCTAGTTTCTACTGAATTCTTGCTCTTCCTTTCCTTTGAAATATCTTTCACCGACCTTGTTCATACATCTTCCCTGGTGTTACACAAGCACTTTGATGAGAGTCTTAGATATTGTGCCCGCCTATCTTTCCCCACCCCTTTCCCGCTCAACTACTCTTCAAACGAAGCCCAGTCCGTGTCTCCTCGTACACCTTCAACAACTACTGCCGTATCATCACATAAAAGTAGCCAGCTAATGAGGGGACAGATGGTAACCAGGCAATGATAAAACAAGAAAAAATATTGCCGGCGGTTTTTTTTTTTTTTTTTATGTTTATATTTGATAAGCATGGCTCGCACATAAAGGGTTGGATCGTATGCGGAAAATTTGAGATCGCACAGCTAAGGGTTGCGACAGCAGATCCTTTTGACGTCGCAAAATAATGCCAACCCGATGGATGATGACACGATATGAATATTAGGCGTGCTATGCTACAGGGAAACTTCAGAAAATTCCTTCGCGAACGTATGCAAAGATTTGCGGCACGATAAAGCCGCTGACCTTAGAAACGCCTTGCGAGAGCACGAGTGCTTACTCCAAGTTCTGCGCTTCACGGCTACAGAATAAATCATAGTAATTGTGGGAGTTCCCCACTGATAAGATGTTAACGATCATAGACAACCAGTGCGCGTGTGTACTTACTTTTACTGCATAATCGATCACACGCTTACAGCCGACCATCACTCTGAGCGCCATTGCGAATGATCAATGGTAGCAAAAAATAAAGAGAAAAAGGAGACAAGCTAAACACTTCTGGAGGTTAGCTGGCGCTCTCTTTTGCACTGGTGTCGCCGCATCGCCCTGGTCCCTGTTGAATATTTCTTCCAAAAACAATAACAATAATAGTGCCTGTAAATGTGAAATTACTATTAAATGGAACTTTATAATTGCAGCAAGCGGTCAAAAATAATACAAGAAACGAGACAAACAAGTACAAGGAAGAAGGAACACAACGAAGCTAACGTTGGGAGGCGCTGGCTGCAGTCAAAGTGTCACTGGTCAAGTGTTCAACTTCCCATCCGTACGTCTGTAGCAAAACAGACGAGTGCAGCCTTCAGCCAGCATCAGCGCTGGCCAGGAGCTATCTGTGGTATCGCTAGAATTTAGCCGTCGTGAACGTTTTCTTTGTCCGTGTGCTTTTTCTGTGGATCGCATGGTGTTTCACGTTATGTTTTCGAGGGTGACATTCTATCCCACATTAGTCTACAATGTTGTCATGGAGCGTGTATCAACGCGACGCTGGTACGACCGGATCGACGATACCGTCTTTCTTGGAGCACTCCCGTTCCGGAGCATCACTCCAAAGGTTCGGCTCTCTTTCTCCTCTGCGGCTTCTCGTTGGCAGACGTTTTTTATTTACAAATGTGCACATTCTATGTGACGCGAGGATTCAAGGGCATCACTAAAGGCGTGTATTTCTTTTCTCAGCTCCTGGAAGAAGAGAACGTCCGGGGTGTCGTGTCAATGAACGAGGACTTCGAACTCAGATACTGGGTCACGAGCAAAGCGGTACGAACGAGTGCTATTTTTGTTTTTCTTCCTCGTGATGACGTCATCAAGCGTGGATCTTGCCCCCCTTTTCAATGTTTATGACCAGCGAATCGATGACCACATACTTGCGATCGTAGTTACGTCACTTGGAACCGCGATGGAACCGTTGCAGAAAGCGCAAAACTTCCATCCTTTTTAATTACCGGAAACGCCACATACCGTTGCTACCTGTACCATTGCTATCAGTTGGTATACCCTTTCCTCACGGATGAAGGACGGTGCTGATGAATTCAGTACGTAAAAGCTGCCTTCGCCTTAGTGCCAAGTGGCTCGCATTGACACCCTGCAGGAATGGGAAAAGAATGGTGTCAAGTTCCTCCAACTGAGCACCACAGACATCTTTGAGACGCCCTGCCTGGAGAAGTTGGAGCGGGGGGTGCAGTTCATCAGGAGCTTTGAAAACACAGACAAGACGGTGTACGTCCACTGCAAGGCCGGAAGGACGCGCAGCGCCACCCTTGTCGGCTGCTACCTCATGCAGGTGCGGTCTTGTCCTTGTCCCTGCTTGTACCTCTTGAATTGTGGGCTGGAATTGTGGGGGGGCTGTAATAAACTGTCCATAATCTGTGTTGAAAAAAAATACATATATAATTTTAATGCACGAGCTTTAAAGGAGCTGTGCAACAATTTTAACGTTGAAAGAATTGCATCTTCTACTTTTGACATTGTTCACCTTCTCACAAAGGACAGAAAACACGCCGCCTTCCTTCGAAACGTTGCGATTGCGCCGCGTAATCGCGATATGAAAATTAAAATATTCCCTGACTTGCAGCCGCAAGCGGCGGCCATGAGAAACACGCGGAATGACCTCAATGGGGGTCTTGTAGAAATATAGCAAGTTGTGCGAATACCTGCTGGATAAAAAGTAACTTTTCTATAAATCTTGTGGTTCCAACATAAACATAAATGCATCAAAAACCTGGTATCATCGACAAAACTTTTATTATACCGAGGTTTAGTGGCACCATCTATCCTAGGTCCACAAAACCGTCTGCTCTATCTGCTACCGCAGACAGCCGCCAGAAGCCGGAAGGGGACAGGGCCGGACGGGTATGGCCGGATCCGGACGAGACTTCCCTCCTTTTACCATATTATTTGCGCTGTGCCCGCCAGCACGCGGTCGCAAGCGGATGAGTTCTCGCTGGTCACTGATGGCTCTAGAGAGAGAGCTTCACGGGAACCCCGCGCAACCCCATTGACGTCACAGCGCACGTGACTCGGAAGATGGTGAAGGAGTTGAGATGCGCCGAAAACATCAATCTTCGTCCATTTTTAAAATAAAAACTTGGACCTGCAGGTCAAAAGCGTTTTTTTGTTTTTTTACTTCAGGAAGGTCGAGACACCAACTCCCAAATTATTTAAGCAAAGCACAGAAACTGTTGCACAGCTCCTTTAAATAAGGTTGAAAAGTGACGAGACATTTTTTGAGGCATGTTTTCACCTCTTGTCAGATGTAATGGTTCTAAATCTTGAATGTGCAGGGGTGGAACGGCTGCGCCATTTGTGCCATTTTGCGCTAGACGCATTTGTCTGCGCCATCCTGCGCCACAGCCAATACCTCGCGCCATTATGCACCAAATCGTAAAACGTGCACCAAAAAAAAAATTTATTTTGTCTTGATTTCGGTTTTTTTCGACTCGATTGGCAACAATGAGCACGTTTAGCTTGGTCTGCCTTGCAATCCTTTGTTCTGTTTATTCTCCCTGCGTATCCCAAGTCAGAAACGCGCAAAAGAACTCGGGGGTCGAATTCCAAGCGCTACATCACCTGCGACTGGATTGTTATTCTTCCACCATAAGCGGTTAAGCAAGTCGGCTGAGGTGAGGTCGAGTCGTTAAGCGTCAGATTGCCTGAGGCTCTGCGGCCCGGGATCCGGGATCCGGACGTCAGCCAGTTGAAAACAAATGAGCAAAAGATTTGTTTTAGTACTTCATCGTTAGAAGTTGGAACCGCATTCCCGCAAGATAAATCGTGATTTGATAGAAATGAAATAGAATAAACTCGAAATTCATAACCCTGTTCCTCCGCAGAACTACACGTCCACTGCTTACACACGTCACGTGGTGCGCACATATAATTGCTATGTCGAGCACGTGTGGGTTGTGCGATAAGCAGTGCTGGTTTGCATTTTGAGCAGCTGAAATCCACTCAAAAAATATTAAGAATACTATCTCCAGAAACATATGGTACTTGCTTTTTGGTTCTCATGAAGTTTCAAGATTTTGCATCTGTTACACTGTTATCCCATCCAGAGCCGTATATGTAGAGAGTTTGGCCATTTGTTGGGACGTATAGGAGACAAATGAGAAGGCACCATTGGCCGAATGCGGGCTGGGCGTGTTCCAGCGCGTCTTCAGAAATTCGAATGTGACCAACCAGAAGTTGGAAATAATACCCTGGCGGTGGTCGCGAGAAGCAAACCTGATAAGTGCATCGGACTAACTCTCGTTGACTAAAAATGTGGTACACGTGATGCTTCAATTACGCTCATCCAAAATGATGGTGGAAGAGTGCGACTAGCGGAGCGATCGACATAATCCTTGCGCCGAGGGCCGGAAATCTGCCGTCCGAGCGGTTATACTCTGTGCGAGCAAAACAGAGTTGAGCGACGCATTCGTTTCTTACATCTTTCTGCAAGATCATGATCAAAACACCACGTGCACCCTACTTTCACCCACAAAGAGTAACTACACTTCACTCTTACGTGCTTATTAAAACCATATATGAACATACACCTTTAATCAGAACTGTTTCTCGCTACCACCGCCAGGGGATTCTTTTCGGCTTCTCGTTGGTCAAGTGAGCATGCAAAGCCCTCAGTCCGAGTCTGGTGCACGCCCTGACTCTGCCCGCGCCTCCTATTGGCCATACTCTCTAAATACACGGCTCTGATCCCATCTACCTAGGTTCCTAACCACTCATGTTCATCTGTACTGCTAAGCACAATTGAGATTGCTCCCGTGCTTGTCAAAAACACAGAGCTGAAGTGCAATGAAAACTGATCTGAGCTGCTCCTAGCCTGCTTCAGAATGTAGTTTCAGCTGCTCCGAACCTGTTCCAAAACAGCTGTTTCAGCTGCTCCCGTGGCTGCTCCAAAGCACATTTCATGAGTTCCACCCCTGAATATGGCTTTCAGAAAAAGAGGAAAAGAACAGTTTGTTAAGACGAACAAAAATAATTTGCCTCGCTCGCATGTTCGAACTGTATGAGACTGGGGCCATCCGAAGAGTTTGGGAGGGAGGTGGGAAAAAGCATTGCAAACATTTCTTGTCATAGCATGAACGAAGTGCACCAATCTACAGCATGATCTAAATGATGACTCAGCACAATTAACCAAGCAATAGGACCCAACGGGCTTGAACACTAGGCCTTCGGCCTATATTCTGTTTAAGACGTTCAATGAGCTACCATTACGGCAGCTCATCTCACCTCCATATTAGTTTTGGTTCCTTTCTGGACGTCACTCCACTTCATCAGCGCCATCAATGGTGTGAAGAAGTACCATTTCGAGGCTTCGGAAACCGGCTTTGAGATTAATGAAAATAAGTGATGATGATAGTGTCAGAATTTATTGCGCTTGGTTTGCAGCGTCGCTCGGTGTGCAGGTGAACAGGGAAAGGCATTGTGCCCAGGCACGACAAGTGCACCTGGCACCAGCCGGGTGGTGCCTAGACATGTTATGGATAAGACACACAAAAACATGGACATAGTTGTACACAAACTGTTCACACATAAACACATGCACATACACAGAAACACGCATATACTTATACTGATATTTGTGCGATCACCCTACAGAGCCCCTGGGGGTCATCCCTGTCATGAGGTAATGTCTCTGTTAATCGAAGAGAATTGTTCCTTCAAAGGGCGGCTGCACGTATTGAGCACGACTCCCTGTGGCATGATGTGTGTGCTTAAGGCGGCTGGCCCTAACAGTATACTTGTTCATGCGAGGTGCAAAGAGCACATCGGGTGGTGCATCGCCCATGATGCGGCACTCTGGCCGAATCAGTGTTCCTGCGGTGTTTCAGAGCCTGCGACTTAGCACGTTGCAGGAACCCGGTGGTGCAGATATCCCAGGAGACTGTGGGGCGTGAGGAGAGGCATTCCCGTCTGTGTAGTGCGAGGGCTGCTCTGCGCTGTACACTTTCAAGAGTGTTCTCTAAGTGCCGCCGATAGGGGTCCCAATTGGAAGAACGTAACTAGCTGTGGGAGCACAAGGGCTGTAACCAGGTGCTTAAGTGATGCTGCCGGCATGCCGCAAGTGACCCAGGTGATAAACCCCCAAGGTGCGTTTCTCTCAGGAGACAGATCCATATGTGTTGCGACTAGTCCAGATGTTGGTTGAATGTTACTCCAAGAAGTTTTCATGCGGGTGACTCAGGGAAGTGAGGAGCTGGCCAAGGTCAGCCTGACGGTCACGCTCATAGTTTCTGTGTGGTTTAGTGGCAGTCGATTAGCTACATACCATTTGTAGCATGCATCGAGGTCACTTTAAAAGGAGGCAAATGCATCTTTTGAGTTTGAAGGTTGTATGAGGGACGGGCCGTCTGCATATAATATTGGCCTTAGCATGTAGATCATCAATGGTGTCATTAAAAAGGAAAAAAGTGTGGGACCTAGTACACTGCCTTGGGACAGTGTACTAAGAAAGGATGCCAAATCAACTATGCTTTTATCTCTCATCACCTCCATTGCTTTGCCACAAAAAGATCAAGTATTCCTTTTTGATATACTTGTTAGTGAGTGCGTTGGTAATGATGTAGGTTTACAAAGAGTTGTATACGTAAAGACAGGGGACGGGACAACACATCTTTCGCGTCTCTATTTTCTCAGTACGATGAATAACTTCTGCTTTAACCCTTTGGAGTCATGTGTCGGGTGACCCCCGACAAAAAAATATTCAGGTTCTGGTCAAATGTCGGGGCTCCCCCGACAGGCCCATTTCTCCTTTGCGGTCAGGTGTCGGGCGCGCCCCGACAATGTCAACTTGCGCCATCTGTCATCGGGAATGTAAACTAGACTTCTTCGCCCTTCGAAAGGTGCTGCAAATGACGCTACACATTTTTTTTTTTTTTTGCGAAATGCGCGGGCGGGAATGTTGCGCGCCCTTTCACGAGTTCATCATGGCAGCCTTTACTCCGTCCGCATTTTACGGAAAGGCTTGTGACTCAAGTGACAGTGAATGTGATTTTAGTGGAGAAGACACCTATGATGTAAAGGAGGCCTCTGAGATAGTCTCTGCATGATGAGTCCTCAGAGAGTGATGGTGACAGCACCGAGAGTGATGAGGAGACATGCGCCGCCGCCACCGCGCATGCCTATTTTTTTGGTTGCTGGAAGTGGGAGTAGTCAACAGCTACCATCCACTTCTGCCTCGAAAAACTCAGCCAAGACGAGCAAGCACCGCAGCACCTCACGTTTTGGAAGGCATTGATAAAGGACCTTGTTGGAAATGTCCGCAACCAGCCAAGGAAACGGGGGCGCTCTTCTGATGGAGACTGTGAAGAGAGGCTGAGTGGAAAGAACCACTTTATTGATAAACTCGATGGAAGCAAAAACAAGGACTGCGCCATCTGCAAGAACAGAAAAACCAAGGGGCAACGGCGCGAAACAGTGTTCTACTGCAAAACCTGCGCTTGTCAACCTGGCCTGCACCCTGGCGCTTGCTTTGAAAAATACCACACGCTGCGCAAGTACCGCTAGCATTTCAAGAACTGAAAGCACCCAGGAAAATGCAGAGTTATTTTCAATTGAACATATTACTATATTAAAATAAAAACGTTAAATTTCAAGTCACTTGTTGCTTGCATCACTTTTGCATAAACTAATTCTGACCTGAGGGGCCGACAAGGGGAAAACTCACATGACCCCAAAAGGTTAAAAGGCTTATTCGTTTATGCCACCACAGAGACAGGCCCGATCAACCCCTGGAAAATACGTGAAGACAAACATGGAGGCAGTGGGAACGCTAATAAGACACCTTTACTTGCTCTCGCACTGGGAACCTGCCAATAATGATATGGCACCATGAGGGAACAAAGGATTTCAGTTGTATTTTAAGAAAATATATGCCCTCTGTGACAGGCATACGGCATTTAGAGCAGGGGATAATTATGTTGTGTTCAATTAAGTATCAATTCTCTCATTTAGGCTGTTTGGCATGTTTATATATTTAATTTATTTGCAGAAAACCCCACAGCGCTGAAGCATTAGAGCAGGGGGGTGAGTTTTTCAATGAAAATAACACAAATTTAACAGTTATATGCATCAATACACATCAGCACATGTAAGCACATGCAACAGAAGAACACTTCCGTCAAACCAAAATCTTCCACACCTCAGTAATTCTGCGTCGTCACATGTCGGCACAGATCCGCAATGCAGGGGGAACACTGGTTTTGGAGCTTTCTAATTTTTTGGCCAAGCCTAATGAAACAGTGGAGACTTTTTCAAACTTTTGTGCCAATTTCAAATGTTGTTTTTTTTTAATTTGAAATTAGTATGTTTGTTCTTAGGAGAATTATAATTAACCAGACTTTGTTTCCGAAAGCAAAAATGAAAACAATTTTTTTTTAAAAGAATGTTTTAACATATGGTGAGATACTACAGATTATGAAGAAGACAACGTTGGAAGATCTTAGTTTGAACCATAGTTCAGTGTTCAATGTGTGGCTACCAAGCAATAAAACAATAGTTCAATCAAAAATTTTCCTACACCTATACTGAAAAATCTGCTTCCACCACTGCATGCTTTGCATATTTAGCGACATGTTGCTAAAACAGTTATACTTCTGTCTGCCCTAGATGCTGAGAATATCCCTCCTGAAAATTTGTAAGCCCAAAATTTGTGTTTAGCTTCAGTGCAATTTCAGCCCACATAGAATTATAAAGTGATATTATGGCTCAAATATTAATCTTAAAAAAAAAAAAAAAAAAAAAACTTGACATAAAAAAGGTGTAGATTTTAAAATTGCCACCTCCCGCCCCCCAAAACAAAAAAACAAAAAAAAGAAGTTTTTTATTGATTTTTTTGGCTTCAAAGACTTGTCTCCCTTAAATCAAAGTAAAAAGAAAAAGTATGTTTACATTTGGTTTATAAAGGTAAAAAATGAATCCCTATCAGCTCATCCATATCCTCAGGCAGGTCATTCCATTCTGATATGGTTCTTTGGAAAAAAATTATATTTTATATAGTTTGTGCAACATTCTATTTTATGTATTTCTTCCCCGGTGATCTCTCCTATCCGAGATGTAATGGGGTGTTTCCAAATGTACCGATTTATATTTATAGACGAGCAGTACCGGATAATTGGGAGACAAAAAGCCATCCTCCTTTTCTCTCTCTCTATCTCTCAATTCGTTGTGTACATTGTGTGATTAGGCCACTTCCACTCATCCATTTTAGCCTTGGACCGGGCAGAAGTCCCATAACTCTTCCTACTATAGAAGCAAGGTCGGAGTTGTCAAACTGGACTTCCTTGTGCATGGGGGAAATGTCACCACTTACCAGTTCCTGGAACTCAAAAGAACAAAAGTTTCCTTATGATTTGCACAGACTGTGAGGAATGCATATTTGAAGAGCAGAAATAAACTATAGCCTAATCGGCCGAGGCGCACGCTTGTTTCTGTATTTCAACTTCGCATATTTTACGCATGCTGCGTGCAAACCAGAGCCGGAGTAGTACACTACTTCATTGGTCGGCGTTCTCTTGGCCCCTTGAGCTAAGTTATGGTTAACAAGACAAAGAATATGCGTTGAGTACATTATTTATCAAGACAAAGAATATGCGTTGAGTACATTATTTATCTTTTAAACAAATCCTTAGGGTAATTTTTTTTTTGTTGTTCTGGGGTGTGCTTGTGTTTTTGAGAAATTTTTCAGTTGCCTTTCTGTTTTAAATTGCTCTTAAAAAAAGAAACTGTGTTTTCGAGGGTCACACGTGCCATTTTGATGTGTTGCACCAGTTGCAGAAGGGGGTTATCTTTTACTCTGTTGAATTATATTTTCAGAGACTGTTTGCCCTACTTTTAATTTTGTGTCACTGGATACAGCAGCTGTTTTTCTTTGGTAGACATTCACCTGTTTTTAGACCCCCCGTGAACGTGCGAGGTTATTCTCTCTGCAACTGTTGTAGTTTTATGCCTGGATAGTTTTATCGTTTCTTGTATTTTCGGTCATGTTCTTCTTTGTATTTTGTTTTTGCATTTGAGGAGGAAGCCGAATTTGAGCTTCATAAAGGCACTTTTTTGTGAAAATCAATACTTATAATAAAAATAAAATGATGGCCCTTTCATGCCTCGTGAATATGAAATGTTCATTCTGAACATTGGTTAGCCAATCTGAAAAACTCGTTTTATGGTCTCTAATAGGTACACCTCTCCTCGAAGCAAGTTTCATAATTTTGTGCAATGCCACAGTTTTCAAGTAGAATCCAGTATTGGCTAATGTTTGCACCTTTGTCGGTTTTCGTACACATTGGGTTCAGTCTGATTTCTTTCCGAGAAAAACAAACTTGCGGTGGACCTTGACAAAAGCAAGAGTGCTTTAGTGACACTTCAGTGGAGGTTTTGAATGCATGTATATAGGCAAGTATGCCTGTGTTTAAAACCTCCGAAAAAATTGCTACCTCCTGAACCATACACAGTAATATAAAAAAGGTGCCCCATTGCATATCTGTACTCAACTGTGATGTCAATTACATAGTATATGTCTTCTCTGAAATACTTGATTCCAGGAAATTAGCAACAGTGCCACCATTTTCGTCAAGTGCTGAGCTGTGGCAGACACCGGTTTCTTTTTTTACTGTGTTGGGGTTACATTTTTATTTTTATAAACCAATTTTTTTTTTTTTATTTAAATGGCATCCTTTTTTTTTTTGTGTGTGATTTCAAGCAAACGAACAGATATCACTCATTGGCTTCCTCAGTTTGTTTTTCAGACAAAATGATGTTTAATGGGAAAGGAAAGCTAGGCAAACAAACACACTGCTTCTTGCTACTGCCACACATGGTGCTGTATATGTTCCTTAGTGAGTGACAAGGGCAGAACGGCAGGGAGGAGCTTCTGTTGTCCCGCCTAAGGTGCAAACTTCCTACCTTCGACAACGCTACGTCTTATACTCCTTGAGTGCGCTTGCGTGCAGCCAAAGCAAGTCAGAAGGCACGGAGCATGTGCTGTAAGTCGGGTGTTCAAGAAACCCGCCCTGCAATTCTAATTCTGTCAGTGGCTATGGTGGGTATCTGGTAGTACCAAAAAAAAAAAATTTTTTTTTTCCCCAGGAAAGTGTTTTTCTACCAAAGTTGGAGTTTTATACTTCTCCATGATAGATGCACTGCTGATTTCCATGGTTTGATAGGGTTACAATGGCATTTGCCATGCCACTGCCTGTGGTTTGGGTGTTGTCATTGGTCCCCCTGGATTTTCAACTCAATGAATTTAAACCATTTCTGTATTTCTTTCCTGTTGGCAAACAAGTAACATAATGTAACAACTTTTTGTTTTATAGAGTCAATCTAGGGTAACCAAGGAAACCAATTATAGCTGCTGTTTTGTGGGCTGAATACTGATTAACAATACCATTAGGTAAGAGTTGAAGCCAGCTTATTCATTTATTTGAGCTAGGGATATGCTTGTATTATGTGCATCAGAAAAATTGTTCCCGACTTCTAGGGCAAGTTGCTTTTTCAAACGCAGGGAGTTTGTTCGACACAAATTACATGAATGAATGTCCCATGCATTTACCTCGTAGCTAGAGATTTCATTTATTATTTATTTCATAATACAATAGGCCAGACTTCTGGGCCAAGCAGGATGGGCATGTTGAACAAAAACATGTAATCATTCGCATAAAAATAATGCAAACAACAGATCACAGACTCAAAAGTGCTTGGTGCAGCTCACATTCATAGTTTGACCCTGCCATTACCCTTGTCATTGAGCACGGCTTCTCATGTTGCACCATGTCTGAGTTGCACACCATTTTAGTGATCATTGTAAAGAAAGACTGCAATCTTCTTTACATTATTCATATACTGCGTTTGATTTGACTGAAAGGATGAAATTGCCGCACTAATGTTTACACTGCAGGAAGCCCCTTTTTTTTTTTTTAATGCAATGTTTTACATTTTTGCATAAGAAGGGCACGTTTACCGGCCGCATGGCACGACTCGTGCATTACGCAGTAACTACACAAGAGCACTCCAACACAATGCCCTCTACCAATCCTTCCTGATCAGATTTTTCTTTGCCACAGCAGTCGTAAAGATTGAGGTAGTTGGACATCAGAGGATCTAGCTCTGTGAGAAATGTTTGGTGTGCACAAAGTTGGCCTTCTAAACGAAGGAAGTTTTTGCTATGCTTTAGCGGGGTGCGAGTTCCGCCGCTGACCGCCGCCTAACACCTTTATCGGCACCTTACCGATCTCAGCCCCTCTTGTCTCACGTCCTCCAGAGATACACGTGGACCCCTCAGAGAGCAGTGGAGCTGCTACGTGAGAAGCGGCCGCACATCCTGCTGCACTACGCCCAGTGGGAGGCTCTGCACACCTACTTCAACAAGCATGTGGCCTCGGGCACAGGCAACGGCCAAGTGCTGGGCAGCACGCCCGGCTAGCTCGTGCCATGTCCCCCTTGGCTCGCCCGTTCTGGGAGTGCCGTTGGTACTAACATCCCTCGACTCTACACATGTGCCTCGTGTGACTGCTACGCAATCCGGGAGGTGCTGGGTGGCCCCGTTTCTTTCAGCTTGCGCAGATTGTCTCGCTGGTTCGGCGGGTCATTCTTAGTCGTGGTGTGTCGCGGGCGACACGTAAACTGAGTGCATTGTCTGGTTCTCGATTGAAGGTTTTTTTTGTTGCCGGCTTGGGACTGGCAGGATTAAGGTTGGTTTTAATGGCATAAATGTTAGAGTACAGATGTTTTGGCTCTTGAGGGTTAAAAGGTTAATAGTCTGCAACCTCCTAATGGTGTACCTACTCAAGATTCCCTAGAGCTTTCACATAGGTTAGGTCTAGGATGTGTCTATCCTGGAGTCCTGCACAGTAGTTTATATAGTTTTTTTATTGTTTACTTTTGTATTTTAAACATTGCTGGTGGCCGCTGAGGAAACTGCAAGTGGAAGCTATTTTTTAACATTTGTTTTAGTTTTCATCCTTAGTTTTTTAAGCAGTATGAAAGAATGATCAGTGAGAACAGTAAAGACTTGCAAGCTAGTAAACATTCAAAGTTCCTTGGTTCTTTCACTACAGTGGAAAAACCATTTGTGTGTAGCTATGGGCCATTGCAAATATTCTGGAATTCTTGCCTTAGCCATTTTTAGTAGAGAAAAAACGAGCGCACTGGTCAAGTTGAAACATAAAATGGACAGACAAAAACAACAGATGTGCCAGGTACAACCACATGGAATTTTGTGAATGGAACTGATAGACCACAAGCAAATAAGTTAAGAGGGAGGAGGGAGGGTAGAAAGGAAACTTGACTGGCTGGGGATGTGGGATTTGTGAAATCTGGATTTTAGGTCCACAATACTGATTGGGTTGCATCGGGTGGGATGTGGAGGGCAGAACGTAAAAGTTTTCTTATGGACGTCTTGAATACAAGCATCGCCCCACCCTCCTATCTTGCGTCCGAAGGGGATGTCTCTTGCCTCCAGCCAGAGCTTGGGCAGCATTCAAGGCCAGCCTTGTTTCCTCTCCATCTTCTCTCTCTTCTTAACTCATTCGTAGCGCACGGTTCTGCGCATTATGCCTTATGTGTAGTTGCAATCGAAAGATCTTTGTTTGTGCGTTCATTTCTTAATAGAGCTGCACTGCCATTGAAAATGGTTTATGGCTGTGGCAAGCAAGATGAACAGACTTCAGCTAGCAAAGGCAGAACAGAAAAAAAGAAAAGGTGCAGTATTCACAGTATATAGCTCTGTTGACTAGCCATTTTTCCCTGCAATTACTTCTGTCCAACTACCATCATCTAACAATTTAGAGATATGGCACCTTTTAAACCTAGTGTACCTTCATGAGGTTTGCCTTTTTTTTATTCATTATGGGATTGAATGTAACAGCATGGGCAATTCTCTCAGGTTTAGTCAAATCACTACCAGCATTGTATCTTACCAAGCGTATCCGAGTGCATTCTGATATGGGTGACAGCACCCTCCATATAGTGACAGTAAACCCAAACTCAAGGGTACAGGAACATACATGTTGCCTCACACCCTTTATCTTGAAGTAGCTGTCTTCTGATCAGCTCTGCTGGTTTTCACGTCCCTATATAGCACACAGGGCTTGCTCATCCTTCAGTAATGCCACCTGCCTGAAAATGTCTCCCTGCAGCACTTATCCCACATGTATTGCTGTGGTGTGGACTATAGATTGCTAGCTCAGTATAATATGCAAATCATAGTCTTCCACTAATGTTTGCACTGATGCCTGTGATTTGTCCCAAATCTGCTAACCTGTAACCTGGTCTACACATGTCCGATAAGGTGAGCCGTCACTGGTTGTATCTGTAGTACAATCTTCGTGCAGGTCTAGTTTTTGTAAACTGTCACCTGCTTGCTGAAAAGAGCCACAATATAGAGTGAAATGGTAAAGATAGAATGTTCAAAAGTCTGACACTGGGTAAAAAGCTATAAACCAGAAGTAAATCAGTGCAAGATGAGGTTTGGGCAAGAACCATTCCAACTTTAGTACTGCTGTGTTTGTTAATATTTGGCAGAATTCTTTTTTCATAAATTGTGAGTTTTTCTGATGTCATTCTATTTTTCAATTGCAATTTGAAGCTTTTAGGAGTTTTCATCTTCAAGTTGGCAATAATCGTTTTCTGACGAATTAGTATGTGAGGAAAAGAATTCTTATGAGTCACCCTTACCCCAGTTTATTGCAGACATGTTTTGCAACATTTACACACTTTTTAGTAATACGTTGTCACATTCTATGTAGCAATGCATTTGCTGTTAACAGAGTACAAACCACGTGATAGTATATATTCAGCCAGTGTTATCTCATGACAGCAGGTGTAAACAGATATTGATTACGATGTGGTACTCATTAAGTTGTTGCAGGTTGTAGCGAATATTTATGGCAATGCATTTACATCTGGTTCCTTGTAAATACTATGTGCAATGTACTAATATCTTTGTTGCAACCTCTCTTTCATGCTAAAGGTCATTCCCACCCCTTTGAAATACAAGATATTTATTTTAGCAAGTTTGTGCCCAGCCACAAGAACTCATATGCAAAGGATGTCTGTTGGCAAGACGGGAGAAAGCAATGTCTAGGTTGAACACAAGGTGCCGTTATCGAGTGTGGTGCATCTGCAAGGGACGTTAACCATATCTCCTATCGTTTTTAAATGGGTTGGGAGGAACAAGTGTTGTGGTTTGTGATAGCACACGTGTTATGTGCACCTCACTGTCACTTCTGGAAATAAATTGCAGTAATTCTATGACCTATTCTCGATTGGCTGCTTGCAACGGAAGATGTCAGATTTTATGAGGGAACCAGAGCCTTATCATTGCAGCATCTGCTGAAGTGAAGCCCTGGTGTACGAATAATGCCCCGTGTGTCTTACCGAGTGTTAAGGATCCTTGATCAAACACACGAGTCACTATGAGTGTTAAACACACAAACGCTTTGTATGGTATCTTCCAGCACAGATAAACGAAAAACATAGCGGTATGTTGTTGCCGGTGCCACTTACAACTGTGGGTCAAACGACTGAACCCGAGCTCTGAACCTGAACTCTATGGGGTGAATGACATGAAAACACATACAGAACAACACTGGATGAGGGTATGTTTCGAGTGTCAAGGTGCCAAACCTTTACTCCAAAGCGGGATCGAGAAACACGGCCGCGAGAAGGCACGGATGCAGCCAAATTGCGACGGGCGTATTAGAAGAGGTCGAAGCGGACACGGTGGATACAGCTTCACTATGCGACTTAATGTGGGCCCTGTCACTGGTGGCTCTGCTAACCAGCTGCCAAGGCAGAGCGGCACACCTCCTGTAGGCGTCGCACGCTCCCTACAGTGTGTTCAGGAAAGCCGTGGTATTGTAGCCTAGTCCAGCGCTGTGCAACTAAATTCTTCCAACAGAGGAGGAGCACATGCTGGGAGGCTCTTGGAGCATGGCAGCGCATCGCTGATCCTTCAATCTGTCAAGTTGCTTTTTCAGAACTTGCTCGTGACATGTCTTTCACATTTTTACGACAATAATATTCAGTACTAGTCAATCCTCATATCTGTAAGGAGCACGAGGCATCCAGAACACAGATCACATGTCTTTCCAAAAATATTAATTTTTCGGTACACTGTAAACCATCGAGCAAGTGCCCCATCAAAATTTGAAGATAATCACGAAAAAATAGGGGATGGGCACATGTAAGGTCATCAATTTTACATATATATGTACTGTGCAGATTTTTTTAGATGTTTCAAATTTTGGGTGTGGGTGCTTAGTGTGGAATGGGTGGGTGCATGGTATTTTATGGTATATATAAAAATTATTAATTTCTTTACCAGTCAACACTGTGATCTCTGTATGCACCACTGCAGCTTTCGTCAAATTGCAGCCAGCTCAGTTGGGACGTTTTCTACACAGCAGCAAGGAGGCCAATAAAGAGCCCTCAAAATATAAAGTTTCCTCTCCCACAAGAATGCTTTCTGTTTTTCAGGCAAGATTGAGGAGCCCTCGCTGGTAAAAGTTTTGTGGGTTTAGGCCTCTGAAGAACGCCAATATTTGGGGTCACCCATGACAAAAAATCGAGAGGTTTAGACATCTCCAATGCGAAATTGCAGCTCTAATTTTGCATTAGAGAAAAGATTGTATGCATAGGAGAAAGGCACACTTTCAAATCTGGATGCATTCGAGCGCCTGACGTGTTTAAAAAGAAACGGAAACTTCGTGAATGTTGATACCTGCATTGCAATAAAATTTACAAAATTAGACTGTGGCTATTATGCAAGAATATATGTTAGACAGAGATCCACTGACAAACTGTGTTCGTCATTCGTCCATTCTTTTTTTTCTTTCTTTAAATTCGAAATTGAAGAAAGGATATTTGCATATAGCAAGGCTTATAAATCCCCTCAATTAAGTATAGCTGGCCATCTCCACAGGTTTAATTTCATGTAATATCCATCGTTTCCTAGCGATCACAATGGAGGTATTGGACTTTCTGAGGCCACACGTCATAAATATAGTTAGATTAAAATTAGCTTAGAAATCCTTGATTGGAAGTTTGGGAACAACATTTGTGAGTTCAGCTGGGTTTTTGTTTAAGCATATGGTGCAACAGTAGTGAAAGGCTTGGAGAAACTATTTGATATTCCATTCAAAAATATTCTACTCCAACCAATCTTCGCTCTGAATTCGCTCCGAACTCAAAATCCACTATTTGTACATGACTACCGTAAAATACCGGAGGAGTGCCCACCCTACTTTAGCTGAAAACTAGGTTAATCTAGACATGAGCATTTGTCCGGTCAGATTGGGTGCCTGAAGTATAATTTGCAAAGTTCAAATGTTAATGGTGGGCGCTTCCACGGAATTTTACAGTAGTATTGAGTGATGATCAACTTGAAAAGTCATATTTGGGGGTCCTATGTTCCTTTTATTCTCCCTAACTGTCCCCAGTGCAGATCTGTATGCTCCAGACTGCAGATCCTTGCTCAGAGGGACCAGACAAGCTGAACAGCCTTGACAATGCCCACGTCGGTGAAGTTGAAGTAGAGGAGCCCTACCAGGGCAGAGATGGAGAGGGCATACACGGCTCCCACAGCCACCTTGGGGATCATGGCTCCGAAGATGGATGGCCGCACGTAGTCCACCACTATCGTCTCGACTCCCCTAAAAAACGAACGGCACGACTGGATAAAAGGTTGTCCAAACAGGACACAGCAAATTTTGTGCACGGCATCTGCTGCGCCGGTACAGCAAATGCTGTACTTGCACAGCCTCCACTTCCGTACCAGCAATGCCCAACTTTTGAGACAGCAAATGCTAGGCACGGCATTTGCTACACCAGAAGTGGAGGTTTTTATCTGATTCTAGACTGCTTTGGGACGTTTGGTTTGCCCGGGGGAAAGCTACCATCCACTTCCGTCCTTGGACAGTGGCTTGGAGAGTGTTCATCCTGTGGGCCCAGAAAACCACTCGCACGCTCAAGGCCTCCGCCATTGCTGTCGGCTCTCAATCTCTTGAAAACAAGGAAGTGGAGGAGACAATAACAAGGACAAAAGTCATGCTGTTTGTGTGGTTGATGTCTTCACTGAAAATGGACATGCACACTGCAACTTTTAAGTTTTCTGAGAAGCTAGTATGCTTTTTTTTGCTGTGTACAGCATTTGCTGTGTCCTGTTTGGACAGCCCTTAACATAGTAGAGATGGGTGTTGTGGATTGTACTATTGACAACAACTATTCTCGCGCACACATGGCTGCACAGTGCACGATTGGAACGGCGGCAAGGCGCTTGACCAATCGCCTCTTGTTTTCAATGTAAATAGTAAACCCATCTTTGTTTCCTTTTCAATGCTGTCCATCAGTTCATTATGCAAGAATAGTGACCCCTTAATTCGCGAAGACTCCTCTATTATCAATGCCCCCTAAAAATTTGGACCACCTCTTAATTTAAATCCCTGGCGGTATAGCAGGGGCTACACAGGGGAGAACCCCAGGAGACTGAACATATTTTGTTTGCAGTCTGAAAATGTATGCAAACAAACTGATGAACAGAGTGCAATAAAACTTTTCACAATGGTGTCATATGCGTAGGTTCGTAGATAAAAATGCAAGAGAAGAAAAAGCGTGTTATTTCTGTGCACAGGAAGAAAAACAAACCAACTGTTCAGTTGGTGCTGCTGCTCACAGATTGCAACACATGAAGAACTTGAAAGCTTGGAGATGAACACACAAAATACTACCAAACTGCACTCCGTTATTAGCTTATTGATACCTTTGTTTTTTTTTAAGAGTGAACAGCACTTTCAAACACTTGTAAGCACTGCAGTCATTTTCAAGCCGTCACTGAAAATATTTTAAATTTATTTTACAAAAAGGCAGCGTCTCTTCTTCTGGCAGCCGAAAGAATAATTTCCTAAAATTCTACTGGCAGTCGCCCCCCATTGGCTGTCTGAAATAATGTGAGAACGGCCAGTAGAATACTGAATTCATTCTTCCGGCATTTCGTGGAAACACATTTCATGGACAACTTTTCGTAGATACAAGTTTTACAGACATACATTTCGTCGACACTAGTGTTTCATCGACACTCATTACATGAATTGCACGGCATTGGGACATTTCATCGCGGGTGTATTACTGGGGACGCATGTTAAAAACCTACACGACCCCCCCATTCACGCTGCCTACGGTGACAGTCTGCAGTGGTTTATTACAAAAATGTTAACCCACCTGGCTCACCCGTACACGCTGCTTCGCGGCGACAATCTGGGGCGGCTTACAGAAAAAAGCTAATCTGAGCTGTCGATGGGCCAATGGGAGGCCCCTGGCAGTAGAATTTTAAGGAAACTATCCTCCCGGCTGCCGGGAGAACCCTCACTACCTTTATTTAATTTCATTTATTTGGCTCAGGAGAGTCGGGAGAAGAGCAGAAAGGCGGAAGGCCCATGCCAGTTGGTCTGCAAATGTCGGTTACTGCCTCGCGAGGTTTCTCTCTGGGGGGTCTTTTAATGGCCAAGTCAGACTTCAAGCACACACATGCGAATTAAAACTTACCAGTGCAAGTGCATGGTGACAGAGATGGCAAGCAAGGAGTCCATAACAGCATTTGGGAACATAAAAGCTCCCGGAATGACCGCCAGCAGGGAAGCGGCCAGGAGTCGTTCAGCCTTCCAAATGTTCACGTAGTTCGCTGCAAGCAACGCAAAATGAGGTAAAAGAATTAAATGCATCACATCTCTATAGAAATATTCGGCACTGAGTAACATCGTAGATGCATACCATCCGCCGATGCCAGTCGCACCGTCGTCACTTGAGGCTGGTAGGGTGCCAGCTTTTGAGAAGCCACGAACGATGTCAACGGTGCCTGCTGCCTTGACAGTGTCGACAGGAAGGCCCTTGCCTGGAAGCGACTAAACGAGGTTCCTATCGAAATAACAAGTGGAGGGATGTTTACCCAAACGAAGAGAAAACTCTTCCACTCGTGCAAGCCTACACCGATCTTCGAATCTGTACCTCTTCAAGGTACCTCAACTGAACTGGATTGTTCTTACCTCTGCACACTGTCAGTCGTAACATGTTAACGGCCATCTTCTCCCTGTATTTACAATTGTCGTCGCTATTTTTTGAAGAAGCTGAGGCTCGCTCAACAGTAAACGCACGAACTGCTCCTGTCCTCTTCTGGAGGTCGCAGTCGGTCGCAAAACGCAAATTTCTACGGAATTGGCTACGGTCGACTCCTGACCGGCTTTACAGCCTCACCACCTGGATCTCTAAACGACTTGGTATAATAAACTAACGCAACAAACTTTTAATACCACTACATAATTATAGCAATAATTATCTTAAATATAACGTTGTTGTAAATGTTATAATTATAATAACTGCTTAGACAGCTTCAAACCCCAGAACCAATTTCGCCAATTTTCTTTTGCGATCATCATCGTTAGCAAAATCACAAAGAAAAGAAAAAGAATATATGTCGTCGACGTAATCATGCTTCTTTCAGTTATTTCAGTTTCTTCCTACCTGTTGGCATTTATTGAATTCCCATGTATTTAAGGATGACAAGGTATGTGATATTTGCAACGTTCCTCTTCTACGGCAGCGTGTCCGCGTGGACTCAGGAGGACCTTGAGCTCTTCGACGTGGTGGAAGATGTCAACGAAAATTTCTACTCCTTCCTCGGTCTGTCGAAAGACGTCGACACCGCGGGCATCAAGAAAGCGTACAGAAAATTGTCGCTTCAGTATCACCCCGACAAAAATAAGGAGCAGGGCTCGGAAGACAAGTTTCGAAAGATAGTGGCAGTGGTAGAAATCCTGAAAGATGAGGAAAAGAGGAAAAAATACCATTCGATCCTGGAAAACGGCTTGCCCGATTGGCGCCAGCCGGTCTTTTACTACAGGAGGGTCCGCAAGATGGGCATGAGCGAGCTGTGCGTGTTTCTGCTCGTCCTCGTCACTCTAGGGCAACACGTCGTCGCCTGGGCCGCCTACTGGGAGCGCAAGTTCGAGCTGGAAGAGACGGTGCTCGCCAAGTTCAAGCGGAGAGACAAGAGGTCCAAAAAAGCTAACAGTGCCGTTGAGGACGAAATTCGCGCCTCGTACATAGAGAGCCTCGAAAAGCCGCAGTACCGGGACCTGCTCGTGGTTCGTTTGGTCTTATTCTTGGCGTACGTCGTGCGAAACTTACCCTCCATAACTCGGGAGTGCCTAAGACAAATACAGGAGCGACGGAATAGGGTTGTCGAGGAAGCAAGTAGCGAAGACGAAGCGTACGACGACAGAAGCGAGCGGGAACGCAGGCCCAAACGGCGCGTGCGCGTGATTCCGGAGGCCTCCGAGGTCACCTCAAACCTGTCTCCACCATCGACAGAGTCTTCGACGAGCAGGGAAAGCGAGGCCACCTGCTCGGACACTTGCAAGACTCCGTGGAGCGAAGACGACACCGTGGCCCTGATCAGGGCGATGAAGAAGTACCCCACAGGCACCGTGGAGCGGTGGCAGAAGATTGCAGACCTGCTAAACCGCACTGCAGATGAAGTCATCCTCGTCATGAAGCAGCTGAAGAAGTCCAACCTCACCGCCAACATCGTACCGCATGCTCAGGGTGTGACGGCCCACGACTACGAAAGCGTGACGGCGTTTGACCAGGCGCCGACGATCAGGTTGCTGGCAGACTCTGCGGACGGTGGCGCCCAGCCATTGCAGAAGGCGGACGACTGGAGCCAGGCGCAGCAGAAGTGCATGGAGGCTGCACTGCAGAGGTTTCCCAAGGGCACCGAGGATCGGTGGGACAGGATTGCCGAGGCCGTGCCTGGCAAGTCTAGGGAAGACTGTATGCTCAGGTTCAAGTTCCTCGTGGAGGCACTCCGGAGGCGAAAGGTTGAGGAAAAGTCTAAAACAAATTAAAGGGACGCTTTTCGCGCGGTTGTTTATGGATATATATAAATATATATTTATTTTCAGCTGTCCTGGTGGTTTTTACGGCAAAGGGATATCGCAGATGGCATTTAGAGACCCGTGACTGGTGGATGTATCTTGTACAAGAGATGGTTCTTATGATGCAAGACAGTGGGAAGAATTGGGGCCAAATTAGATTGGCTCTAGAAGTTGTAGGCTGGGGCATCAAAACTACTGCCCATAGGGTACTGTCACTACCATACTAGCCCATCAATAACTTTTAGGCATTTCTCAAATGGACTGGCCTACTCTCTATGCCATGTCAGCCTTTGGATTCAACTGCTACGCTTGAGCAAAACAGTAAATCAAATGTGACAAATTGGATGAGAATAAGTATGTGATGACAGGAGCAGTTATAAATTTTGGACCTAAAACATGGATAACGGCGTTTTGATAATGTGGCAGCACGCTGAGAAAAAGAAACAGATTTATTGCTCCGCTAGGTATGTACAGCCTCTGCATCCAAGTAACAAGAAAATAGAGCCTATGAACAACAAACAACGCTACCAGCTTCGGATCAATTGGTCATTCGTTTTGCTCTCCACTCCAGGATCTTGTTCTTGAGGTCGTTGTCCGAGGTCACCATCTCCATTGTCAGGGGAGACCGGTTGAAAGGGTCAGTCTGGTCACTGGAAAGGAAGCCAACAAAGGATGAGCCGGAGCATTCGCTTCCATGCCTCAAACCAGTACCCATGTGCCGATTCAGTTCCACAGCTGCCACAAGAGGCCTGGTAAAGCAACATTAACCCAAAATGCATCGTGCTCTTGCACTTGTTTTCCAAGATGCATATGCTAGTGTGCCTAAAAACTTGTACTACTTGGTGTGCTGGTAGCTGGTGATATTGGTAAGATTCCTGCCTATAGAAGAAGTCTATCGTGAGAGGGCAGCATTAAGTGCTATAAGTCGGAGTTCACGATGCACAGAGGCGCTTGTGACTCCAGGTTGTATATCATATAGGCCGTATTCCAAAAGTTAGTAGATCTCGCTGCGGGTCGAGGCGCTCGAAAACCTGCTTGCGTTCAGCTTCGCTCGATATGACCCGCAAGAGTGACTTATTTACTCGAGGGAGAGCCATAGTGCTGGATTTTGTTTAGGTAACCTACCATTGGACATCAATTTTGTGTCAGCGCTCGGCTGGGACTCGTGTCAAAGCAGCAGAGATTTAGCCAAACGTTGACGTAGCACTCTCATTTTCTTCCGTTTCAAAAGTGTGAAACCAAAAACTGTTAGGTGCCAGCCATGTAATGCCTTCAGAGTTAAAAATGCAACCTAAAATTTGCTGTCTCTTTTTGGTCATTTTAGGGATGCTACCATATTTTCCTATGTATAGGACGTTTTCACAAGGGCGTCACCATCTTGCAATATAGTCACCTCCAGTATGAAAGTGACAGTCTTTTTTAGACTTAAGCTAGGTGGCGCAAGCTACTGTCCGCTACAAAAAGTATAGCCAGTAATATCCATCCATCCATCCATCCATGGGCGAAAAATTTTTTTGCTGTCGCCACGCCAATTAAGATACAAGTGTAACCATCACCCATTCTCGTTTTGTCTCCCCTCTATTTTTTTGGTATTTGCAGGTTGAAATGTTTTATTATATTTTAGTCGCTCATACCGGATTTGCTACCGTGTGGCTGGGGACGAGAATAAGCGAAAAAGGTCTACAAGTTGCATTTTGTTTCTCACATTTATGTTGGTGTGTCTTACACCATAGTGAAACTTGTATGCCTTTTTACTTTTTACAAGGGAATTGCCTCTACAAAATGCAGGTTGTATCAACATTTCTGACAAAGAAAAAACAGCAGCGCTCACCGATGGTGTGATCTTTCGGTGGTCCGAAGATAGTGCAAAGTGCAGCGGCATAGGTCTGTGGTTACCAGTGGCGTATACAGGAATTTTTTTTTCGGAGGACGGGGGGAGGGGCACAGGACTGAGGCGGCTTGAATGTCTATGATTTAGGGTGTGGAGGGGGGGGGGGGGGGTGTTCAGAATGCAGGTGTATATTATAGGGTTTCGTGGGGGGGGGCTAAAGCCCCATAAGCCTCCCCCACGCCACTGGTGGTTACAGATTTGCCGTGCTGACCAAACAAAGTGTGACTTGCATATCAACTTTTTTGGAGAAAACGGCTGTCTATAGGGGGTGCGACTTACAGACCGAAAAATATGGTTTTTGGATATCGTTGTCACAAAAATTTCCCAATACCAATGAAAGGACATTAAAAATGTGTCCCCCTCCTCGATTAAAAAAGGAAAAAAAATTTTTGGCCAATTTCAGTTTGAAATTTTTGGAGTCAATTCTGCTGCAAAGGTTTTCAGCCAGCGAAAAGGAGCAAGCTGACGTCCCAACTTTAGTCCAGACTTGCCTGAGCAGATGTCTTGCTATGGTGGAACGGTCCAGGGTGATGCCAGAACTCGGCAGGACCACCGGGTCGTTCATGATGGTACTCATGATTGGGTCCAGGAACTCTTCAGGCGCATCTCCAATAGCTTCATCCTCTTGCTTCTGATGCGACGCCGCTTTCTGCGTGGGGTGGGGGGTACAGGAACAGTTAGTATATTGTTCTTCACTGCCTGCTGTATTCGAGAAGCTAACGCTAACATTCTAAGGTTGTGAGTAGGCTAAACATTTATTTGAAGTAGACATTACAATGCCACCATTGAGGCATGAGATAATGGTATCACAAAATTCTGCATTGTCCAAGACTTCATAAGGCAGATCTAATGACTTGCAGAACCGCACGAGTTCTTCGTCTATGGTGCCAGTTTCAGGCAAATTGAATTATGTATACTTGGAATAAAGAGCGTGCTGGTAGGGGTAAAATATAAATAAGGGAAGGACATAAAGACAAGGACGGACAAGACGTTTCCCAACTGGCAGCGAACGTTTATTGACGACTTGGACGGGCCGGGCTCTGTATGTAATATCACGGATTTCAACTTCCAGAATGCTGTAGTGTCCACAACAGCCTCACTATTGGTTGGTCCTGCCTGCAGTCATTTAGGATGAAAGGATCATAAAGCCTCAATATTTACATGCCACCCATTTTCAGTAACCAGCAACTCTAACCCTTTCACTGCCATTTTTTTTTAATTATGCAAATTTTTAAATTGTTTTTTGTCTCTATTGTTTAGACACATTCTTTCTAAAGGAGAAATTATGAGCAATTTTTCTACGAGACCTTAGTTATTAAATACCGTTGTGTTTTGTATTTAGGCGTCATGACTACTTGCAATGCAGTTTTTCTATTCTCAAACAAAAAAGTCCTCATTATTTTTAAAGAAAATTTTATGGATATAGAACATTTATAATTTGCAAGAAAGGAATATGGCAAGAAGCGTCTTCATCTTGACATCCTGTAGACCAACTGTAGCCTGATTAAGAATCTCGAAGTTGGTCTTCGAACGGTAGATCTCAAAGCAAGGTGCAGTCTTTGCACCAGTATCTTGTTTCCCTCTGGATCTTGGTCCCTCTGGCAGATGAGGCCTTGCGGTGGACGACACAGCACCGTGCTGGGAACTGCTTGTTCTCTGTTAGAGGAATGAAGCTTACAAAATGGTGAGCTGTAAGCCTCGAGGCTTCATTGTCAAACTTTTTTCCAACTTTCTTCTGTTGGCTCTCATTGCCATTTGCTGCAACCACCTTTTCTACAAGGTCCAGTTGATAGTCCAGTTGACTGAGTGAGCCTTCTTGTTTCTTGCACAGAACAAGAGTCATAGACACACTTGTCGGAAAGGTGCTGAAGATCTTCTTGTAATGGACCTTCTGCCCATTTCTCACAGCTGGGTAGTAAGAGAGGTTCTGGTCGCCCTTGTCAACACCTCCCATGGTGTTGTAGTCGTAAACCGCAGCAGGCTTTACGACTTTCTCAATCCATGCGTTAACTCCTTCGACAACCGTCGCATCTCAAACTGTGCTTAGCAAGGTAACAAGCTTTCTGTCGCACCATTGCAGGGCCATGCACTTTCCTCGCTGAAACGCCCAGATTTTCTTTTTTAGTTTGAGGTCTCTGAAAAGGGGCATGTCCGTCCTTGTTGGCCGAACCGTGCCACAGACATAGGTATTTTGCTGCAGGAGTTTGTCTACAAAGTCCATAGAGGTGTAGTAGTTATCGATAGTGACGCAGTACCCTTAGCAAAGAAAAGGTTCCGTCAGGCTCATGACAACCTTCGTGCCCGTGGCACTGTCTGCATCCAGCGTAACAGTCCCTGTGCTGGCGGACACAATGAGGTTAGAGATGTACCTGTTCTCAAACTCGCAAAGACTGAACGCCAAAGCGTGAGCGCTTCAGTGGCAGGTACTGTTTTCAGGATAGCCTTTCTCTGTACAGCATTTACCTTTCACCCATTACTACAGTGCTTTCAGGAACCATAGAGGTCGAGAAACCATTCCTAGAGGAGACATGGCAACGGCCACAGCTTGCGGAGCTTCGGTTGAGAGTGCTACGATTCATTGATCACGTCTTTGTTGTCGGAGAAATGAAGAAACTTCATTACTATCAGGTGAAATCTGTTCTTGCTCACGAATTCATCAAAGATGGGGGTTTGCAGAATTCTCCTGGTCGACCAATACATGGCGAGTTCAGGCTTGTCCATAATGCCTTGCAGCAATATCGATGCGAGGAACACCTTGAGCTCTTCCGCAGTCAACAGCTTCCACACTGCAGCGCGAGAGCCATCAGCTGTCAGATGCTTTGCGAGAAACTGTGAGGCATACCTGTTCGTTTCTTGCACGATCAAGGCGATGACTTTGTCGTCAAAAAAGAGCTAGAAAAACTCGAAAGGGTTGCGCTTATCTTGAACTGTAGCCGTCATACCGGGCAACGCCATAAAGGGAAATCGAGGGGTTGGAAGTGGCAGCTTCTCATTGCCAAGTTTCATCCACTTCCGAGATGCCTGTAAATCTTTGTCGTCACTTGTGTCACACTTGTCTGAGCTCAGTCCAAAATCAGATGCATAGTCACTCGCAATGTCCAGAAGCAGCTCCTCATCTTCATCTGAACTGCTTTGAATCTAGGCAAAACTGCATATTTTGCCGTGGTACAGGATTGTGTCTGTTGCCGCAAGCGTTTGAGAATGCCGCCGTTTTTAAAACCCAGGCTACCAGATGATTGCTCTATCTTCGCCGAAATTGGCAGAGCGCAAAAAAAGTGAGTTGCCTAGCGCCATCTGGTATTTGCCGGTAACAACGGAACGCTTTAGACGAGCCCAGCTCGTCTGTGGCATGTAGGAGACATATACGCATCGCAGGATGAGTCAGGCTCGTCACTGAGAGAATTAGCGCAGCAAGCGTGGACAAGTGAGACTCGTCCATGGCAGTTGAAGGGTTGAGGAACAAAATCAACATAAACTGGTGCCACACCCAGCTTCTCTAGTTAATGTTAATGCAGCAAATTAATTGCACGCTGCCTGAGTACCCTCAATGGACACTTTCTTTGCGACACAGATATTGCAATTGAGTTGGGAGACCGGGTCCACCAATACATACCAGAATTTTTTCTGCTAGTTCACCGACTCCAATGGATAGAATGCTCTGGCCTATTTTCAAGAGGACGCTCTGTGCTTGGGGGAACAGTTCAGGGCTGAGAAAAGAGAAGAAACAAGTAAAAGACGGCAAGATGGCTGCTGCAGCCTCTGCGGCTTCTGTGGCCCCCACGGGTTTATGCTCGACCCACCTGTATGACCTGCCGTCCCTGGACACGGCCACGCAGAATGCCTGCGCGGTCTCGGAGTTGGCACAGCCCAGGTTGGTGTAGATCCTGCAGATGTTCTGCACCAGCTCCTGAGGCTTAAACTCATACTCGCTGAAGTCCTTCACCTTCAGGTTCTTCTTCTGGGGTCCAACCTTTGGGAAAGAGCAGAGTCAATTTATAGAGGTTAAATTCATCTACACTTGTGCACTGACTGGATGGCGGGTGCACCTCAGCTGCAAAGTTTGTGCGAGATTAGCAGAGCGCACAAAATGCTGCGTGTCCCTGCTTTGTTGTCTTCTTTTGTTTTCCCACAGCCCAGCTGTTTTATCACAGTCCAGCATGTTTGCATGTCCAGCAAACATACTGGGCTGTGAGGTACATGAAGACTCCATACCATGTTTTCACTACTGCAAACTTTTGTTCCAGGGATTCAAATTATTAAATGTGAATAACTGCTGCACAGTCATTATTACTACAGCACACCTTAGTAGCTCTAGCCCAGTGGTCAATTGGTTTTAGCATGCACATAGCTTTATTGTCAGCAAGGGCATGAGCAGAATACTGTGCTTATTACAGTAATGACGGTATCATCTTTCTAAAAATTATCACACTAAGCAGAGGGTGTGTTCATTATGTGACAAGGAACATGCAGCATAGTAATTTGTCAATCACATCTCAAAATGGTGGTAATTAATTTCCTTGCATAAAAAAATTCATTCTGAACTTTATATCAAAATAATGTAGAAGAAAACGTGCCATCATTATTTGAGCAAAATTGATGGCATTTGCTCAAAGAGTGAGCTGTCTTGTCACAATTCGGGCTACTATGTAAATTCCTATTAATATATAGATGCAAGTGTGTCACACATTCTTTCATATAAAAGAAGTCTTGGGTCTTCATCAAGGAAGGTGCTGATTATTTTACCACAAGCACTCACCTTCCAATCAAGTAATTTTTCATTTCCCACCAGTATGCGCACAGGAAAGGGGAGAAAAACAAGGTTCTTTCCTGTAATTTGTTTCAACTCATACTTTTCCTTGTCCTTCATTCTAACTCTGCCACCATTTCAGGAATAGCAGTTTTGGAAAGAAGCCTAGTTTATGCCACACTGACAACAGCGGTGTGAACCCTTGTGCCACCTGCTAAACGGTTTCCTAGTCGTAGCCCTCCCGCTTGCAACTTTTCAGCCGTAGTGTGAAGTGGCACGCCGTGGCCTGGACGCACCAGGTGGAGTAGGAAGTAGTTCAGCATGGTTGCGATGCGGTCCACCATGGTAGGATGGCAGAAGAGCGACTTGATCTCGGTGGTGAGCCAGGCCAGGGTGCGGATGGTCTCGGTGCCCATGACGTTGTGGAAGTGGGCCAGCATGCCCACGTGCTGCATGTTTGCCTCCCCCTGGCTCCACAAAGGGCCCCCCAGAGGCTGCTGCTGCTGGCGTTCCTGCTGCAGCTCGCGCAGGCGGCTCATGTACTGCAACGCAGCAGGCGATGAATGCGGGAGGACAGTTATATCATACTTGAAGCGACGCTTTACATTATTTACATGCATCAAGATCCCAGGTCAGTGGCTTTACTTCACTGTCAAAATCCCGTCTTTGTAGTGGCTAGAAGACCCCACGTCTCCAAAAAGATGCCTCATACCGCATGCTTTTCCAGTTTTTGGTCTCAATTTGTCTTCAAAATTGGCAGGATAAAGTAATAAGTACTTTGCATTACAGTGAAATACCACTTGAGCAAACTCCGGCTGAGCAGATTGCTCAATAAACAAACTTTTGCCAAATTCCCCAACAACGCCCCATTGTGTCCAATGCATTCAGTTGACTGAACCTTTGGTTAAAGGAGAACTCTGCAGATTTCTTGAGCTACCTAATGCAAAGGCATCATCTGAATGTGGATGGCTTCCCGATTCCGAAATGCTATCTCGTTCGCCCAGATTCACTCTAGTTAATAATTAAAAAGTAATATTTTGTTCCTTGCCAAAACCGAAATAATTATTATTCTCCCCAGAATTTCCCGCCATCCAAAAATGTGACGTCTGCATATGTGTCGGGCAAAAACCCAACGTCAGACATACTATCAAGGGACAAAATGAATACCTCCATCTGCCTTCGAGATAAATAGCAAACCTCAGTCTCTCAGTGTTTGTTTTGTATACCTACCGCAATATATTAAGCAAAAATTTGTATTCAGTAATGACTGTGGCTAACATCTGTGCAGCTCTAATCAGGCTGTACATATCAAAACAGTCTCAAAAATAGGAAGGCAGTAAACAGTACACCACTGAAGGCTGCAATCAAGAAAGGTCAACTTACCGAAAGGGCTTCGTCCAAGAGAAAAATGGCATCATTGATGAGAAGGTTAATGAATCTCAGGAAAAGTGGAGGACTGGAACATTCTATGTTGGCCTCAGCTTCAGCTGCCAGACTCTAGGATACAAAAAAATATGGGTTATTAGGATCGTGCCTGGGGCAAGTCTCCGACTTTTTTTTTTTTTCTGAACTAGGGTATTGATAGCAACACTCGCATTCTCTCATGCTTTTGTTCGGAACTTCTACGTTCAAATTACAGGATTGCAACAGCCGACAGCACGACACCTCGGCATTCGTGATGTCTTTTGTCGCCACTTTGGAACCACTTTCAGTGCATGGGCAGAACGAAACACTAAACATTCCAGTCGTAGATGCATTCCAAACACCTTAGTTATTGGAGTGGTGACTGAGACAGCACTCTTAAGACAGATGCAATCAAGTTCACAAGTCTGCAAAAAAGGTTTAACACAAGTGCCACAGATAAAGAATGGGTAAGAAACTGCTTTGAACTTTCAAAAGGGCCAAAAGGCAGGTTGAACAAATATGGCATCGGTGCTGGGTGCCAAATTTCCTTGCTATACTTCGTTTCACCTTATGTTGTACCGCAGTGAAGGCTAGAAGCGCGAGCTCATAGCGTTGGCAGTTGCTCTTAAGTCGAGAGAGCTTGTGCCACCGAGATGTGCCCCAGAGCAAGGAGCTCGCGCTTGTAGCCCTTCTTGCGGTACATCATAAGGTGAAACAGAGTATAGAGTTTGACAAAATGACTTTCTGAGTTCCTACGTGTCCACAGGCAGACTAAGTGCTACCGTATTTACTCTAGTAATAGCCGCACTATTTATGAACAAGGCCCTTGCATCTGCTTTCCCGCAGAACACATATACAGCCAATCATAGCGTTGCGCATAAATAACAAAGCGAATAACTAGATCGAAAACACAATTCTCCATACAAATGCAATCCTCACAGATGGTATCCTCGCGCGAAGACGTTATCTCTATCCTGTAAACTGCTGAATCGTGCTGCCGATCGCGGTGATTGGCAAGCCGCAAGCTGCACGGAAAAGCGAATCCTTAGGTTTTCTTCATAAACAGTGCGGCTATTACACGAGTAAATATGGTATATTGCTCTGATAGAGTGGCTAGATGACACTTCTCTAGGGCGAAAGATTACTTAACAAACTACCATATTTTCTAGACTTGGCAAGTTCAAAAGTTGAACTTTTACCCGATGCAGACTATACAAGGATTTGTTTTTTTCTTCTAGATCACTCACTGTGACAAGACGTGAAGTATTTTCCAAATAACAAAGTATATTAATGTTGATTTATGTATGATACAAGCTCTTTTGTAAGCTAACACTGCAAGCATTTGTCAAGGTGTGCTATGTATGATAACTTTTTACTTTCAGACTAGGTGCTAAGTGCAAACTAAGCACTGGGTGCGGACGATCTAAGCAAAACTTTTATTTTGCTTCCCAAATATGCTTTTGTGGACTATGCATCGGGTGCGGACTATAGTCCATAAAATATGATATAAATAAATGCTTTGGCAGCTAACAAAAGATTGCTTAGTTTTTGTTTTTAATAAATTATGTTAAATCTCCGGCTGAGAGAAAGGAGACCCCCAACAACCTTCATCTTGTTCCGATGGTCAGGCATGTTCCACAGGTGGTCCAACACAATGTACATGGGACGGCGGTAGTGGAACTTCTGCTCAAAGGTGACGCTCTGGCCCGTCATCTCGATGCTCACAAAGACGTGAAGCAGCGTAGAAGGCAGCTCCGCTACAAATGGGTGGTTCCGGAACAGTCGCTCCCTGTTCATGCTGCGAGGAAACAAAGATGACGGCAGCTGCTACACAACAGGCTGCCTGGGCAGTGTTCCAAAATTTACTTGGTCTCACTCCAGGGTAAAGGTTTTGTGCCTTGGTGTTCGAAAACCTCCTCGCATCCAGTGTTGCTCTATCTGTGTTACCCTTGTGACACGACCCACAGGGGTAACTTGGACCTACTTGAGTGAGATTTGGAACGCTGCCTTATAGAATAGCTGGGATCGGGAGTTGTTTGAAATAGTAAGTACAGATTACTAGTCCAAGCAAAAGTAGACTGAAAGCAGGCTAAAGGAAGTGAGTTAGTGGTGCAAAACTATCAACAGTATTATAGATACTATCTATAGTGGAAGCAAAGTCTATTGATAGTCGACTATTGTAAAACTATTGATAGTATTATCGACGGTATGTATACCATTAATTGTCGACTATCGTGAAACTATCGATAGTATACTACTGATAGTTGACTATTTTTAAACTATCGATAGTATACTACTGATAGTTGACTATTTTTAAACTATCGATAGTTGATTATCGTAAAGCTATCAATGGTATTTTATTAGGTGACCAAGAACCTCAAGAGTTCATCTAGAAAAAGCTTGGAGAAAAACGCAACAGCAATTAGGGATTTTCGGATAATTATTAAGTAACAAACAATCTAAATCCTATTGGAAAACTATCAGAAAATGGTAGAAATTATTTAAAGAAACTACTGACTATAAACAATCGAGAAATTTATTTGTATACTATCGAAAAGCTGTGACTAAAAGATGTCGCTGGTGAAATATTGATTATTTTTTCTATAGGTTGTTATCTTTTCTGCTGTTTTTAGATTGATTTTTGGGAGTTTGCACTTTGCTTTTTATAGACAGAATACAATCATGAAAATGAAAATACCTTTCTTTCAGCTATTAAGTAAATTACGCATCACATTATGGGGTCACGACTTTACCCAGATGAAAAGATAAATGTACCGTGGTGTTTCTTTTGGCCAAACAGGTAGAGAGCAAGAAAGGAAACAATATTGCCTTTCAAATTCACACAAAAGTTTTTAGTTTCTTTTTCACTAAAAAAAGCACCGCATTGCCAACAATACCGTTACTTGGGTAAAGAAAGACTTTCATTTTTATCTCATATTTTTTATCTAGTTAACTTTTATGTCCCCAAACTTGATGTAAATGAAGAATGGAAAAAATAAAAGCATTGCAAACTAACCATTGTAATACTGTTGAAATTTGGGCTAGTTGGTAAAGCATGTTTACGGGTAAAACAGAGCGAACAAGGACACAGGAGAGAGAAGATGTACACAGACGGAGCGCTGACTGTCAACTGTTTACTTTTAAAAAAACGCCCAACGGCGTGGTCACACCAAACAAAATTACATCACGACACATGACCGTCACATGATCGTCACAAGTTAAAGCCCCTCAAAAATGCCAACTCACAATCATAAAGATCCACCGAAGGCGAGCTGACGAGTTGTCTTTGAACTTGGAAATGTAAAAAGCTTTACTTATCTCCCTATTTCGTAGGTGACTGTCTTCCCAGGACCGTGGTATCTTCCAAAACCGGAGAGCAACTACATGTGTCGCAGTGAACTGCCAGATTCCCCGACATAGGCCAGACCGGTCGCTACATTAATGACAGATTACGTGAACATACGTGTTTGATTAGGGCAACTCCGTCAGGGAATCTGGCGGTTCACTGCGACAGATGTGGTTGCTTTCCGGTTTTGGAAGATACCACGGCCCTGGGAAGACACAGTCACCAACTAACTAGGGAGATAACTGAGGCCTTTTACATTTCCAAGTTCAAAGACAACTGTTTCAACGCGCCTTCAAAAGATTTTTATGATTGTGAGTTGGCATTTTTGAGCGGCTTTAGCTTGTGACGATCATGTGACGGCCATGGGTCGTGATGAAATTTTTGTTTGGAGCGACCACGCTGTTGGGTATTTCTTTAAAAGTAAATAGTTGACAGTCACCGCTCTGTCTGTGTACATCTTCTCTGTCCTGTGTCCTCAATCACACTGTTTTACCCGTAACAAGAAACTAACCGTACTGGCTTGATATAAGCCTCTTATCTGGTGATGTTCAATTTGAACTATCCACGACCAAACTTCTGTTACATTTATTGACTAAAATCATTTCTTTATATATTATGTGATGAGTCGTATATTTTGAAGTATCGTTTTATACCAACAGATAAATCATTCACTAGCCATTGTTATCAAAATTTGCTAACAGAACTGTAGCGAAAAATGAGCAGTCATGTTTTCATCCACAGTATGGTCACAGCAATAGCTATGACAAGTCAAGGCGAAGTTGTTGGGCATCGGCGTCACGTTCATGCACTGTGGGGTGCATGAAAAAGGCGTGCGGAACAAAATACCGTATTTACTCAAGTAATAGCCGCACTGTTTATGAAAAACACCTGAAGGTTTGCTTTTTTGCGAAGCACACGGATTGCCAATCACTCCGATCGACATAATGATTGCAGCGGTTTACGGGACAGAGATAATGTCTTGGCACCAAGATACCATCTGTGAAGATTGCATTTGTATGGAGAATCGTGTTCTCGATCTAGTTATTTGCTATGTTATTTAAGCGCAACACGATGATTGGCTGTATATGTGTCTTGTGGGAAAGTAGACACAAGGCCGTTGTTAATAAATAGTGCGGCTATATTCGAGTAAATACAGTAGGCATCTGACTATTTTGTTCCAAACTCAGCATACTTCCATGACACATATCACACGAGAATGATAATTGGACATTTCTTGTATATAATGACAGTTCAGAAAACTGAAATGCCAGATATAAGAATACCTTTGTCTGGTATAAGAGACGACAATTACATGAAATGATTAAGTACCATATTTTCTGGACAATAGTCCGTGAACTATACATGTTTAAAAGTTAAAATTTTACCCGATGCGGACTATCTACAGTTGCAAACTATAGACCGTTCCATTAGGGTCATAGCAGAGAGGGTAAAAGAGAAAAAAATGCACTCCCCCTCTCACCCCGCATCTCGTCCGCTCTGCCGAGTGGGCTGTAGCTAGCGTCCGGCTGGCGTGCAAACTCTGTTTAAAATCGCGTCATTTTGGAACTTTCAAGAGCAGATGCGCAGATTTTGGTATGCCAGTTGTCGTGTAATATTATGCTAGATAAAACGACCCACAGGGTCCAATTGCGCTGTTACCTGCGTGCAAATAAAAAAAAACAGGGAAAACTGTGTCAGATTGGCCGGTCTCTTTGGCGAAGAGTGAATCCGGTTGCTGTACCTTTTTTACTGTACAAAAGTTCGTACTGGTGTGGGCCTTTAGGGACCATGAGTGGAAGTCTGAAATAATAAATAAAACGTGCTCTCCTGCCGCAATACAAGCAGTAGTTGAGGTTAGTACTGCCGGCTGACTCAACTGCTATTTAAGTAACGGAAAAAATATATGCCAGTTGATCATTTAGCAAAATAGAACAACAGAGAGCTATAGGATAATTTTGGAGTAGCCACAACTATTCTAAGAACGCGAACCACTTCACAACGGCAGCTACGAGCGAGAGTTCGATGTTCGGTAGAGCCCGCCGATACTGCCCAAAGATGGAGAACGGCAACCTCCCGGTTTGTCGTCTGCCAGCGGAGTCGGCGGCGTGCCCTCTCTCTCGTTTTACCCCGCCGAACCCGCTGAACTTCCCGGATGTGTGGAGAGGGCGCTGCTGTCGAACAAAATGGTGCCGGCCAGGGAGCGCTAAATGGAATGGTCTATACAAGGAGTTTGTTTTTTTTCCAAATCATTTGCTGTGACAAGACTTGAATGATTTTATGAATAACAGCATTATATTAATTGTGAATTATGTATGATACAAGATTCTTTGCGAGTTAATACAGCAGGCATTTCTGAAGGGGTGCCGTCTATATTAACTTTTACGTTCGAATAAGGTACTAAGTGCAGACTATGCGCTGCGTACAGCCTATGCACCAGGCACAAACTATCTAAGGAAACTTTTATTTTTGACCTCAAATTTGCCACACCGGGTGCGAACTATAGTCCGGAAAATATGGTACAAGCGCAAGAAAGACTGACTTTGGTTCTAAACAATTTATACTTTAATTACTGACAAGTCCAAGGATTTCTAAAAAAAAGGTGACAGGCAAAACTGTATGGAGCAACAATAAAAACAAAACAAATGCATATGTGACAGCAGCATGGAAATTGATACTAATCACTCCTATGCAAAAAAAAACGTCCTCTGTAACGTCTCTGAAGTCTCACTTTATGCCGGATTTGCATCTCCGGGATTAGTGCAGAGAATGCACGGTGACAGTAACACTGGTGACAACCTTTCTACGCCTTGCTGGGCCTGTTGGCTCGCGACTCTAGCCACAACTCGACTCCCAGAGACAACCAATATTATGCTGTCGTCGCACTGGCTAGGACTCACGAGGGAATTATGCCGCTGAAGTGGTCGTCATCGGCAGAGGTGATGAGCACCTCCAACATCTCTGCCATCCTGGCTCTTAGGTGCGGGTTGTTCATTCTCTGGGGGCTGCCCATGAACAGCAGTATCAGCGTCATCAGGTGCTCCAAGTTTGTGCCCACGAGCTGCGCACGGTCACCACGGAGACGGGTGAGTGGTTGTAGCAACTCTAAGCGTTACTGTTCTAGACAGGTGGCCAGCCGTAACAGCTATGCCAGAACACATCAACAGGCCTGTCGGCACTTTAAGGCCGGTTTGTACATCCGGCGCAGCATTGAGATACTATAGTGCAGAGTTAGCACTGCACCAGCGCTAGTGTCAGCCCCGAGTTAGCTTGGCATTCTATGCGTAAATGGGAAAAGGCCAAGTCACAAGCAGCTCAGCTATGATGCAGCACTGATATTGAACAAAGTCAGCACTGTGCTGAATGTGTGAACTGGCACACATTCAGCACAGTACTGAATGTGTGCTCGGGAAAGGACAAGGAGAGAGAGCCATTTAAGAGGGGGAGAGTGAGACAGTGCTCAGGGAACGGTGAATGTAGGGAGGAAGGGAGGCAAGATGAGCTTGCACACGGGAAACCACCAGAAGACGGCATCAGTGCAGACCTAATGCAAACCGATGTCATCTGGTCGTTTTCCCTAACTGCATTCCCCTTTATTCTCTTTTCCTCCCTACTTTTGGCTTTCCCTGGTGACCGTTTCACTAAATTTTTTCACTGGCTCCCTTCTCTTCTTCCTTCCCAAACTAAGTCTACTTGAGAGATCAACTCTACTGTTATGAAATAACTGTTTCCTATTGGAAGCCTGTACATGTCTGTCCTCACCACTCCTTTGTACTGAGCTTCCACATTCTTAGCAACTATGTCACAATGCTCATTGAAATCTCTGAAGAACAAAACAGCGTCCAAACCGCCGTTTTGTCCTTCGAAGATACAGTCTAAGCTCATTGCAACAGACCTGGTTGCAACACAGATTTGGATATAACATACCCATTTGTGAAGTTTGTTTGGTTTTCCTCTACATACCATTGACTCAACTTTATATCTGCATACAACATACTCCCCTTACAATAGACCAAAATCTTGGTCTAAATTAAGGTCTGTTCTAACGAGCTTAGACTGTAGTTTCAGAGTTTTCCACTGGTCTAGAGTTTCCGCCATGCATGTACCACCCACCGCCAGACTTTTTTCGCTGAAGCGCTTGACAAACACAATGCAGTCGCAGATGTTCTCAATGACAAACTCCGGAACATAGGCAAGCCTGGCGTTGCCGTGCTCGGGGAAAGGCAGGCACAGGGGCTGGAAGGCGTCCAGCCTCTCGGCCGTGGCCAGGTGGCACAGCCAGGTGGCGCAAGCCACGTGGAACTGCAACATGTGCTCCAGGGAGTCCGGCTCCAAGAGCACTGCCTTCAGGGACAGGAACCGAGTCATGCCTGCACGTGAGGCACGGGGCACCATCAGGGAACTTGGAATCAATGTTGCACAGTTGCCACTCCAGAGCTGGAATGAGTCCGGAATCATTCCGCACTTTCGCAACCGCGGAATGAAACGGGAATGGAATAAAGGCAGCGCTGGGGGGAATGGAGTAGGAATGGAATTAGATGCCTTTTGCCCGGAACGGAGTGGAATGGGCTCGGTTTTTATGCGAGCTGTGTTGATTTTCATATAGGGACTATGGGCCGATGGTACAATTCACTCAAGCATAGTAAGTGGCTCTTGAAACAGCATCATTACACAGGAGGTGACTGACTGCTTGATTGTACCATTGGCTTATCCTCATCTGCGAATGAAAATGACATCCCCTCAAAGAGGAAACCAAAACTGAAGAGTTGTAGATAGAAAAAATGTCGTTCCTTTGCCACAAGATGCGACAAAGTGGCTGTTGTAATCATGCGCGATTGGCGTGTAGCTTTTCACCAGGGTGTCGAACGGAACCCGCTCCGAAACCAGAGAAAGACCATTGGTTCTAAATGAACCTGAAGAAGAAAACTGCAACCGAAATCAAACATTTAATATTGAACTTGAACCGGCAACGGAACCATAATCTCATGTGGCAGTTACCCGTTCATTGGAAATTCAGTACGACGTAATAAAACATGAGCCGCGTGTTCAGACTGGTGTTGGTGCAAAGTAAATTAAACATTCGCGACGGCGGCATCAGCAGCTATGTTTTGACTAAACCAAGGGACTCGAAACCCCAGCCTGCAAAGGTCTTTCGACCTTTCCGCGGCTGGCTGCGGTTTTTAAAAATGGTTATCAAAAGGTGCGCCCTCTCGTCATATTATTTATCGGATAATGTCATCATCAGCATCACCATCCGTAGTCCCATTTCATATCTGTGTAACTTCGCATGTTAAAATTCCTTTGCGTTCCCATGTATATTGAGCTTGGTGTACTGTGTCGTACCTATTTTATATTGTCAGCATCAGTTTTATAATTCTCATTAGTCTTCTGCTCTGTTGAAACATGCCAAAGTTCCTATGTACGTACTTTGATTTATGCCTAGTGAGTTTTCTGGGTTCTAATTGTGCAATGTCATAATCAGCTAAATATATTGGATTTATAAACAAAGTGGTTATATTCATCTAAATTACATTCTTTTGTAATGTTCACTCTAACTTTCAATTTTGTATTTCAATGCTTATCTACGAGATTATTTATTTAGTTTTTTTCCTCATTTATATTTACTTGTTTGTTTTCTGGCCCTCGAGACAGTGACAAATTCCCAATCTGTTTCCGGCCCCCTCGCCAAAAAGTTTGGGGACCCCTGAACTAAACAAACGACACCAACGACATGAAGACAACTCAATAATAATGAAACACAAATATATTTCACATCTATGTGCAGCACGAATCACATATTTTCTTTTCTTGCTGCTCCGTAATATTCTTCAAGGAGAAAAAAAAAAAAAACATAAATATCAAAATAAAATCTAAAATTTGATGGCGGTCAGCGCATTTGTTTTGCGGTGGCATAATCTGGAGGTGCTAAGAGGTGAAGCCGTGACACTGCGGCGCCAGTCGCCTAAAGCCCTAAACGCTTCTTGAATAAAATTTTTTGTCTGTGCATTTTCTAGAAACAGCAAGTCCCCCCGATGTCTTTTTTATGTCCTTTTTTGTTTTTAGTTGTCTTTTGACCAGCTTTTGCTGTCCTTCTCCTCTTAAAGGGACCATGAAACGATTCTGAAATCGAATTTCATCCACTGCACGTCGTAAAAGGCGTGAAAAGAAACAGAAAAACGGAAAAATAGGGAGCCAAAAAAAATTCGCTATAGAACTTTTAAAAGAAAAACGGACTCTTTTGCACCTTCTTTCCTTCGAAAGCTCTCTGCCTTTTCACTGCGATGCATCCGCGGAACCGCAGAACGTCAGCCGAATCCACGTCATCTATTGGGTAAGAGCCTACCTCACCAGCACCGCGATCATAAACAATAAATAGCCGGCGAATGTTTCCTAAAAGTTTTATTAAATAATATTCAGATCCACATTTTGTAACATAATAAGAGATGTGACGAAAATTGCCAAATTTGATACCATAATGCTGAGAGCCAAGTGCCATCTATCGTGTGGTAAACGAAGCAACTACAGTAGGGCCGACAGCGTCGTTCAGTTACTTGACCGCGACAACCAACGAACGTTTATTTTTCTATGTGTTCTTCTCGCGCGTCCCGACTTCCAAGCAGCAAGAAAAGAGTACTTGAAACAGACCACGACGAACAAGAACGCTGAATACACAAACACCCGAGAAAAGCTACAACGGCGACGAATCTACCGACGCCGACCAAGCGAACTCGGCAGATAGGCCTAGCAGGCACTCCGACTCGGCGCAGCGTTGCTTCAACGGTACTTGGCTAAGACCGACTGCCCACAAGCGGCTGGCGTGCTGAATGGAATATTCCCGCGCGACCCTTGTCGACCCTTCCCGTATTTTGATCGCTGACCTCAATTTTAGCTTAAGAGGCGAGGTCAATCTCTTACCCTTGTTTTCCGAGGCAGTGTTGACGAACACTTGTCGAAAAGGGACTCTCGTCGATTCTATCTTGTTTTGTGTGATATAGAGCTCAAATAAACGCCGTATGGATTACCTTCGTAACATGGTATGTACACTCTGTTATTAGTATGCCATTTTTGTTCTGACACGACTGCACGTCACTGTCGAGCTATAACAGTTTGTGGGAGCTACGTGCAATGCCGGTCCAAACTTCCTTTGCCGAGTGTCACGTCAGTATTGAGTTGCAATCGTAAAAGATCGGTCCCAAAGCGCCTACCAACAGTGTGAATACAGCACTTCCATCAAACGCGCGCGTCCGCTCCGAGTGTGAACAGGTATTTAGGTGGCTCTTGCTGACACTGTCGTAGTTTAAACATATCTTTTTTAACGTCGGCTCGTTCTTGCATCCCCGGCCGCGAAAAACGCCGCGGCAATTTGTTTCCATCTACGTCACTTTGCAAATGTCTGACACGGGCCACCTTTTACTAACAATAACAGTTGGGTTGACTTCTGGAGTCTTCACCGGAAGACTCACCGCACTTCCCAACAGGCATGCCGGTGTATGGGACCATGCTGTCGCTGTAGCACAACATATATCATTGAATTTCGCTCAGCTGCGATGTGTCCATGGCTATCGCGGCGATGAGAGGCGCCGATTCAGAGAATACGTCGGTGCAATCAGCGCAGTAAAACCTACCGGCGCACCCCCAACTCGCCGCCGCTAACGCTCCCATTCTCCTACTGCCGAGAGAACTTCCGGTTCCTGTCCCAGAGTACGTCACGACCGTCAAAATTACGCCGCAGCTTGTTTTGCGGTCAGTTGGAGAGAAAGAAAAAGTCAACATTTCATTAATTTTTTGTGTAGAAGTTAATAAACCGAGACGAAAACGGATGCCTGTTCGGCATTCAGTGAACGTTGAAGGTTTAATGTAAAAGTTATTCGGCAAAAGGAAAAAGGTCATTTCATGGTCCCTTTAGACTCAGTTGTTCAAGTAAGTCGTTCGGACGTATGGTGCGGGTAGTATGCCGTTTTGATCTGGATGAGCATCGTACCGGCATGCGGTTGTGTATTAGCGCTGCGTGATGCTTGTTAACTTACTTACATGAACTTACATTGCATTGCGTACAACTTTACCGCAAAAACGGCAAGTCTACACTCCTAAAACCCAGTCCCAATTTTGAAAGTTTTTGATTCCACGGATGTCCTACTCGCCGCCCCCCCCCCCCCATTACCTTGTGCAGTACTGCCCTCCCAATATCCCGGGCGGATGTTGTCCGTACCCTTCTCCATGTTGTCCTGCAGCCTGCGGGTGACCTCCGAGCTGTCCCCGCCCTGTGAGCGCGCCTCCTCGTAGACCCTGCGCACCCGGTTCAGGTCCTGGCTGAGCCGGGCCAGCCGTTCGTGCACCACCCGGAAGCCCAGGCTCAGGATCCGTTGGCAGGCAAAGAAGCACTCCGTCGAGAAGTTGAAGGGGCCGCAAGGGGACTCGCTGGCCGCACCCTCCTCCCTCGGCACCAGGCACGTCTCCTTGGACAGCCCTGAAGAGGAGGGCGCGCGTGTACCAGGTCATCTTATAGTCACCAACAAGGCGACAAGGGCAGGCGGGGAGCTTCAGTTGTCCCGCCTCCAGCGCAAGCTTCCTACCTCCTGCCGCGCGCGCAGCTAGTCGAGTAGGCGGCGTGCCCGTAACCCAATGGTCACCGTGCTCGGCTCCCACGCAGAGGGCCGAGGTTTGACGTCTGGGAGCAGCCGCACCCTTTTGTTACTTCCGTAAATGTTGCATTCTGGTTTTTCGAGAATTTCGTCGCTTATTTGAGGCCAATACGCTGATCGCGTATCGGCAAATGGGGCTCCGCGGAGTCAGCCTTTCGCCGGCGCTCGATGCAGCTGCCATGTCGCCTTTAACGCCTGTACCTCTGCTTTTGTTTTGGGCACAAGTCTGCCCCTATTAAACGTTCGGTTTCTCCGGTTATTCACCACCTTGCCATTTGTCATTTGTTACACTCCAACGACGATTTGGCGTCTCGAGTACCTCATGCACGCGCACGCAGCCGAAGCATGACAGCAGGCATGGAGCGCGTACTGGAGGCTGGGCATTCGAAAGATGCACCCTGCCGTTTTCTCTCTGTCAGCGACTATAGACAGAAAAGAAGCCGCGTACAGCGAGCACGAACGACAGCAGCCGAGCATGTTAGTGCACCGCGGCTGAGAGTACGTGGAGCAAAATCTTGCACCTCAACCTCCTAAAAATAAAGGAATTACGATCGTGCACAACCCTTTTTCTTATTAAAAGTGCAACCAAACATGGTGCCATGCAGTGGCATCACTAGGGTCGGCAGCACCCATTGCGGTGACCCACCACGACCTTCCCCTCGCCCTCTCGTTTGAAGCAACAAAGCTTGAAACGAGAGAACGGAGGGGTTGCGACATCCCCTCTCCCCTTTCACTGCCCAGCTGCACCCGGGGCGGTCCATTACCCCTGTACACCGCCCCCACAGTGATGCCGCTGGTGCCATGCCTCTTTTTCTGGGGTATTTCATAAAAAGGGGCATGTTACAATGCCTCGTCACCTCTTTAATAGAGAAAAGGGCCACAGATGATTGTACCATATATACTCACATAATGAACATACTTTTTTTTTTTCCGAAAAACTGACACATATTTGAGGGTGCGTTCATTATGCAGGGTGCATAATGCTGCAGCAATGCAGCAAAAAACGAAAGCCAATCCACTCTGCGATGTTTAGAGCTGGCCGACTTTACTAATAGAGCCAGCAGATCTGACCAGTTTCTGAGATAACCGGTTATCTGGTTATTCGAATTAGCGAGTTATTTGAATATGAAAACAAGATAACCGGAACATTCGAATAACCACTTACGTTGCTCGGTTCTTCGGTTATCTAAATATTGGGATACTCAAATATTTGCGTATATTATCCCGTGCCAGAATCGAGATTGTTTGAGCAAAATAAATGTTTGCCCCTGCAGCCTTTCACCTGGAGGTTATGCTTCTTTCACTCGCACGTGGTGAAAATTATAAGGGATCTTCAGAAGTCATTCATCCATCCAATGATCGTGCCCCTAGTGTCTAAGCTGACAACTACACCCATGAGGACAACAACACAAGTCATTTGTTTGTGTGACTAATGCAGCGCTCAGCTGATGTAGCCCAACGCTGCAACAGTGTTCGGCTAGGGATAATGCTCAACCAGCAAAGCATCAATCGATCACGAAACTCAGCAGAACACTGGCGCAGCCCTGGTGTCAAAATTATGCCCTGGGCTTGGTTGACACAGGTGGCAAAACTATTCCAGTTCAGAGGCCTCGTGCTGGGCAAACACAGAGCTCTGCAGAAATTAAGCTGAACAAAGTGCCCCCTATAATTCGCTCTTCTTGCTACATACACAGAAATTAGTAAATTTATTAATTTCTAATTTCCAGGGGAGCAGGGTGCATTTCTTACAATGCTAGGACTATGAAATAAAATTGAAATAAGCCACATTATTATTACACACGAAATAAAACCGAATAACCAGTTATTTGTTATTCTAAAATTCGGATAACCGGCTTTTGAACCCAGATGATCTTCCCTCCGGTTTAACCAACACCCCCCTTTAAACAGATGTTCGCGTGCTCTACTAACCAAACTATAATGGGGGTACTAGAATTAAATAAGACAAAACAAATGTGTCTATTAAGGCACGACCCTCGTTCGGGAGGCAGAGCCAGCATCCGAGCATTTTTCGTTTGTAAATTCCCAGAACTTTGAAAAAGACTAGAAAAGAGCTTCGGAAGATCTGGAGTGTAGCAAAAACAAACCACTCCATTCAAAGATTACCATTTAGAACTACTACATGCCCATACTGAGTTATAAGTTAATCTAGGCCCCAGTGTGGAGATGTTTGGAGAAGAGGGCTTACCCCTGATGTGCATGCAACTGGCATTGGCTTCCTGCTCCGACTTTGGCTCGAAGGAGCAGTACTGGTGCTGCACCTTGAGCAGCTTGGGAGAGTAGGGCTCCGAGAAGGGCCGCGCCAGCCGCAGCAGCACCGCCCCCAGGTTCAGGGCAAAGCCGTCGCCGGATTGCACCGCCATGAACAGCTCAGACACCTGGTTGTTCCACAGTTTGCCCCGCTCTGAAGAAAAGATGACTGTGCTCAGCTTCATAGTCCACAAAGTTAAGTCAAGGCCATTCTAACAATTACCAATTCTACAGGCCAGCCCACACGTTATTAGTTGCTTTAGAAAGCGGGGAAATGCATTCATGATTTGCACAAGCAATGAAAATGATGTAGGCCCGAGGCTCATTGTGGGAACACTGTTCGGTCTAGTGGATAGAGACAAGTCTAAGGGCCAGACCTGCACCAGGCGCCTGTTATGCGTCCCACCCTCAGAATTCTCCCACTTCCGCATCCTAGCGGCTCTTGCTCCACCAAACGACACCTGCAGACAGCTACTATGTCATTCTGCAAAGGTAAATGTAAGAACTACCGCGTGGTTCAGCTCGTCATACAGCGGAGAATATGCTTCCAATCTGACGCACTCCACAAAGCTGTTGGATTTACAGTTCGATGCACACTTTGGCGATTAATTGCAAGTTTTCTATTTCTCGTTATGGGGGAAAAAAAAAATCATAATTAAATACTAGAGCTTTTATAACAAGGCAACAGCATACACTCTCATTGTTATCAACAATACTTACGGCTCAAAAGCTGTTCCTCATATAGAAGGCAGTTTACATTGTAATTTGTACGATTCAAGATACCTGAACATGCAGTGATGCAGTGTCCTATCCATGTCAGGGTCCTGTTGCGTGTCTCTGGTGAAAGCCGAAGCAGGGAATAAAACAGGTTGTGCAGCTCCACTGCGAGACCTTTCAGCGGCTGAAATATAAAAGGAGGCAGGCAAGCTGTTAGTTCAAACAGCTAGGTCAGTAAACACCCTGTTGTGAACGTAGACACAAGGTTTTAATGGGGCATAACGGCTGTCTTTATATGGTATATCGCGGGTTGTCAAACCGAGATCCTGGTACCCAAGGTGTTCCCCAAAGTATCCTCATGGGCTCCCCAAACTCCCAAATTCGCTCAACTGCTCCTCTCCCTGAGTAAACATTCTTGAAGTTTAAGCGCTGCTTTAGCTGATACGAGTTACTCATTGATTCAGAACTACGAGCCAAGCACTCCCTAGTATATGGATTATTGTTCACAAGGTATGTGGGCTTTTCAATGGGTTACTGCATACATGCCAAGACTGGGAGGTGTTCCTTAGCTATCAGTAAAATGAGACCAGCATTCCTCGAGGTCGAAAACTTTGAGAACCCCTGAAATACGAAATCGCAATTGAAGGGACCTCACCAGCCACAGATTGCTCTCGGTGATGGCATGCTCGTTCATCAGCGCCTGAGAGGGCTTCTCGAAGAACTCGAAGGGGTCGGCTTCCTTGCGTGGCAGGCAGGACACGCACAGGGGGGCACCGAGCAGGCTCTCTTGGAAACTGCGTAGGTCAACCAGCTCTGCAGGCGTGCTGAAGTCTAGGAGTGCCTGCATGGGGAAATCAATGCCATATGTAAGCGTCTCGGACTTTGTGCCAACTTCGAAGTTGAAGTATGACATTTACTGAGTAATAATCTTGGCACGAGAAGCGATCGGTGCCTCATTTCAATTTTTTGCGAAGGAGGGTTCCTTAAATAGGCTTCTCTGAATTATTCAAAATACTAACACTTTCTTTTCCCAAAATAAAACTGTTTTCGGTGACCAGTCGTCGCCACTCCAGAAAGGGAACACAGAAAAGGTGACATCTGGGAAGCTTTAAAATATACTTTGGCCAGTGTTCTTCTGAAAGCAGTAGTCCTACCGTAGGGTCTATACAGGCTACAACACACTGTTGTGAAAAATAAAAACAGCGTATTGGTGTTACCATTGCCATGGAAACAGATTTGGTGAAGTACTTGAGGATGTCGATAAGCACAAACAGTTCCCGGTTGGCGATGGACACCTTGCCGAATTTCTTCTTGAGCAAGTTGAAGGAATGCGAGAGCACTTCAAGCAGAGAAACCTGCTCTTCCTCTGCATCAAAGCGGCCCTTGATACAGTCTGCGCATTTCTTCAGAAAAGACTCCAGGCTGTCTTGGTGACCTGAAGAAGAAAGAAAAAGGCCTGATGGTAGAAAAAGGTCTGCATTTGATGCAAGGACTCCAAGTGGAACCAGTCCTTAGAAAAACAGTACACCCCCCAAATTTCCTTACCAGAAAATAAAACTGCTTTTAAGAACAATATTTATGCCACAAGACATGTTTTGATTTAGGACCGATTTTAAAACAACTTCTATTTCGGGTGATACACTTTGAAATAGAAGTCAGTTTCAGAATTGTTCCAAACTCAAATTGTGCCTTGAAGCATAAATAATGCTCTAAATAATGTGTTTTTTTTAGAAGATGGAGAGGGAGGGGGGACGGACACTGTGGCATACGTGGCATATTCAGGAACTTAAGGTCTGTTCACACGATGCATCTTTTAGGCGCGCAACAGTTTTGCGACACTCAAGTTTCGCGAAATGTGCTCGTTCACACGTACCACTTCACGTGCAACAACAACACACACCGATGCACCATTTTGAGTGAGCTCCGAATCAGATCGCTATTTATCTGGGGACCTGCTTTGCGCATTTTATGCAGTCAATTCAATTTAATTTTTTTTCTCGCATACTGCACTACTTGGAGCGATCTCGCGTGTGCACTAAGCCGATTGAGGCGGCAACCTGTACGTGCAGGACGTGTGCCGGCGCCGAGCCCGTACGCAGCCAATTCATTGCCAAAGCTCCTATCAATGCACATGGTATTCATAGAAACACTACGTGCCCAATCTGGTTACTTCTTGGCGCCCATGTCTGCCCCGAGTTTACTGTGCCAACTGTTTCAGAGAGCGCACATGGTTTCACGTTCGCTTGTAAACAACGCAAACTTGGTTTCAGTTTACTCTATGGTCTCTTATCCAGCGGTATCGTCGCGACAACGCTATGAGCACTATTCTAATCTCGCCAACTCCCACTAAATGTCTTCGTCCATCACTGGATTTTTTCCCGATATGCTAGTCACTTTTCCTTCAGTGGTGCTTGACGTGCTTGCGGAAGCGCCGGCAGTATCCATCGTTCGTGGTTTCGGTTTTTTTTGGATTTGGCTCCGCTACAACACCGGCAGTGAAGTGGTCTTCTCAAACAGCTCGCTCCCCCCTCAAAGGCCACGTGAGGGCGTTTCTGAGCGGCCATTAGCGGCGTCCTCAGAGTGATTGACAGGACTCGGCAAAGTTTCAGCAAAAGCTCACTCCAGAAGCGAGGTGTGCGCGCAACTTTTTTTTAGATGCGCGCGTCCTTTTCGGACTTGTTCAGACGGCGCAACCATTTCGCGAAACTACATTTCACGACTCTAGGTGCGTGAGAAAAATGCATCGTGTAAATGGGCCTTTAGAAAAAAATGTTTCTCGCAACTTTAGTTCCTTTAAAACCTCATTGTCAAGCCACCTCAAGATAAAAAAAAATGCTCATGCTTACCTCCTTCAGCGTGATACTCCTGGAGTAGGTAGAAGACCTGCTGCGGTATCTTTTTACCAGGGTAGATTTCACAGTGGCAAAGGCAAGTCGACGCCTGCGACACAATCGTCTTCTCGATAGTTTCGTAATCTTCATTCTACTCGAACGAAAGACGGAAATGCCAGATTAATATTACGAGAACAAGCATTTTTATACAGAAATGCTTCCCCGAGGGAAGCGGACTGATGCTCGGGATCTGGTACCTCCAGCTTGGCGGCAAACTTGTTGAGCCTCGAGAAGCACTGGTAGAGGTAGAAGACCACTCTGGTTTCTCCGGCATCAGCCAGAGCCTGCTGGTCGGCATACTTGCTCTTGCTGACCACGTGGTTCTGGGGGTCGTCCAACACAAGCCGCTCGAAGACCAGCTGCATCGAACACCGATCGGTTCCTAAGAGGCCCCTCTCTAGTCTGCGTGTGTTTCAAGGTTGCTGTATACTTATTTTCATGTCACTATTTTTATTAATCTTTTAGGAATACTGCTAATCTCACAAGAAGATTCTCGCAGATGTAAAAAAAACAAAAAAAAACATTGCAATACATAAGGAATGACACTAGTTGCATGCTGGCAGCTGAACATTGGAAAGACACACCCCACTGTTCTTATTCTGTCAGCGAGTATAAAAGAGCTACTACACTCAATCCATGCTTAAAGGAGCTGTGCAACAGTTTCAGTGCCTTGCTTAAATAATTAGGGAGTTGGTGTCTTGATTGTTCTGAAGTAAGGACAAAAAACGCTTTTGCCTGCACGTCCTAGTTTTTATTTTAAAAATGGACAAAGATTGAGGTTTTCGGCACCTCTCAACTCCTTCATCAACTTCCGAGTCACGTGCGCTGTGACATCAATAGGGTTTGTAGGGGTGCAGCTCTCTCTAGAGCCATCAGTGAGCAGCGAGAACTCATCTGCTCGCAACCGTGCGACCACGTGCTGGCGGGCGCAGCGCGAACAATACGGTGGAAGGAGGAAAGTCTCATCCGGGTCCGGCCATACCCGTCCGGCTCTGTCCCCATTCCCCTCCGGCTTCTGGCGGCTGTTCGCGGTGGCAGATAGAGCTGACGGTTTTGAGGACCTAGGATAGATGGTGCCACTAAAGCTCCGGATAATAAACAGTTCTGTCGATGATACCAGCTTTTTACGCATTTATATTTATGTTAGAACGACAAGATTTATAGAAAGATTACCTTTCATTGAGCAGGTGTTCGCACAACTTGCCATCTTTCTACAAGACCCCCATTGACGTCACGCCACGTGTTTCTCATGGCCGCTACTCGCGGCTGCAGGTCGGGGAATATTCTAATTTTTGCCACGCGATTACACGGCGGAATCGCAACATTTCGAAAGAAGGAGATGTGTTTTCTGTCCTTTGTGACAAGGTGAACAATGCCAAAAGTAGAAGATGCCAATTCTTTCAACAATAAAATCGTTGCACAGCTTCTTTAAATATCACCTCGAACTAACTTCGCCTCTTTCTCTGTGTAGAGTTGGTTAGGGTTCGAAATCATTTTAAGTTCCCGCTGTTGCTCACACAGCAGTAAGTCTCTTACTACGCATGCTTCAGTATGCTTACTGTAGTTGGTGACTGGCTAAGAGCTCAGGGGAGGCTCCTCCCGCCTCGTCCCACTTTGGCAGAGCGAACGCCGGAGGGGAGGTCACCTCTCCAGCGTTCGCTCCGCCGAAGTGAAAAAAGGTGGGAAGACCTTCCTCCAAACTCCTGTCACTGACTATGTATAGGTACATTCGGAAAACAACTTGAAAGCCCGTCGAAAAGTGCCGGTAAAATGTAGTGCGAATATAAATTAAGAAAGATAAAAGTCTTCATCAGAAGCTTGTTGCATGGGCAATGGCCTGGAACAACCGTTCTATACCTCATTAAGGGTGTTCAGGTCGAGACATTTCTTGGAATCCTTGAAAGTTGGCAGTAGCACACAGTGCGGGGGACCCTTGGATGTCTTGGCATCATTGCAGTCTGCAAGACGAGATGGGGGCGACGTGTCAGTAGGCAATCCCCCTTTCATAAGGTCACTCGGGCGAAACCGACACTTTTGACAGCCTCAAGGACGTGCCCAAATCTTGAACCTGGAATGTGCGGAATGTGGAAAAAAAAATCCGCAGGAAAGGAGGGGCAAACGTGTACAACTCGATGCTCGTAAGTGGACATGCAGAGAGCATTTTGCATATTGTGGCCCGTATGCACACTTGCGTCTGCTTACAACTGAGCGATCCCTTAGGAGGAGAGAACCCATTGGCATGCTGGCAGCATCTTTGAGGTGATCCTGGAACCACATTTCACTATAGGGTGACCACCTGTTCTGCGACTCGCGCGATTGTCCCGTATTGAAAGCTCGTGTCCCATGAGTATTTCCCCAATCTTCAAAACGTCCCGCATTTCACAGTGTCGTAAAATTCACTCTACAACTTATGGTGCTGCCTAACAACGGGGCACGGGGAAGCGCGGAGGTTACTGGTAATTGTGTGAATCGCAATGGTACGCCATTTTCTATCTAAGCACTGCAGGAAGCGACCGTCGTTCTTGCAGGAGAACTGACGCGTATGTGCCATTGTGCCTCCCCCTTGGTGACAAAATATTGCAAAAACAATTGCTCGCCAAAAGTTTAAATATAAAATACTGTATTTTCAAATCACTGCGTCAATGCGAAAGGGTTGCTATGGATTTGTTTTTTTTAGTGAAAAAGGCAAAAAGCTTGCAACTTACAACGTTCGAAAACGAACATAATGTTAAAAATTTGTGTAGTACCACGTTGATAAAAGTAAGCGTTGACAGGAAACAATAACCCGAAAAAGATTTACTGTTTCTTATTTCCCTCTGATGCACTGAGTTCTGCTACAGTCAATTTTAAGTTTTCAAGTTCTACAGATTTAATAACCATATTTGACATAAGAAAAATATATCACTGGGAGTGAAAATTATTTTAGCTTAATTGATGAAATACAATTAGCAGGTGTATAAACAACACAGGATACTGAATGTGTTAAAAAAGCCTTGGGTCGTGGTGTGCATGTTAATATTACTGCCTCCCCCCTCCCCCCTCCCACCCGGTTGCGCGTGTCCCGCATTTCGTTAGCAGGAAGGTGGTCACCCTATTTCACTAGAGTAAAGCTTTCGCGGTATTTGAGATATCAAATGTACATACTATCGACGAGAAATGGTCGTTTATAACATTGTCAAAAGCTTTTCAAGCCAAGAAAGAAGGAAAGAATGATACACAAAAAAATGGGAAGCATATGGAAATGCCAAGTGTTCCACAGCTACCAGATAGAAGGAGCTAGTGTGTTCTTTCGTCTAGGAGCCCAAGAGGTTTTAAAAGGGCATTGCAACAATTTTTCTACCTTAGAATTAGAAGCTTAGAATTATTCCTTGACATTTATGACCTATGAAATTGACATAACTTTTTTTCTCCACGAGATGGCAGTTGCAAAAAAAAAATAATCCGAGAGAAACAAAAATCGTTTACCCCCTCAGCTTGCAGCCAGAAAAAACGGCCATGCAATCTGGAGCCGATTATATGTCGCCAATGTTTTTAACACAGCCACGCATTGGGGTTGGCAGAGCACAGGGCATGTGCTGAGCTCCATGCATTGCTAAGGGACACTAAAGTGCTTTACAAGATCCTTGTTTCATTGTCATAACTCAATCTACAAGCTCTAAGCATCAAAAAAAAAAATTACATTCATGCCGGCTGATTTGCATGTGAAAGAAAGTTATAGAAGATCCCGACACTAACCGCTGACCAAACTACAGATGGCGCTACTGAAGCTTCCTGATTATGGTCGAACGACGGACGGCGCTTGTGAACCGGTCGAGAGAGACAGGCTCCCGATGGGACTTTTATCACTTCTTTATTACTCAAATCGGCCATGCATGAATGTAATTTTGGGATTTTTAGGATGCTTAGAGCTCGTAGATTGAGTTAAGACCAAAAGAAAGAGGATCTCAAAAAGCACTTTAGTGCCCCTTTAAGGTTCGGTTATTCCCGTCATCTCAGTAATTGGGCACGAGCATTACACGAATGCTTGTCGAGGCATCGATTGTCAGGAGCCAAAATAAAATGCCTATGCAGTCTTCGTTTCCACTATATGAGCAGCGTTTAAATATCATCACAGCGAGGATCACAAAACTTGACGACATACTCCTGGGGATCGCATTGTTTTTTTGATCATTATGATTCCCGGCTTTTGGAATATTTTTGCATTGTTGGAGAAGTAGAGACTGAAAGAAAAGGTCCGCTTTTATCCTTGGAATTCCACCGCGACGAAGACGCTTGTTGTTCAGTGGCGTTGTGTTTGAGTATTCTTGGGTCCCACTAGTGCCAGTAAGCTGGTGTAAAGTGAGAAACGTTAAAGAAAGTCACAAGTGTGTGAACCAGTCTTTGGATGTTCTTCCACTCTAAACCTTCCTTGCTGGTGATAAAACGTAGATGAGAAGCTAAAGGCTCGTTCACACACTTGCAACCGAGTAGGACGATAAAGACAAGACCGGTTTTTAAGCCTCTTGCACTGTCTTAGGACTGGATGCACTGCTGTGGAGCTGGTCCTAAGACGTCGCAAAAGGCTTAGAAACCGGTCTTGTCTCACTCGGTTGTACTTGGTTGCATGTGTGTGAACGGGCCTTTAGGGTGGCGCCAAAGATAAAAGTGATGCAGCAAAAGAGACGTGAGAAAGACGCTGAAAGAGACCGAGGAGGACGCTCAACCGCGAGTTGCGAGGCAAGTTCTCCGGTTACCAACTTCGAGACAATGTGCTTTGTTCTACGGAGAGAAGATCCCTTTGTGTATCTAGTTTGTTGCCGTAATCCACAGGTGTTACCGGTGAAACACCATAACATATAGAGTAAACTAAAAAAGACGGTAGCCAAGCAGAGATAAAACTTGGAATGGGCTTGTGATTTCGGTGTACATTTCTTTACAATCCGTGTCATTATGCCTCCCATTCTCAATGTTTAGAGTCTGAAGAATGATTGCTGCAACAAAATTTCGTAGTAAAAATATGCAACTCTAAATGTTGCGAGTATCACAAATTTCTAAAACTCTCGATATTTTCTAAATATATTTCAAAAGTATCGCAAATTTCTAAAACTCTTCAATATTTTGTAAATATATTTCAAATGTTAATATTCAGTATGTTTTTTTTTGTTTTTTTTTTCAATGTGTTTTTGATGTTTCAAAGGCCATAAAAATCACATTTTATGAATTCTTCCATTAAAGAATCTCTAAAACCACCACAAGATTATTTTTTTTCATGCAAGGCACTAGATTATGATGCCCAGATACTGCCCACAATTGTTTTCGCTGCAGAATTACGCATTTGCTGAAGAAAATAAACTAAGTAAAATAAAAACCATAGGAGCACCATGGAAGAATGTGACTTCAGAGACCTTGGGAGTAACCGGGAGTAACTTGGGTTGTTACGCCCCCTCAACCGTGCCATTAAGTTTCTTCAAATCGACATACTGTTGATGTCCCACAGGTCATAAAAATAAAATTTTACAGATGCCTGTCAAAAAAAAAAGTTTTACATGAAAAAAAAAAAAAGTTCTTTAGAGCAATATTGGACGGCGCAAGACACGACTTCGTTGCTAGTCACCTCCTTTCCACTTGTTCTCTCTCTCTCCATTTCGAGCGCGTGGAGGAGAGGTGGATCGGCTTTGTCTTCACGTTGAGATGGAAAGAGCAAATTACCCTCTTGTTGAGCGAATAACCATTCCATGACATAATGGAATTTGCACGCAGAATTTAAAATAAATTTCTCGCCGTCTTCACCAGACTGTCTAAACAGATAGTCTGAACCAGACTGCTTAAAAAAGACTTTCTTTTCACAAGCCTTTTAAGTAATCTCAGTTCTGTGTCACCATCACACGTGACTGGGGAGAAGAGATTTGAAAGACCGTGAATGGCTTGTTTGCGACGTCTATTGAAAAAAATAAATATCAAATGTTGAGGCATAATTTTTTTTTGTGCATTGTTCAGCTCTCATGGGTCATGTCTCCATAAAATTCTAGAAGCCCTTACAAGAAGCAGAGAAGCACTTATGAGACTGAAATTTGAACTAGGCTGACTGCATTGAATGGGCAACTTAACAAGTAACATGGTAAGTCTATCTTTTTGAAATTACTTGTTTGGGGTTTGTGCCACTTTATTATTATTTTTTTTTTTTTTCAGAATTGGCAAGCAGTTTTTTTAAGGTAAACATTCGGCAGCCCTCTGCCTGGTTAGGAGTAGACATGAAGCGGAAAATAGGGACTCTAACCAAAAATTTAATAAACATTTACCCGACATTTCGGGACCAGTTCCGTCCCTTGTTCACGGGTGAGTGACGAAAAGAAAAGAACTTTTCTTTTCGTCACTTTTTTGCACTTATTTTTATTATTATAATTTACACCTTACAGTAGGGTGACCACCCCCCTGCTAGCGAAATGCGGGACACGCGGGGCAAGGGGAGGGGGGGGGTGGAGGGGAGGAAAGGGGGCGGGGGGTAAGTAAGGGATCGAGGGGGTAGAGGAAATTTATGAACATGCACAGCACGAACCGAGGCTCTGTTAACACATTTATTATCGTGTGCTGTTTAGACACCTACAAATTGTATTGCAGCAATTAAGCTAAAATAGTTAGCACTCCCAGTGGTATATTTTTTTAGCCAAATATGTTATTAAATGTGTCAAAGTTGGAAGTATAAAAATCAACTGCAGCAGTACTCAATGCATCAAATTAAATTAAGAAACAGTAGATCTTTTTCAGGTATCAACGCTTACTTTTATCAACATGATCTTACACAAATTTTTAACATTATGTTCTTTTTCTTTTTGCCTTGTGTGGCTGTCTTAAAAAAAATTCCACGGCGACCCTTCCGCGTTGATACAGCGATATGAAAATAATTACAATAAACGAGCAATTTTCTCTTACAACATTTTGCTACTAAGGGGAGAGGCACAACGGAGCATGCGTGTCGGGTCTTCTGCAAGAACGACGGTCGCTTCCCGCAAGGCTTGGATAGAAAATGGCGTACCATTGCTATTCACACGGTTACCAGAGTGACCTCCACGCTTCCCCGTGCCCCGTTGTTCAGTAGCACCATGAATTGCACAGTGAATTTTACGACAGTGTGAAATGCGGGACTTTTTGAAGATTTAGAAATTTCTCGCGGGATGCGGAACACGATCCCTCAATGCGGGACAGTCCTGCGAGTCGCGGGACGGATGGTCACCCTACCTTACAGTGATTATGTTTTAAGAAGTAGATAATGCGTCAATTTTTTGGCACCTTGAGAAAGATGCTTTATGAAATAAATAAATAAAAAAATATTAAACAATTTGACACTCTTGATTTACTTTCAGTGCACTGGTGGGACCATACCCAAGGTGTACTAAAATCACTTGTTTCATTCCACTTTGTGATAAAAGGTGCACATTTTCGAGTAATAGTGTTCCCAATTTTTCTTCACTTTTCGTCACTGGTTATGTTTCTCACTGGTATTTACATTCGTTACTGTGCAAAAAACACTCTTGACACTCAGACGCGAGACTGAAAGAGCAGTGGCATTCAGTATTGCGCTTAATAAACAATGCAGCTGGATAAGCGACCCTTCTTGGAAGTGATTAAGGTCAACCACCCTTTCTAGTACATGCTACGTACAGTCGGGAACAAAGCAAGCTGACACGACTGAGCGCCGACCGAGAGATACCAGTGGCAGTGCCCTGATGCGAGAAATTCATATAGCAACTGGAGATGGCAAGCGGACTAGATTGCAGTGGCATGCTATCTAACTGCCCGATCGTGCTGGAGAACTTTGCGTCGTTGCTGCGCTCGTGCTGTTACTGAGCTTGTTGTAGTTGTCAGGACGTCTGCCTTTTCAGACATTTTAAAAAACTTTTTTGACTGGCGCAGGGTCCACGCGCTTCGATAAGAAAGGTGAGGACAAGTGGGAAGGAGCAGCATGGAGTAAAGGCGAGTCACATCAAAGTGCTCCTAAGCATGGAAGAGAAACAGGTTGAGTCACATAGCAGTGGCCATAGCATTCTCATTTGCATGCCAGCTCTCCTTGCTAACTGAACTGCTCGATTTCAGCTTGCATTGTCCACATCTATACTCAGCAAAAACATTCTCCAAGGTCTTGAAGGTATCACCGGCACATAAAAAAACACAGAAGGCAAGTTTGTGTAGACTGAAATCTTGAGAAAGATCGAGCTTCAGGGCTAGGTCCAGAAGGCGTCTTTGAAGGGACACGACACCCTTCCCCCCAAAAAATGTATTTATCTTTTGCCAGGCGATCCATTATAGTGTCAGAAGACTACCCAATCAATATTTTGCCACAGTGTCACATATATTTTTCATAAAGTAAAAAAATGCAACTGCTCGAAACCAAAACTGGACTGGGGAAAAGAAGAAATATAGAAAAGGAGAAAGTTACCGGGAGTCACGTAGCTGTGCAACCTTTTTTCTACAATCAACGTATTTGCAGCTTTTTACAAGCCACAAAAAACGGGTATCATATTTTTCAGCATTGAGTGTGTGCCTTCGATGACCCACAAATTTGATTATCTTTGGCAGTTGTATCTAAACCATAGAAAATGACACATAACCACAGAGAAGAGAGTGAGCACGACTCAAACCGGCCAGCTCTCGATCAGCGGTTTTTAGGAAAAAAGAAAACAAATTTCTAGCCGCAAATTGTGATCTCATATGTCATGTATAAATAAAAACCTTGACGAGCATGAATGTCCTGTCAATGTTCCTTCAAACCACAAAGGGCTTGAAATGCCATTGAGGTACATCCCGTACAACAGGTTTTAGGCTAAAGTGCCATTTTGTCAACAAAACCCTGCCCACATTTGACGAAAAACTACAATGTCATGTCGTGACTCACCTGTTCAATCGGGCTGCTCTTGCGTCATACTTTTGTGAAGTGCACTGATTTAATGGTTTTCAGTGATGTCTAAAGAGTTTCTAAATAAAACCATACTTTTAGATTTATCAATTAAAAAGTTAATTACGCAAAAATTAATCAAGAACATAATTACATCGGAATTTATTCATTTTTTTAAATAGGCTCTTCGACACAGACCCATACGACATATAAACCTCGTTTCTATGTGATGCATCCTTTTGGGAGGAGCAATTTGGCCTGCGTTTTCTAAAACACTCAGTATAAACATTCGTAGCACCACAGTCTTTGCTGCACAATGCCTCCTGTTGTTCTAGCCCCAGGAATACATTGGCAACTCCAACAAATACCCTACAACCAGATTACAGAGAAGGTAAGTTCGTTATGATGCAATATTGTATACATGGCTTGCAGCTGCTACTGTGGCCCTTTCCTGCTGAGTGTACCTTTTCCAGCGCGGCACAATGACATCACGTGCGAGCCGTCTATTGATACTAATTACAGACTGTGGAAATCGCCATGTTTACTCCAGCTAGCTTCGCAACAAAGAAGTTCCACTTTCAACTGGTGTCGCGTCATTCAGTGCGGCTATGATATCGTCGAGTGACGTGTAATCTCTTACGGCCCATGCGAGGGCAGTGAACGGCGGAGAATTCCGACGGACCACTTTCCCGCCGCCAAAACAGACCGTACCAGAGGTGGTGACCCTGAAGATCTCTTCGAGCAGCGACGCCAGGTCGTCGGACGTGGCGTCGTCTACGTGACCGATGAGGACCGGGACCCCATTGGCGTCTATGTCCTGCGTGGCCAGGGCCTTCTCCGTCACCGGCAGCGGCGGGAAGTCTCGCGGGGCCGTCTCCGCCCCGCTCTGGACGAAGGCTTGCACGTCCACCATGGACGGAAACAGGGCGGCGAAGGGGTTGCGCGCCATGTCCGACGAGTCCGACATGTCGGCGGTCGTGGAAGCAGCAGGGCCTATGGAGGGAGGGCCTATGGAGGAAGAGCCGGGGAAACGCCGCCGCGATTACTTTTACCTCTACGGCGCTTCCACTTTCGCGCGCCGCGGCCACTGAACCTGCTGACCTAGAAGCTAACTAGGAAATCCCGTGCCGTGGGCTGCGGTGAAAGCGGCCCGGAGGCATTGTTGAAACGAGTGCCAAGGTTGCGACGAGCCCGCTTTGTGGGCCGCTCTCGCGGGTCGCCGCAATAATCGCTACGTAAAGAATCTACGAAGAGGACTTTGTAGATTGAGGAACGCCAAATGAGAGAAAAGAATCGCCAACGTACCGCGACGGAACCAACCGGAGATTGCTGGGAAGTCCGACGGGTTTGAGCTGAGAGATTCTGCCGACAGTCTGGGAACTTGGGAAGTCCTACAACACCTCGGATGGTATTCAATCGACGAATGAACTGGAATTTACGTTTTATATGACATCAAAACAGCTGCCTCCAGACACATCGGACCACAACGAACAGATTCGCGCAAATCGAAAGAGAAAGTAAGTTGATTCAGCCCGTCATGGCAAGTTTCGTATGGACACATGCAAACATAAAAAAAAAAAGAATTTAAAAATATATCTGATATTAAAAGTTTAAATGGATTTATCTGACAAATAAAGGTACATTCATTGTATTTTATTATTTTTAATGTAATTTCAACACTGCTAGCTACCCTTAGTTACCCTCGCGTGACGTTTTTCGACTCTCTTCAAAATCAACGTCACTCACACGTGTAAAAAATGTAAAATTTCAGCTGCACACTGACTTACTCTGTCCTTGTCTTGCGGCGCATTCTGTGAAAATAAGTCATGTACCAACTGGCCCATCTGTCACTATTGTTGAAAATATAAACTACATGGATAAAAAATAAAATAAAAAACTGGCAGTTTTTTTATATTGGGCGGTAGCTTGCGCCACCTAGCCTTAAGTTATTATTAGGAGATATGTTTTTTTCTTTTTTCTTCTATTATTTTTTCCTTTACCTCTCTGCAACTATCACCGGGCATGTAGAGTACTTTCCAGAAAACCTTTACGGGAACGGGCAAGAAAAAAAAAAAAAAAATTAAGCACCGCCTTTTCTCCAGGCCGAGGGAGTCGCCGATTTTCCTCTGGTCAACCAGTCAACCTCGTCGGTGTTCCTCCTTGAACCACACCCACTGGGGGACAGGGGTGAGACTTTGGGCCGGAGCTAAGCGGGAGGGAGTCCCAATATTTCTTTGTCCCTCCTGTCCCCCAGCTCTGCTAATTGTTCGTCCTTGTTTCATTTTCCCCAGACTGTATCCACCAGTTTTCCTATCTCCTTTTTGTGATGGTAATATTTTTTTTCTCCATTCTTCCATCTTTATCCGCAAAACCGAGCGCCCCAGTCAAATCCGCCGACCCTTCCGGGAGAGCAGGACGAAGCCCCGTACACTCTAAAACCAGATGTTCCATTGTTTCCTTCTCATTTTGGCAAATGGCACATAATGTGTCCATTTTCTCGAATTTTAAACCCCCCGTTCTAGCCTCAAATAGTAGGGAACCACACTGTAAATTATCAAAAAACTGTTCTTTTCTTATCTCCTGCTGATGTGACACATAAATTGTTAAAGCTGATTTTCCTTGCATCCTACCACTCCACATTTTCCTTACGGCTTCTTTTACGTCCTTTTTTTTTTTTTTTTCGTTGTGTTTCGCACAGTTTTTTCCCTAGCTGACAGATATTTAAACTTTAGTTTTCTCGTTCGGTTCGTCCATTTTGTATTCAAACTCTTCATGTACAAATACTTGTACACCTTCCTGCCCATCGTGCGTCCTCCATTTTTGTTAGTTTTTGATCGAATTCCACCTCTCTACTCTCAAAAGACGAAGCCCATGTCCCCTTGCACCCCTTCATTTGGCGTGTTCTAATGCGCACCCAGTGCCAACCTGTCTACACTCTCTGTCTGACCTCCAATCCTGTCTGAACCTCTGATCGCATGCACAACACTGCATTACCAAACGACAAACCTGGCACCATGACTCATTTCGAAATGCCTCGAGCTACTTCATATCTATTATAATTCCATGGTGCTCTATGCTTCATAATAGTCGAATTTCTTTTCCCCTTTTTTATTATATTTTCCTCGTGTTCCTCTAAATATTTCTTTCCCTGTTTCACCCAGACCCTCAGATATTTGTACTTATTTACATAGTCTAATTAAAAGTTCAGAATTCTTCAGCGGCTCCCCCTTTTCGTCATTAAAAAACATCACTCCAGATTTTTCTTTTTACTGAAATTCAGATCAAGCTTGCCGCCCTTTCCTCCACATGTCCCAATTAGCTTGTCCAATATTTCCCGGCTATCTGCTATAAGTACGATGTCGTCTGCATACATCAGTCTAGGTATCACTTGGTTTACTTTACTCCCTCCCTTCATATGCGTCAGATCAAATCCCAAGTTGCTTTGCTCTAACCTCTTTTCCAATTCACTCAGGTATACCATGAAGAGCAGTGGTGACAGGGGACAACCCTGTCTAAGCCCTCTTTTTATTGTTGCTGGTCTTGTAGTTTCTGCCTCCCACTTTATAACCACCTCATTATTTGTATACACTTCTCGCAAGAATCTAATCAAATGTGCGTCTAGCTCATACCTCCTCAGCAGTTCCCAGAGCTTTTCCTGACTCACATTGTCGTATGCCCCCTTGATATTAAAAAATGCCACCCATAATGGTCTATGGCAGGGGTGGCCAAGCTGCGGCTCGCGAGCCGCATGCGGCTCTTCGCGTGTTACAGTGCGGCTCGCGGTTCCCTCCCCTCCCCCCCCCCCCCCCGCCCCACACGCACACATGCACACACACTCCGCCGCCTCCCTCCAGGTCACACGAGCACTTCACCAAAAAGAGAAATGGAACGGGCTTTAAATGGAAAGACAGGTTTTGGTTTGGTAGTCTTGTGCTACTCATACCTTACACGTACAGTTGGAGTACTTTTGACCCGGATAGATTGAAAGTAGTTCGAGTTTCGTTTATTGCGCTAAACAAAAGTCCCCCCCCCCCCCCCCCCCCCCCCGCGGCTCTTGGAAGTTTCGTGGTTCTGTTTGCGGCTCTCAGGCCGGGTCAGCCTGGCCACCCCTGGTCTATGGTTTGTCGCTGCAATTTCTATGCACTGGGTGGCTATAAATAAGTTATCTTCAAGCCTTCGGAAACTGTTTTGGAGCTCACCCAGAATCTGCATGCTTTCTGCCCACTCTTCCTTTCTTCTTTTCACTATCTGCATAGCTAGCCTGTATATGACCGGAGTTACTGTTATTGGGCGATATGATTTAATACTACCTTTATTACCTTTGCCTTTATATATTAGTCTCATATCTTGCTTAATTTCCAATCATTGGGTACGTCCCCCCTTTAATTATTTGGTCTATCACCTGTTTTAGCTTTAATTTGCTTGCTTTACCTAGGGCCTTTATTAATCTGATTGGAATGTCATCTGGACCCGTTGCTGTTCCTGCTGGAATCTTATTTTCCGCTCTGTCCCATTCTCCTATAGTAGTTTCCTTTGTTTCGGCTCTCTCTTCCTCCTGCACGTTACTGTAATTGGTGTTCTCCAGTTTTTCATTTGGTTCCAACTCCGAAAAGCTTCTTCAATTTTCCTCTTGATGTATTCTCGAGCCTCTTTTCCCTCAACCTTTATCCCTTCCTGCGTGGTGAGTGCGTGCTGGCACGACTCCGTCTTTTTTCCCTGCGTCTTACGGTGCTCCCACAATCTTTTTACTGCATTTCTATCCTCCTGATTTATCGCCATCATCCACTGAACTTCTGTGCTGCCAATTTTGGTCTGTTTTAGAGCTGATGCCTCCCTTTTTCTATTCAGAAAATTTTCCCATTTTGATGCTACCTCGTCCTCGGTTGCTCCTCTTTTCTTCGCCCACGGTCCACCTATGTTCTCGAGATGCCTCTTGACGTTGTGATATGGCTGCTTTAACCTCTTTATCCCACCAGATTTTAGGTTTGTGTTTTTTCCCTCTCTTTCCTCTTCGCTTGCTTCGGTACTTTTCCAACTCAGTCTTAGAAATTCCCACTAAACCCTCATATGACCACTCTTTCCGGTTGGTTGGATACTATGTTCTCAATATTCTGGGATACTTCTTGTAACTGATCTTCCCGTTCCTGAATTTTTAACTCTGTTACTGAGGCACCAAATTTGATTTTGATCCTTCTGTGGCCACTCCCTAAGCTTTTTATACCCTCCTCGTCTATTCCCATACTCCCTAGCCTGTTATACAGCTTTGGGGACATAAGGCAGTAGTCTATTGTTGAGTGAGGGGCATTTCTCTCCCGCGTGATTTTTCCACCGCATTTTACTTGAGCATTAACTAGTACTAGATCCAGAGCATCACCAGAGTGTCTAGCAAATTATTATTTTGAAATTCCCTGACTGTTCCAGGTTTTCCCCTGACAATTTCAGGTGAAATTCCCTGACCACTGTAGATGCGGTGAAATATATAAGACCATTACAACACAAGGCATTGAGCATTGAGCACTGTGAGCATCATTTTGCACGGGCTTAATCCAACTCGTATGTTCCGAAATATTCGGGTTTGTCCAGTCCGGATTAAACGAGCACTTTCTTGCCGCCGACATCGTCACTGAAGAGGCCACTTCCGGAAACACAATGAGAACACGCAGGTACGGATTTAGAGGAGGGTCTGGATGTCTTGACCCCCTCTTGATTTCTGCATGTGTAAAATTTAGGGCGTAAAACGAGGGAGAGGGGGAGGGGGTTTCTAAACATATGGTACGCTGAACAACACCTGAGCCCCCCTCAGGAAATTCCTGCATCCGCCTCTGAGAACACGACACTCGACCGCACACGTCAGTAACCGAATGGCAGCATGGCCGCCAGATGCACACTTTTGGATACTTTCGCCTTAATGCTTAGATTGGATTGGGGTCTGCGGCTTTCCCATTTGTTACTAAATCTAGTAGCTCTGACTGCATCAAGCGTAGTGTCGTCCCCTCAATCCAATCCAGTTAAATACAAGGCTTGGACGCAAGGAGGATAGAAGGGTAGGAGAGGTCATGACGCCAGCCGCGTAGCCTCCACAAGTCCCTTGACACCTCGCCTCTTTCTCATTTTCCTCCCTAACCTCCTCACCTACCAGGGCAACGTGACCACATAACGTGACCGTAGCTAGCCTTCGTCTAGCTATGGGGTACTAAAATACACCACAGTCTAGCCTTCGATCTTATAAAACCTACCGGACGGAGCGCGCGCAAGACTGCGAGGAGTCCTTCTACAAGCAACCATCCATCTCACATGTTACGTATGCTTCTGTGAATGGTACATAATAGGAAAATTATGTGCCCTTCACAGAAGCAGTTCTGTGATCGATGCATTTTGTAAATAAACACAGTGCACCAGGATGTTCCTTTTGCAGCATATCATATAGTACTATATAGACTTCACCAATATTGCAACGTGCCCCCTCTTAGTACTTCTAACCTCCTTGCTTGGACTAGGCTCGATTTTTGAAAATATCCCTGACAATTCA